CACTTTCCAAAACAAGCTTAACAACAGGCACTTAATATCAGGAATTAATTTAAGGAGAATTAAACAGGTTTTCAGCTTAGTTAAGTCATTCAGAGTGGTTAGAAGTGAAATGCTCCATTCTAGAGTAATGTACCATGTCAGAATTGTTCACAGTGGTGGTGTCCGGAGCCAGATGTCTGAAGAGTTTAATGCCTCTAAAAGCTAACTCACAAAAAGCTATTACATAAAAATGGATACAAATACGCTGACTGTTTTGAGATAAGGCTTTGGCCTAAAATGTACAATACAAGGTGTTGTATGGCAAAGTAGTCCCCAAAGAAAACTTTTAATAGCTTGTCGTATTTTTCTATAATTACCACTATTCTGCAATTATCAACATTACAAATAAAAACTCAAAAAACACATGTCAGTTGACTGGTGAATTTGAATAGTAAATAAAATGGCTATAATTGTTTAGTAGGCATTGTGAATCCTGATTCCTATCACCACTGTACAGAAATTATGAAATGTTTCATGAAATATTTCACATCAACCTTTTTTTTTAATTCAATTCAATCTCAATGATTGAATTATGCCATTGAATTATAAAATTTTCAAAAATCAGATACCACCAGTATATACCACACACATATATGTCTACCATTAAGGCCTTCATTGCTATCATGACAGAATTTGCGAGCAAGTTTTTGGAAAGTATTGTTACAGATTAGATGTAAACACATTGAAGCTCAGTAGTTATGTCTCACGGGAAAGAGGGTAAAGCACCTCTACCAGCATCATCATGGTCCTCATTAAGTATCTGTTCACCCTTTCTTTGGGTCTGCATATGTTTCTACATGTTCATATTACATCAATGACCATATCTTTGGTAGACAAAGTGTCAGATGTGATGTAGCCACGTTTAGCATTCAATCTCATCAAACACGTCTGATTGAAATTATCAGCTCATTTTTGTGAATTGAATTAAGAGAGATAGAAGAGGGAAAATGTTGATCTGTGCAGAGCTGACACCCCTACCTTTTGTACATAATTATTGCTTTTCACTTCCAGATACAATTACTGGCTTTTTCTTTGTTGAATGTACCTTCCTGGTTTAGTTGTCCTGTTGTAAAAGAATCCATGTATTTCCCACCCTCAAGCTGAGATCAGAAACCTTGACCAAGACCCCTTCATCGACAAAAGAGAGCATGACACTCAGGATTCATCATCTCACCTCGACCACAGTTTCCACAGTTTGAAAGATAAAGGAAAAATGGTGCATCTGGGACAAGTAGTCTAATGTTAAGAATTTTTCTGTAACATTTCATAATGACATGTCTATATAAATAGCAACTTAATCATTATCTAATTGTTTGTTACTGATATTTATATAATAATTATATAATTATTACTGACCTACAAAAAATTAAGGAACTGTAAATGCTTTTTCAGAAATGCTTTATGTTTTAGTGCAATAAGGAATAAGATACAACATTTACAAATGCATTATAAAGTTGTAGTTTTATAATATAAAACTAATTCTTGATTATTAATGTTTACGACTACATTTATCAACCACTAATAATTCCTTAAGCATTGGAAAGCAGGAAAAGATTATGCATTGCAAAACAGTAAATAACTACTTAATCATTTCAAACAGGATGCAGACAATTCAGTCATCATTATGAATTGATATGCAAGTGAATTTCAGTTTTGAGTTATATAATGTCATATATAATGGCTATTTTGTATCATTTTTACCAGTATTAAAAAAAAAACAACAAGGTTGTGTTCCAGCAGTGACAATACATAGTTACTTTATAGTTATTAACAGTCATTAATATACTGTTAGGCAGTGATTAGGTTGCTGTTGGGGCCTGTTATTATAAAGTGCTACCAGTTTTACTTATTGTTTCTTTCAAATCTGCATCACATGACTTCTATTACTCTGCCATACGTTTTCACATCACCAGCAGATGGAGACGTTCCCCACAGTCTGTGCTTTAATCCTCCATGTTAAATCTATAATGACTAAGTCAGCGATGTGGCCTGACACATACATAACTCCCTCATGTAAACACTGGGTTTAACCCCTCTTCTCTTCTCTCCCCCCAGTCATCACACAGGAATAGTGAATGTGTTATTCTCATCTAAGGTAAGCTTTCATATGGTTTCGAGCATATGAAGCTTATTTATGTCATTCATTCTGCACCTCTTAATAATCCCGCTTTTGCTCTTCTGCTCAAGTACATTAATTATGTCTAGTGCCTCATTAGTGACATTAGAAAGATGGTGAGAGCTTTTGTTTACATGTGAGCTGTACTGTAGAATGCTTTCAGTGTTTTTCTCTGCATGCTGATATAGCAAAGCTCTGACAGCTGTAGGCTGATGTGTGCATCTGAGGAAACACCCTCTGTCTCTAATCACCTGGACACCAGGGTGTGCCTCCGCTACTGTCTCAGAGGACAATCTGCTGCTTGTGTGATCCCTGTTTCCATAGTAACTGTGCCTGTTGCCTCAATAACATATCCCACCAAGAGGGTGAGTAAGCTCGTCCTGACTAGACTCAACTGCTAAGACTGGCGTCCGTGGTCAAACATCTTTTGTGACTTGTTGTTTTTCCAGATGTTTGCAGCTACAAGGCAACCAGTATTTTAGCCACGGTTCATTTTCTGAATGTTACCTCGGGAGAGTAGAGTCAGCTAAGCACTTCACAACAAGCACAGATAAAAAGCTGAATGGTAAAACATTCCACTGTCTTCTAGACTAAAAAAGTGCAAAATGAATTGTTAACTTTGCTGATAAGTGCGCAGACGTGAGATATGATTCAGCAGATATGACTGTACTCACAGCTTCAGTGTGCAGCGCCTGCCCAGTACTGACGTCTTTTTGTCCTCATCTTGCTCCTGCTCCCTTTTTCTGTCGTTATGGCTCTCTGTCCTTCCTTAGCTTTTCTTTCTAAAGCTACTCCCTTGATATGTGGAGGACACTGAGCATCCGGCCTGCTGTATACTGCAGTCTGTCCATTTTCTCTGTCCTCTTTCCTTCTCCCAGTCCAACCCTTGACCCCATTTGTCTCTGTCCCTCAGGAGGCTTTACGTTCTTTGAGCTGATGAAGCGTGGAGTTCCCTTACATCTTATTGACAAGTACATGAGCGACGCAAAGCCCTCAGAGTCTGAGAAGAAGGGATCTGACTGACGGCTGATTCACCCAGAGCTTCCCCAGTAATCCCTGAGACCCCATCAATGACGTGTGTGTCCAGTCTTTGGCATGGCATGTGGTGTTCGGACATGGACCTATAGTTCCCATAGAAAAGTCTGTTCATGACCAGCTGTACCCGTCAACCCTGCTTTCATGAAAGGCTGCTTTTCCCAAAGCCCCGTTGAAGCTCAGATGCATGTCTACAGTTGAATTGGACAGTAGCTTCAAAATACATAAGCCGTTGTATTATGAAAGATATTTAAGGCGTTCAGTGATTAATGTGGTGATGCAGTCATGCTGTCATTTTGTTCTGGGTTCAGGAAGTAGGCCTAGCCGCTCCCACTGAATAGGATTTAGGATATTTTTTTTTCCTTCTCTTTTATTTTGTTCTTCCCAGGTGTCTCATCCTCCCTCCAGTATATGTGATGCAGTATATGTGATGAAGTAATTCACTATGCAAAGTAGAAACAGCATAAATCATCTCTCTGACGGTCAGCATGTTGTATCAGTTAGAAGTGCTTAGCCTGTATTTCTAACTGAACCAGTGCAGAAGATGAAAATATTTGTCTAATGTGTTAAAGAAGATACATTGTTCCATTTAGCATGGTTGAGCTGAATAAATGTCACAGTATGAAAACTATGCTTTGTGTTTTTTTTTTATTTAGAAATCTCTACTGTTTTTGCACTGTGTTAAGAATGAATAATAGGCTTTATTCTTCTCAGACAGTTACCTAGACACCATTAACACCAATAAAACGAACAACAGCATTGTTATAATAATGATAAAAATAACAACAGGAAAGACCAATATGTGAGGTTTAAAACCATTAGTGACTGTAACAACTTATAAAATAATAATACTTTGATTATTTTAGATTCAGCATATTGATTCAAGTTGGGTCCTGAATAATCTTACTAAATGTACTAGTTAACATTCTTCCGAAACTGTTCAGTATTCCTGTATATCTGGTGTTTTTACCAAAATGTTGTGTTCATACTGTTCTTAAAATGTGCTACTGTTATTACCAAAATGTGCTAGCTAGCGTTACTCACTACTCTTACAGTTCTTATTAAAATGTTCTAAGGTTATTTCTACAGTGTACTAACTAGTGTTATTACTGTTCTCACTAAAATGGTATGCTATTGCTAAAATATATTAGCTTGCTAGTTAATACTAAAATGTGCTAACTAATGCTAGAATGTACTAGATAATGATATTGTTCTTATTAAAATGTACTAATGTTTGTACTAAAATGTTCTAACTGTTCTCACTAAAACATACTGTTGTTACTAAAATGTACTAGTGTCTGTTTTTGTTGTTCTTGTTCCAGTTACTCATATGTAGTTAGTGTCTTCACTAAAATGTACTGATGTAATTGCTAATGCACTGGTGTTCATACTGTTCTTACTAAAACGTAGTAATGCTGTTGCTAAATTTACTGTAGCTAGCACTATCAGTGTTCTTACTAAAATGTAATATCCGGTGTTTTTCTCAAACTGTTCTTAATACATGCACTAGCCAGGCCGCTTATTAAATGTACTAGCTAGTGTACTAGTACAGAGAACTCCAGCCCTCCGATTGGAGCACAGCCCTGAATCCGTCCGCTTCCGGGCCGCAGCTTCCTGCTCTTCTGGCGTCCCTTGTCAGCTCCGCGAAGGAGCGAGACAGAGAGAGCGAGTCCTGCTCTGCGCTCCTCAGCATGTCTGCGGACACATAGCCGCTTTGGGGCCGTGTTTCTCGGCGGAGACTCGGAGCGGGTCAGTGTGTGGGCTGTGTGTGAGTGAGTGAGTGGGTGTGTGAGTGCGCTGGCCCGGCGCTATGCCGCGGTGGCCGTGGCCGGAGCCTCTGTCTGCCGCGCAGCTCCGGCGGCTGGAGGAGCACAAGTACAGCGCGGCCGGCAGCTCTCTGCTGGAGCCGCCCTGCCAGATCTACTGGAACTGGCTGGTCCAGCAGGTGCCCACATGGGTCGCCCCCAACACGCTCACCATCACCGGACTTCTCATCAACGTCGTCACGACCGTCATCCTGGTGTATTACTGTCCTACAGGGACGGAGGAGGTAAGCAGAGCGGCTCGCTCACACCGCCTCTCTGACTCGGCCTGTTTGAGCTCCGCTGAGGCGAATAACTAAGGCAGACACAGAGGCTGTCTGTTATCTCAGCAGAGCAGAAGCTCTGAGGCTGGGTCAGTCAGCGCTGGCCCTCACTGTGGGAGCACTGCCCAGGCTGTGGAGGCCGGTCTGTCACATTTAACTGATCACAGAAATAAGCTCAGCACCTTTGATTAGGACGGTCATGCGCAGTTATCGCTTATGGTTAGGAATATCATACAGTCATCATATGAAAGTAATAATACAGTTATTACTTGTGGTTTTGTACAAAATGTACTCGCTAGTGTTCGTGCTAAAACAGATTGAAAACACTTGTGCTGTACATGCATAACAAACAAAGAATGTGTGTTTATGTGAATACATATATATATACGCAAACATTATAGTTTATACAGACATATGCAAAAGTCTGGGCTCCCTAGACAAATTATGTGTTTTGTTGATTAAGTGAAAATAACTTAACACACCATCTACAGACCCCTGCACACTTCAGTAAACATTTACTGTTCATTGGAGAAAAAGAACTAAAACAATGGCTGTTGCAAAAGTTATGGAACATTTTGTATTGTGAGTTTTTTGTATTTTTCCAGTATGTTAAATTCTGCTAATAAATAGAAATTGTATGCAGAAAAATATTTATATTTAGGTGTGTTCTCTGTAGACGACGTGTTAACTTATTTTCACTTAGAAAACCAGCAAAACGTCATTTAACTGGGGGTGTTATTAGTCATCAAACAGCCGTAACTAGTGATCTGGAAAATCATTATGCAGTGTCATCACTTCAAAGGAAGTTCTGTATACTCTGTACTTGTGATTAGGAAAAGCACACTCATCTTTTTCCAATATAAACATCATTGTTTTTTGAAACCTTTGCAGCATTACGTGAAATTATTAGTGTTAATCCTGATGTTAATACCCAACATACTGTATTGTCAGGTCACAGGTCAGTTTTGATAAATACGTTTTATCTGCCTGGCTTTTTTATCAGTCACTCTTGACCATTGGTGTTCTCTGTACGCAGTGACCTGGGTTCAGTCTAACCTTGCTTAGTTGGGGGTGTGTGGACATAACCCCTTGCTCATATCAGGATCCGCGGACTGCAACCTAGAGGCAAAGTCCGGGTTCCGCTGCTCCTAGTTTATTGCCACAAAGATCAGTAAGTCCCTATGACAGGTTAACCCACCTGTTCCTGCAGTGCAGCGGTGTAAGATAAAGCCTCACCTTTGTCCCTCTTGGCGAAAGGTCTGTGGAATTCTGTGGCAGAACAAAGGAATGAGGTCAGCTCTTTTCTGACTAACAATAGTGCTGCTATTAGGAGAGGCGGTCTCCCAATACACTTGTTGGTTAGGTATAGATGAAATACGCTGCTTAGTTAAATATTAAATAAAGTTAATATATCCTGCTAATATATTTATAGACAATATAATAAGTATATCATAAATACAGTAAATATATTTTACTAATATTATCACAAGTGGGCAATTGAAAATTTGAAACAAATATTTAGCATACACACATGAAATGTAATTTGTTGTAATTTGCATTAAAGAACCCGTATCCTACATTTTCTTGTATTTTGTGTTTTCCCCTGAGGTCCACTTATTACATTTGTGTAGTGTTATGTGTCAAAAACAGCCAGAATTAATTTTTGCATGACTGTTTTCCAATCTCTCTTTAACACTTTAGAATTAAACAGGCTGTTTTTGTTACTGTGCCTTTAAGACTAATATATAGAGATGATCTCTGTTCTGATTGGCTGTCCTGTATTGTGTCTCATTCAAAAAGCAGCCCTGGCTGAAGCACTCTTTATAACTTCAGCATGAATGGGCGGAGCTAAACTGCTATAGGCTGAATAGGAGGATATATGTAAATGAGTTTGTTTTTATGACATCACACAACAGTACATATAAAACAGGCTGTTTTTACAGCTTAGTTTCTATATACACCGATCAGGCATAACATCTGTGCACTTTGTAGTTCTACAATTACAGACTGTAGTCCATCTGTTTCTCTGCATGCTTTGTTAGCCCCCTTTTACCCTGTTCTTCAGTGGTCGGGACCCCCATGGACCCTCACAGAGCAGGTACTTTTTGGGTAGTGGATCTTTCTCAGCACTGCAGTGACTAACATGGTGGTGATGTGTCTGTGTGTGTTGTGCTGGTCTGAGTGGATCAGACACAGCAGTGCTGCTGGTGTTTTTTAACACTGTGTCCGCTCACTGTCCACTCTATTAGACACTCCTACCTTGTCAGTCCACCTTGTAGATGTAAAGTCAGAGAGGACAGCTCATCTGCTGCTGCACAGTTTGTGTTGGTCATCCTCTAGTCCTTCATCAGTGGTCACAGGACGCTGCCCACAGAACGCTGTTGGCTGGACATTTTTGGTTGGTGGACTGTTCTCAGTCCAGCAGTGACACTGAGGTGTTTAAAAACTCCAGCAGCACTGCTGTGTCTGATCCACTCATACCAGCACAACACACACTAACACAACACCACCACATGAGTGTTACTGCAGTGTTGAGAATGATCCACCACCCAAACAGTACCTGCTCTGTGAGGGTCCATGGGGGGCCTGACCACTGAGGAACAGAGTAAAAGGGGGCTAACAAAGTATGCAGAGAAACAGATGGACTACAGTCTGTAACTGTAGAACTACAAAATGTACCTGTATTGTAAGTGGAGCCGATAAAATGGACAATGAGCATAGAAACAAGGAGGTGGTCATAATGTTATGCCTGATCGGTGTATGTGGATTGTGTGGACTGAGGAGTGAACAGTATGTTTTTAATCTTTAACAATGTCCATATACTACATCAAACCATTCAAGAACGTGAGGAAAATTCAGTTTTCCATGATGTGGACCCTTTAAGTATTTTATAGAATGGATATAAGATATTTGATATCATGAATGAGCAAGATATTATTTTATTCTTTTAAGTAGAAAATGCACACATTTCAGTTTCACCCATGTCATGCCTGCTTAAAACATGTGAAGGAATTTAGTCTTAATGAAATAAGCTTTTTATCAAAATGTGAGGTTTATATGCAGAGTAAAGCCCAGAGTAAATCTAACATTGTGGTATGGAAATTTTGATTATAGGTATTAACTATTAACCTGCAAGATTGTTCATCCGTAGTGTTATCCTTGACTAAGTTACAGTGATATAATATGTGGGCTCCTGCCAACGCAGCTAGAGTAGATAAGAGTGCAACAGCGGCTTTCCCTGAAATGAAGTGAAAATGTTGATTACACAACACACTGGTCAGATTAGCTGTGTAGGCCAAAAAGGTTTTATTGCTGTTTGTGAAACTGTACTGTACTGGCTTGCCTCAGTGTTCGAATAGCGAGTAAAACATGCGGCCTCTTTAGGAAAATAGTACATTTGATTGTTGGCCTATTGTTACACCTTGTACTGTTCTTTCAGATTAAAGTTGTGAATGACTGATCACAGAGCCCTCAGATGATCTTTAAAGATTACAGACCCAGATTACAAATTACATGCTTTGTTGATTTTTGAAGTGAAACTAAATTAGCACAAAACTTAAATATCACTGCTGTCTGAACAAAACCTTGTATCTCCATTTTTGTCATTTTTCAGTTTTTGACATAATTTGAAAATACCTGTTTCCGTTTACATTGTCTGTAAATTTCATGATGAACCGACCAGAAGAAATTTTACTTAAAAAAAAATTCTGGTTAAACTGACTTGCATTAAAAGTGAAGCGTGTTTTTTCCTTCTCCTGTAAATTTTGTAGAAGTTTGGAGCTTTTGACCTGCCTGGTGGAAATGTGTAATTGCATGCAACACATGGAGGAACATTTTGTACTGTTGGCTGTACTTGTGAATCTGATGGTTTCAGGCGCATTGAAAGAGTGTTTAAAGAGAACTCAGTCAAAACTTGGTGAGGGTCGTGTCTGAGGATGTACGTGAATCATCTATTATTGTCATCATATCTTCATCAGTATAAAATGGATTTTGCACTTGAGACCTGAACATCGAGCCGGATCTTCTTTTTGAGGCTGTGTGTGTGATGTTTATAAGTCCCAACACCTCTGACTTTTAAATTATTATTTCAGGCTTTACAAGGAGACTCGTGGCAGCACAGCATATTTTAGCTACTTTTCCCTCAGTAATCCTATCATTTCATGATTTTAACAAAAATCTTTCATGGTTCAGCCTTATTATTTAGTTAAAAAAATAAAACATAAAATATTGTACTTTTGTACATTCCATTTTTTATGCTTTATCCCCCCCCCCAGTATGTTAAATTCATCAAATAAATAGTAACTGTGCATTAAAATGTGCAGAAGTGTGTTCTCTGTAGAGGATGTGTTCCTTAGAAAATCAACAGAACGTTTTACTTAGAAAATCAACAAAACATAATTTTTCACATACAACAGTATAATCATATTATCATAAGACAACTTCAGATAAAACAGCCATATAGTGACAATCCCACAGTCTAGGCTCAGTGTTTTGTGTCTGAATATGCTCATATTAATTTGAAACCTATATTGATTAGACATTGCTTTGAATACTGAGCATTAATCTTATCTAAGCCAAAACTTCACTGTGAGATGTGGACGTATAAGGAAGTTGCTACTGTTGAGGATTTACAGGGAACTTTGAGAGGCCAAACTGCACAAACAAGCATGTCAAGTATGTTTATGCTGTTATAAAATACATCTGTAAGCGTTCTTAAATTAAATCAATGTTTAATAAACAATTATAAAAGTCTTAACAGCAGTCATATCACAGAAGAAGTGCCTTTACATATAAAGAGTTAAACTTAGCAGAAAGGAAAGGAGATAAAAAAATTGTTCCTGGAGCTAAGTTTGTTCGGTCCTGCTGTGTGAACTCTGATAACCTGTCCAACCTCCAGGAAGTAAACAGAGGAATTTATGTGACATGCAAACAGGCATAGGCACAAATCTATTCATGAATAGAAAATCCTCCTCAAATGGACGTTTAGTCTTTTCTTGCCAAATTACCAAATGAGTCGCTCATAAATTGGGAACAGCAAAGTGTCGATATTGTCGATTCTCAAACACACGGAGTATAACGTGTGCTCTAACCGCTGTCTCTTCCTTTCTCTCACACTCACACAAACCATTAAAAATCACATCATTACTTAACACTAAATCCAACACAGGAGTCCTGACTGTGCTCGTGTTTGATTTTGCTAGACGGAATCAGCGTTGACTAGTAAACAAGTCAGCTGTTTTTCATAAAACTGTTATTGTTTATGTTGTGCCAGGTTTTGCTCCAATAGGCTGTCCTACTTTCCATGTGCTGAAACTGTTCTTTATTTCTCCGGGCTGTTTCTGTAACACCCCTACACTGCACTGTGTTTCCTAACTCACCTGATTCAGCTCATCAGTGGCTAAGTGGTTATGAAGCCATATGTAGTTGATTTATGTGTGTGTGTGCCTTTATAAAAAGGTGTTTATAGGACTGATAGTTAGTTCTGGCTGTTAAATCTAATTGGCCGAGCCTCGTTTGAAGCCGTTTTAAATGTGTGATAGACTCACACACTTGACTTGAAGTCTGTATTAATGGGCTATGTTATTAAAAATCATTGTTTACATATTGTTTATGGCAGTGTTTCTCAACCACAGGAGCACCCTTTAGTGGTCCTCAGGCCAGTATTGAGATGGATCCATTGGTCCTTATTGGGCCAGTGATGACACTTTATGTCCTGAAAATTGATGAAAAATAATTTACTTAACTGGAAGAAAGAAATTTAAAATGTTTTCAAAAAGTAAACAGTATGAACACAAGACCTTCAACAACAGCACACAAAGCAGCTTTATCTATTTTCTGCCTCCCCCCTTGTTTCACTTGTCTACCAACAAGTGACTGGTATAAAAAGTGTTGCAGAAACATTCTGCCTAAAAGCACACTCACATTAGAGTAATCTGCTGAGATTTTATGTTCTGGGCTACATGTTGCAAATCTGTGCTAAAAAATTGTATTTTCTTATCAGTGTTACACATTTCATATCTGTGCTGAGATTCCAACATTCCAAGATTCCTAATATCAACAATGCATTGAAACAGACAAAAAGTTTTTTGCACTTGCATGTCTGAGGTAAGATTAGGTCTTGACTGCGTCTCACCTCCTAGACTCCGGGCAGTGATAGAGAAGTTAGGGCTTAGTTTATAAACACAAAACACATTTCTTTTCTCATTTCAAAATTTCATTTAAGATGATTCTGAGAGGGTTTAAGATTTCTTTGGAAAATTGAGAAATAAAAGAAAGCAAAAAAGTATTTTTTTGCTTCCTTGTGGGCCTTCATGCCATCTAGTGATAAGTAGGTGGTCCTTGAGGTGTAAAAGTTTGAGAGCCGCTGGTTTATGGAGTAATCTTTGATCGCTATGTTGCTCGGCAGCCATAACCTACTATTGAACTGTTGTGATTCTCATTAATAATACAGTAATTATTTATTTAACACAGGTGTATTTTATTATATTGCATTTTGTTGCTGTTTTATACAAACATCTCAAAGCTTCTACTTTGCATCGTGTCATAGAACATCTCTTTAACATGCTAAAATCACTATAATGATTTGTTCTACAGCTACTCATTTTCTTACCGTGCTTTCACCAGTCCACCTTTTAGTCTCTGTACTAAGACTCTCTCTCTCTCTGTCTCTCTCTGTCTCCCTCTAGGCTCCAGCATGGGCCTTTATTCTCAGCGCCTTAGGTCTCTTCATCTACCAATCACTCGATGCTATCGATGGGAAGCAGGCCCGGAGGACCAATAGCAGCACTGCTCTGGGGGAGCTCTTTGATCATGGCTGTGATGCTGTCTCTACAGGTACAGCTCCTTTAAAGGCTTTTAATTTCTCTCTCTCTCTGTCTCTCTCTCTCTCTCTCTCTCTCTATCTCTCTCTCTCTCTCTCTCTCTCTCTCTCTCTCTGTCTCTCTCACTCTCTCTCTCTCTCCCTGTTTCTTGGTGTGTCTCTCATGCTCTGATGTTTTGTTCTAATATTTTGTACTTAGTTGATGCCGTTTCAGTAATATACAGTTGTATGAAAGTTTGAACACCTCTGGTCAGGTGGGCTAGGAACTAGTTGTTCCTTGAAAACAAAAGTGAAAATAAGTTACCACATCCTCTACATAAATTTGGGTTTTTTCTGCAAATTTTAGTGCACAATTTCTTTTTATCTGCTTGCCATACTTTACCATAAAATATACAGCAGAAAACCTTTGCAGAGGCCACATTTTATGTGTTAATGTTTTTTTTTCCTTTGTTTTGCTAAGATCAGCAAACAGTAAGTGTGTATTAAAATGTGCAGAAGTTTGTTATCGAGGATGTGTAACTTATTTTCACATAGAAAATCAACAAAACATGTCATTTCAACAGGGGTAAACAGCAGCCTCTGACAACCTTTCATTCACCTGAATGTACCAAATGTTTTAGTAAATCTGTCCGTTTTGTTCCGTTGAGAAAGCTAAGTATAATGTCTGAATCACAGTTGCTGTGTATTTCCTCTTTATCCTCTCTGCAGTGTTTGTTGCTGTGGGAACGTGTATATGTGCTGGAATCGGAGCGTACCCTAACTGGATGTTTTTCTGCGGCTTTGTTGGGATGTTCATGTTCTTCTGTGCACACTGGCAGACGTACGTGTCCGGAACACTCCGCTTTGGAATGTGAGTACATAAGATGTCTTGAAAATCCAATACACAGTGTTCAAGCCACACCTTAGACATGGCACTGATTATAAAAAGCTCAGAATCGGTTGCATGTGTTAAAAAGATGATTCTGAACAACAAGGAGAAAACTAATGACTTGCACTCTAAAACAAAAAAAGGCAGTGCCTACTTAGCACTCAAGAGTGTTGCAGATATACAATAAATACTGATTTGTAATTTTTTCATTGGACTCTATAGTTTAATTGGGGACCCTATGGGGCCATCTAGGCATTTAGAGAAGGATTTCTAATGATTTGTGGGAACGAAACAATGTGTAGTTCATTTTCATTGACTTAGATAGCACAGCTAGGTTTCCCATTGGTTAGGCCTTCAGGAGCTCAAAAGCAGGGTTTACACATTAAATTAACCACCAACAAAATTAGGAACTGACAGTGGAATAAACTAACCACATTTTGATTTGCAATGAGTGGAACCATTTTTTTTTTAAATCATCTGTAATTCTAGATACATCAGTGACTGTGAATACTCATGACTATAAGTTGTAGTCTAGGCAGGTTTCACTCAGATGTTAAAATAGGAAACACCAGCATCTCCGTCTTAGAGCTTTTTACTGAAAGAGTCATTGTAAAACTACAATGCAAAATATATATAAATATAGATGTTAATGCCTGTTACAAGCTTCATATAAAATGCTTATTCATATTCATAATTAGAAATATGCTAGCTAATGTAACCGAGTTGGCCATTAGAAATGTTCTCCTTGCACATTAAATTGTCCAGCACTGTCGCATTAGCGGGAGTCTGAAAAGATGTGGTGGCTGGCTTCACATGACACATGATTTGTGTGATTAAGGGAGAGTTGACAGAAACTAAATTGAGGATAAAATTGATTGAAAAAGGTCATTTAGTGATGTTTAGGTTTTACTGGCATGTTAGCTTTGTGCTAACATACTATTAGGAACCCCATAAGGACGCTAGCAGAACGTAGCATTCTCGTAGTTTTTTTTCCCTTGCTTTTTCATTAAGTTATGAAGGCTTAGCTAGAATAGTCACAGTTTGCCACTCTTTAGTTTATTATTTCATTTTGTTCTTTATTCAGTGTTGATGTAACGGAAGTCCAGATTTCCATCATAATCATGTATTTGATGTCAGCCTTTGGAGGAGTGAGTCTTTGGGAGACTACGGTAAGGCCCACCACACACACACACACACACACACACACACACACACACACACACACACACACACATTATTACTGCATGACAGTCCATAGTTCCTTTAGTACATTTACAGAAACAGTCTTGATCTTATGAAAAAGGGAAATAATGTGAAAATAGTGAATGCTTCACCAGAGTGTTTAGGCCTTGCCTGCAAAATCACATCATTCAAGCCCCTCATTGCATCAGTTAAACAGAGCCTTTCTTTCACTTTTACTCTGTGCCTTCTCTGGAAACTTGACAAACTGGGCAAGGCAAAGGTAAATATGTCTAAGAGCTAGTACCATAGCAACAAGTCATCTGTGGACATGATCTGGCCTGACCAGCAGATGATGGAACCACTCGGCTTCTTTTCTCATCATCCACAGCATAGAAGGAGTTGTCATTTGAATTGTCATTCCAATTTCATTTCTCTTTATTTTGGTGCAGTTGCCAGTGCTCGACATTAAGCTGCAGACCTTTCCAGTTTTGGGCATCATTGGAGGATTCCTGCTTTCAATGTACAACTACTTCTCTGTCATCCTGAGCGGTGGAGTGGGCAAAAACGGCTCCACAGTGGCAGTAAGTGATCCTGAGCTCTCTTATTAAAGGAGCATGTAATGTAGTTTTGTTGTTGAATTAGATTTTACAGTTACACCATACATTCATTGTGATCTAACCTATTTTAAATTAAGTTTATATCTAGACATTTGTTTCTTTCTGAGAGTTCTTCCTCTGTAATGACATTATTAGAGTTCATCTTCTCCAGACTAGAGACTTTGAACAGTATGTAGATGTTATATGTGTACTCTGATCTCCTGTAGGACACCAGTGTGTTGTCTCCTGGTCTGCACATTGGCCTCGTCCTCACCTTGGCCTTCATGATCTTTAAGAAGTCCTCCAGCCATCTGTTTGAGCGCCATCCATGCCTCTACATCCTCACCTTTGGCATGGTCATCGCCAAGATCTCCAACAAGTTAGTGGTGAGTGCTAGTGCTCTTAGCCTTTGTCTTTGACAAGTCCAGGCTTTGGCAATTTGCTCAGTAGCTTTCAGTACTTGCTGGTAGTTCAGGTTTCATGTTATGGTGTTTGAGACAAAAGTTCACTTGAAATAATATATGAATAATGCAGTCTGGGGTTGTGGGATGAGCTCAACCCAAGAATTGAATGTGTGTCTGCACATTTGCAATGCCCCTTCAGAGAGAATGGGATTTTTTTAGGATGGACTGGTACCCCTGATTCTGTTCAGTTCATTGCAGTTCAGTTTTATTTTTATAGTATACATTATCAAAAATCAGCTTTACAAAAACCAGCTTTACTAAAATCAGAGTCTAGGTCCTTGATGGGCAGGCTGAAGACAACAGTGGCAAAACCCCTCTGGGATGCCTGAGGAACAAATCTTGAGAGAGCAAAAGAAGTCAAAGCAATAGATGAGTGTTCTGTTTCAGTGAGCTGCCTGTGGGACTGCTTTAAGCTTTATTTAGCTCCATTAACACTTCACTTCCTGACAGCTTTGTGTGTTCTCCCCAGGTGGCTCACATGACCAGGAGTGAACTTCACCTCCACGACACAGCCTTCATTGGCCCTGGTCTCCTCTTCCTCAACCAGTACTTCAACAGCTTTATTGATGAATATGTGGTCCTCTGGATTGCTTTGGTGAGTCGCTGTAATCCATAGTTATGAGTAAGTAACTTAGGTTGATTGAGCTGCTCACCACTGTAAAATTGGGAGGGACATAGCAAGATACATTTTTTTTGTGGCGAATTTGTCTGAACAAACAGAATTTAATAACTTCGTTTGGTAAGTTAAGGCGAGGAGCTGCACGGAGTTTATAGGAGTCATCCAATATTTTAACAACGCGACTTCTCATGTTAACTGAAATTTAATGTTCAGTATTAAAGTTTGTTTTACTGTTTACTGCCATTGTGAGGATGGTGATTTGTGTCCTATTGAAGTCGTAAAATTAAAAGTAAAAAGTAGGCCTATACTTTAAAGCTCTAATCTTTAGCAACTTATGATTATGGGCAGTGATGTGTTTTTTAAAGACGTAAATTTCCTTGATGTTTTCCTCAAGAACAGTGCTTGTCGCACTTAAGTCCTTAGCTGCTGCAGTACTGTAGCTCTGAAGGACTCTGTTGGTAATAAACTACCAGGGTGGATAAAGCATTGTTTAAGTAACTAAAGTATTGGCTTTAGTCAAGATGAAAACATCACCAAATTCAGGTGAGCCTCCTCAATGTGGGCAAACCAACAAAGGCCATTAAATTATTATCATTTATGTATACACTTAATCAAGAATGGGTAGCAAATGGCTGCATTTTTATGAAACCTAGAAGTAGGGCTGAATGATTTGGGGAAAATATCCTAATTGCAATGTATATTGAGTGTATATTGCGACTTAATTTGTGACTATTTTCTATAAATTAAGGTTCACACCTGTTTTTTGGCCAAGAATACTAGAATATCCACCTTTCAGACTTGAACCCTGAATGTAGTGTGCAAGATTGCTAGTAAGTTGTGGTTGTGATGTCACAACACATAGAGGTTTGGTTGGATATGATTGATCTAACTCATCTGCAGGCAGTTTACAAGCTCTGTGTTATTAGACCCACTTAAAACTTAGACCTTTTTTGTCTTGTAGGCTATAATTTAAAAAACTGCAGCTCCTTTGATTTGAAAAAAGCACTGTATTAAATTGTGATTTCGATATAAAAATGATTAATCTTTCAGCCCTACTCAGAAATAACGTCCAGTAATAAGGGCATGGAACACAAACTCATGACTTAGGTGGGAGGTGGAGCCCAAAAATCATTAGAGAAACAAATAATATTGAAAAAAATTCAAATATCATTTTATGGTAGAAGCCATTGTGAGTATAGTTTACATAAGGGTTGAATATGCGTAATAAAGCTGTCTAATTTCTTTCAGGACAGCTCTTGTTTTTTGTGCATTTAACTTGCTACTTATTCTAGACCTGTTTTGTAGAATTTATTTAAAAGCTGTATTTTTATAATAATAATTTAATAATATTTAATGGATTTAATACTAATAATATAATGTGTAGAACCTCATTTTTGTTCAAATAAAATCAGCATATATTTAGCCTGAAGGGCTGTAAGAGATTTTTAAAAACACATTACTGCCATGTATTGTCAGAATATATGAAGTTTGAGTCAGTTATCTTCATGTCAGGGTATTTCCTGATGTGTAGAGACTCTTGTATGGACCTCATTAATTAATAATTATTATTAGCTTAACCAAGTCAGTTGCAAAATCTTGCAGTTTTAATGTCAGGAGCTCTATTCACCCACTGCCTACATGTTGTCTGTTGCAGTATTTGACTTATTACCAATGTCTGTACTGCTTGGATCTAAAAGTAGTTATTAGCTCTTCTGTCAGCCACTCTTATCACTGTCACATTGAACTTTCAGCCAGAAAAGTCAGTGGTGGACTGTAGGAAGCTAAGTTAAATATGAAACTCTAAACCACTCCTATAAAGCCTCGTTTCAAAAGGCCTATTGCCAGATTTTTGGACATGTCATCCATAACCACCAGCAAATTCCCATAATACTGTACATTGTACTCTTGCAGGTTCTGCCTTTATGCATGTAGGTCTTGATAATACAGTAAAATGCTTATATAGAATACATAATATTTGAAATATTATGGTAACACTTCATAACAACGGGCCTAAATAAACAACAACTTAACATCATAGTATCATTTGAATAATTAACCATTTATGTAGTGGCACACAAATAATCAGTTATTATTTTGAATTGTAGAAATCAAATAGTTAATTATAACTCATTAAATCATAACTCATCAATGGTATAACTTGACATACTAAGCATTAACTTAATTACGCAAAAGCAATTCGTAATAGTTAGGAATGAATCGTCTAGGTCCTGTTTTACATGACAAAGTAGTTCTTTATTATCTGGCTACTTTGTGATGCAAACACTTGTCCTTAATGATTGGTTAATCATCACTAAGTGGTTAATATATATATTTTTAACCATCAATAGCCATCAGGTGGACCCTAACTATAAAGTTGTGATGTATTTGGAATGTATTTATATAGATATATAAACAGATGTATGTTGTATTACTTACTACTCTTCAATATAATACATTTATGAAAAAAAAGCATGTATAGTGCTTTAATTATTTAGGTTCACTAAGTAAATGGTTAATAATTTAAATAATAATTCACATATTAGCACTTGTCAACACACAAGTAACAAATATATACTTATGAACTGTCATTTACAAACAATTCTATAACAATTAAGTTGCTTCCTATAGTGGCGTGTTATTATAAGGTGTTAACAGTGTCACTACTTACTGTCCACAGAAGTGTTTTTTTAAACGTGAGTGGACAGATGGAGCCTAGTCCTTACGTGAATCGGGCCTAACTCACTGCTTTTGTGTGTACGCAGGTCCTGTCGCTGGTGGACCTGACGCGGTACTGCACAGGGGTGTGCCTGCAGATCGCCTCCCACCTGCGCATCCGGGTCTTCAGCATTACCCCACAAGGCCACGCCCATAAAGACTGACGTTTTGCCCGGCGGGAGGAGGAGGCGGGGCCACCTGAAGACGCCGCCCCGCTTCTGGAACCAGAGCAGGAGAGCCAAAACCACAGCAGCCTTGACAGTGTGAAGACCGTTGACTAAAAGACCTGAACTGAATCACACTTACACTCTGCCAGATTTCGAGTGGACGACCTGTCGTTAAACCAGACTCAAAGTTTGTCACACTGGATCAGTACTAAACACGTAGTTACATAACTGGATACCATACAATGTGATCTTACTAGGGTGTTCTCATACTTATTACTTTGAGACGGAGCAATGCATCAGAATTTAAACAATTGAAAGTGTGTTTTATGAAGAATGTGCAGAATAATTCTTAATATTTCAAAAATACGAGCTAACAAGACATGCAATCACTGTTAACTTGTTGTTAGTGATGCCAGTTGTTTCAGCTGCCGGATTTAGAACTTTGTCTAACAGTGGTGCTTTATAGGACAGGCTGTAATTGAGCTAAAGAGTCCCAAGTTCTTTTAAAAGTTTTTGAATGCTCCAATTTTATAACACAAAGATCACAGTAGTTGTAAGAAAAAAAAAGCTACTGTTGTGTTTTGGGTAGAGATCGTGCCTGGTGTAATACAAACTACCTGCCACTACATTTGCTACATTTTATAGTGTTTCCATCATGTGATCTTTTCTTTAATGCAGCATTTCTATGCATTTTGTACCCAAACAAAGAAAGAATATTTTCTAACATTCCGTAGCAGTGGTGCTGCCCATTTTGTACTTCTAGACTTTCAGAGTTTAATCCATATTCCCCCCAAAAGCAACAGTAGCTTTCTAAAATAATTCTCACGTGATTGTCCAGTGATTCCAGCATTTGTATTTATTTATTTGATCAGTTTGACTGGATTTGGTGTGAAATTGAGTCAGGTCTTGAACAAGAGTCATTTTTGGTTGTAATTGTCAGGGACTGTGGAAACTGGCACCAGGATTGTGTGTTTGTGCTAAAAACAGCAAGGACCCTCGTTTTGAGGACCACCCTGCCACATCAACCTAAACGTTTGCATTTACTGTTTTGTTCTCCAATTCCTTCTACAGTGAACTGTGAGTTCGGAGGAGCAGAGCTCCTGTGCCTGCTCTAACTTGGGGGGATGGATGATGAACGTTCAGGGTGCTCCTGTGCCTGTTTGATGATGCACTAACTCTCACAACACTGCCTGCTTTCGATATCTCCTCCCAAAGGGCTAATCTACAAATAAATTTTATGTGATTTTATGTGTAATAGAGCTTTTGGTTGCGTTGCGTTATTATTTGTGAAAGAATTCTTCTTGTAATGTTGTGGAGTTTACCACTGTACACCTTCGGAGACGATACCTGCACGCCTCTCTTTTGTGATATTCTTGGTGTTACTGGGGTCTTTTAGGTATGGATTACAGATCTCTTCAGTCGAGAGAAAATATTTTAAAATCCATAGTTCTAGTTAGAGTTCAAACGCAGTTAGATGTGGTTGGCCATTCTGCACCTTAAACACGGTGGTAGTTAATCAGATTCTACTCTGCAGTTCACACAGGTGTGACCAGATACTGAAGGATGGACGCTGAGGACATTAGAAAAGTACACTGCATAAGATAATTTGGTTCCAAAGTGAAATGCAGCTCTTTTCTAATGTGCATGTGAAAACACTCAATTAGTATTGACACTAGTCTGCAGTAGTGATGCTTAAGCTTAGTGAAGTGACCAAGCAACACAAGGGCTTGGATAATTAGATGGCATTACAAATAGCTAGATTTCCTTTTTTGTATAAAAGCATTTAGACTTCAGTTAGTTGATTTGTTAAGTTTATTGTATTCAAAACTTGAAATAGCCAATGAAACAGCTCAGGTTTTGTCCCTCTGTAAAACCTGAGCTTAAAAACTTAAAACCTTCTGATATGAACTTTTTGTAACGTTACTCCTAAATTAAAGTTTTTGTGTAAATTCCATGTATGAATTTCACAGCTCATACAGATATGTGAAAATTTTTATAAAAGTTAAGACGCCCTGTAGAAATAAACAAACTTCTGCACATTTTAGTACACAATTACTGATTATTTACTGAATTTAACATATTGAAACGTACAATGAGGCCTGTGCAAAACGTATGGCACAGTTTATATGTTGTGTTTTATTTTTTCCAATGTGTTAAACTCGGCAAATAAATAGAAATTATGCATTAAAATGTGTGGAAAAATACCATACTTAAGTGTGCTCTCTGTAGAGGATGTGTAACTTATTTTTAAAATTCACAAAAATGTCATTTGACTGGGGGTGTTCAAACTTATGCATAAACTGTATAATCTTTTGTGACAAAACTTAATGGTCCAAGATACTTATTTGGGGTCCCCACACATCCAGAAAATCATGGAAATTTATGGACTAGTCTTCCAGTCATGGAAAACACATGGAAAATATGAAAATGAATAAAATGTCTGTGAAGTATTAGTGCAGTTCTTAAAAAAAGTGTACAATTTGAGTGCCCATTCATACCTACTGTAGTCTGCAATATGGCGGCTACCAGCTGCATGTATTGTTTACTTCTAATAATTTATCAGAACTTGTGATCAAATGATGAGTTCTTGAGGAATGGTCTCTGTGTATGTCAGTGTGTCAGTCAGTAAGAAGTCAATAGGGAATGTACTGTTGACTTAAATTTACAACAGTTGTCGTGTATACCAGTTATGAAAGTTGTTCTAGTATTTGTGCTGGAAAAGTTCTGGAAAGTGATTTTCTAAAAGGACTTCCTGTTACATTCTAAATCCTGCTATACAGTGATAAGTCATTGAAACTGCTTACATTCAAACAAGTCAGCTTTGACCGGAAAATGTTTATTCTACACATTATAGATTGCACTGAAATTTTGCACTGAGATTTTTCCTTTAATTAAAAAATGGCACCTTAATTACTTTCAGTTACACTGGACAGAGAACTGCTTCAGTACCTTCGGCCATACATATCTGAATACCTGCTTATTGGATTTGTTGACTTTTTAGAACCTGAGGGAAAAAAACAAGACAAAGAGATCACTTTACAAAGCTACTGAGATGGCAGACAGCTCAAATCTGGCTGTGCTGCTTAAGTACAATGTTTCAGAGTTTCAGATGTAGACATTTCATCACTGATCAGCTGTTAATTTTCTCTACAAAAACCTCATTTAGTAAAACACCGGACTGAAAATGTTCAGTTTGTGCCCATTTAGTTAGCGACACAGTTCATTCAAACGAAGAAATACTGATGCTTTCCTCAGTTCTAACCAAAAAAGTTTAAGTAGCATTCAAGTTTGCTCCAAATAATTTCCCAAAAGTTCTACATGCGTGTGACTGCAGAATCTGCACAAGGTCTCTTATTCGAACATAGAGAGTGACAGCAGGTCACAGTTGGCACTCGTTCATCTACACATCGGTTTATCAAGGTGGAGCTGACACAGATAACAAGAGTAGCAACAGTTCATCAAACCTGATATGCAGGTTCACGTCAGCTGCTTTCACCAGAGTTCATCTAGACAAAGTACGAGCGTGTGATTGTTTTCTGAGAAGCAAAGGAATGTGGTCAAACTCAGTTTTGAAAAGACTACATTCCACATACCAACAGACTTCCATACCGTTCATTTTCTTCAAGAAAAAAACACTATAAAAATGTCTGTGTAAATGTCCACGACTCTCTGGAAACGTACGTCAAGGTGCAGAATCAAGTGTAGAGCATGCGGTGAACATTTCTGAACTAACACACATATGGCTTCAAGCTACAATCATGGACCTCATCAACGTGCATTAAAGAGTAAGAACGAAAGAAAGAAACCAAGCAAGAAAGAAAGACAGAATAAAAAGACATGGAAAGAAAGACATAAAAAAAGAGAAGGAAAGAAAGATGGAAAGAAAAAAACAGACAGACAGAAGACAGGTGGTAAGAAAGACAACCAGAAAGAAAAAAAAAGGAAAGAAAGATGAAAAAAGACAGAGAAAGACACAAAGACAGACGTGAAAGACAGAAGAGGCTGAAAGACGGACAGAAAGAAATGCAGACAAAATGAAAAGACTGAAAGAGAAGAAAAGAACGAGAGATGGAAAGAAAGACAGACGGAGAAGAAAGACAAACAAAGAAAAAGAAGCAAAGAAAGATGAAAAACAGAAAGAGAATAAAAAGACAGATGGAAAGTGAGACAAGGAAAGAAACATGGGAAAAAAGTGACAGACTGACAGAGTAAAGACAGACAGGAAGAAAGACAAAAGAAAGAGAAGAAAAAAAAAGATGAAAAAAGACAGAAAGAGACAAAGACAGACAGAAGGAAGGACAGACATGGAAGACAGAATAGGCTGAAAGACAGAAAGAAATGCAGATAGAAAGACTGAAAGAAAGAGAAGAAAAGAAAGATGAATAGAAAAGACAAAGAAGACAGAAAGAGAAGGAAAGAAAGATAAAGAGAAAGACAGATAGACAGACAGAAGGAAGGAAAGACAGACATGAAAGACAGAAGAGCTCGAAAGACAGAAAGACACAAACAAATGCAGACAAAAAGAAAGACTGGAAAGATGGAAAGACATAAGACATTCTGCCTAGAAAGAAAGAAAGAAAGCAAGAAAGAAAGAAATGCTGATTGATTAGCGGTCAGACAATCGGTGATAATCCTCACTTGTATATTGTGCTGTTTCTGTATCATGGATGTTCTACAAAAGGGAGAAAGGCAGATAAAGACAGTTATAAGCAGAGAATAGAGTTCCAGCAGTGCATCAGACTCCACTGCCTTCACTGACTCGAGAGAGAAGGCACTGATATGCAGTACAGAGAGAAATAGAGCTTGAACGGAGAGCGACATCAAAAAAAAAAAAAATTATCGTCATAATTATCACCCCTTAATTTAAAATCGTATCAGTCAAAGGGTTGTGAGCCAAACAGAGAAGGCAGTGTGACATTCAGTACCGCACTGCTTCGCTCACATAAATCCACTGAGATCAGGACAGCAGGCAGACTCATCTGGAGTGTTTCAGTTCTTCTGCGCTTCAGTGAAACTAGCTGGTCACTCCATGCAGAGCAGTGTCTCACTGTCGCCCTCTTGTGGAGAAAGCATGCATGGTCCCCCTGAACTCATTTCAGTCTTTCGGGGTCCCACTTTAAACTCCAGCAGGAAATTTCTTCTAATAGTCTCTGTGATTCGGTCCCCCAGAGAGTGTTTTGTCTGTGCTGTCATGCTGTTCATGCTGTTCTGGGTTAAAGCGTGGCGGTGACAGTGCCACGCCAGGGAACAGAGGGTCAGCTCTCAGTCCACAAACCCTTAGAGCTCACTCTCCACAATCCAAACCCGCAAAGAGAGCAAAACGTGGAGGCAGAGGACAAGGAGCATGCACACTCTCCTGTCTTCATACTCGTTCCGAGCTGCTCTCCTTGCTGACTCTACGTCTGGGGAAGAGCCGCCGCTTCAGCACGATCAGCTACAGGGAGAGGAACACAGGAAATGACATCACACAAGCATGCCGTTTAATATTTATTCCTGCTATTAAACTGTGATTATGGGGCAACTTCCACATTTACCCAAGTTTACAAGCTGTCATGTATCACCAGCCAGTGCTCTTGCTATGCAAAAGTGTGTGCGCTCTTGGTCAAATTACACTTTGTTGATTTTCTAAGTGAAAATAAGTTACACATCCTGCACATTTTAATGCACAATTACTGTTTATTTGCTGAATTTAGCATATTGGAAAAAAAAATAAAACATAAAATGTAAGCTGTACAAAAGTTATGGCACATTTTGTGTTTTATATTGACCAATGTGTTTAACTCAGTAAATAAATAGAAACTGTGCACTACAATCTGCAGAAAAAGGCCATATTTAAGTGTGTTCTCTGTAGAGGATGTGTAAACTTTTTTTCACTTAGACAATCAACAAAACATGTAATCTGACCATGTTTAAACTTTTTCATATGACTGACGAATCCAGTGCAGAGAAGTCTAATGATATATAGTGCTTTTATGAGCACTTACTGCCAGGATCAATAGTTTTAAACAAGACCTTTGCACAGTACTGTACTGAGTCCCTGAAAGGACAGTGTTTTTTTCTTTAGGTAAAAATCTGATGCACACCAGAAAAAGGCCATATTTAAATGTGGTGAGTACCTATACCCAATACTGTCATGTGAGCACCTGATACTATCAAATGAGCACCAAATAGTGGTAGGTGCGCACCAGATACTACACCAGATAATATCAGGTGAGAACCCGATACTATGTGGTGAGCACCTAAGACGAGCACCAGATATTATTAGGTTCACCCCAGATACTATGTGAACAACACCTGATATACAACATACTATGTGGTGAGCGCCAGACACTATGTGTATTTGGTGCGCACCTAACAGTTTACGGTGCTCACCTGATAGTATCTGGTACACACCACATTTTTACATAAAAAAATAAATACACCACATCCCTTCAGGGGCTAAACGCAAATAACTGGTAGTAAAAATGGTGACGTAACGTTTTTCCAACATTATGAGTTGATGAGAACTGTTCAGTTAGAACACATGATAGAACTGAAAAGTAAAACCAAAAGCTGACAAAAATCAGTTCACTTGTGCTTGTTTTCAATAATGTCTACCACAGGATGCTACATGTGTTTATAGTGCTGTAAATCTTTGCCTTTAAGCTGTAACTAAGTAACCCTATAACTAAAGCTGATAATGTGTCGGCTCATTAAGGAACACACCTGTCGCTATACTCTGAGCTATGTCTGTATGTATGTGAGAGAGAGAGGGAGGGGGAGAGATCTTCCTTGAAGGACTTTGTGATAATGCATCATCTCCTGGTCTGTATTAAGAGTGAGTGTACTGATTCTGTCCTGTCATAGCAGACACAGTAAGATGTACCGTCCACTAAAAGGTCAGTGGGCTAATTAACCTTTCCCAGGATCAACAAGAGAGGAAACTGACCCTGCTGCCAAAGATCAAATCACAATGCAGCCATTCCATACATGCTACAGGAATGTGCCTGGCATATGTCAGTCAGACGTTTCCACTTACTTCATCATTAATAAAACTGCCCCGAGTGTTATATAACCATAGTACCAGATATAACTATAACAAGAGCATTTTTAGGGAGGTGGTGAAATAAGAAGTGGATGATTAAACACTGTTGGTGGACATCATAACAGATTATGGACTCACAATATGGGTTCATTAAGATGTTTACAGAAAAGATACAGACCTGTTCAGCAAAGAAGGAGATGACAGTGAAAACAACTAATGTCACCAGTACACAATGCGTCCAGAACTTCAGCTTGTCCCTGTATATTCGCCTGGAAGACAGATAAGCATAGTTTTACATTATTCTTTTAATGTAGAGCAACATTACATGAATAGTTTCTAAACACATCCACATTTTACCCCAAATATACTCAGTCAAGGTATGATTGGGGTCTGAAGTTTGCTTCTTTAGTTATATACTGGAGCTACGAGGCTAATGTAGTTAACAAGTGATGCAAGCTTATGAAATTAGCATTGTACAAACTGTACACCTAAAATCTGCCTCAAACCATGTCAAGGTATAGACTCGCTTTTGTGGTTTCTGAGACTGTATAACATACTGTTGTCTATAAAACAGACAAACCAACAAATCATTACCAACAAAATTCAGGCCTCAAGATGGCTGCTATTACTGTTCTTAGCAATGTGATGTACTTTTGTCCAGTTTTACAGATACCAGCATGTCATACAATGTCAGAAACCACATAAGCATGAGTTGTTAGCTATATACATTAAACACCCCTCCTAATTATTGCGTTCAGGTGTTTCAGCCACACCCGTTGCTACCAAGTGTATGAAATTAAGCACACAATCATGCAAATCAAATAGACATATATTGGCCATAGAATGGGTAGTACTGAAGAGCTCAGTGACGTTAAACATGCCACCTTTGCCACAAGTCAGTCAGTGAAATTTCTGCCCTGCTAGGTCTGCCCCGGTCAACTACAAGTACCACTTCTGTGAAATAAAAGAGTCTGAGAGCAACAACAGCTCAGCCACGAAGTGGTACACCACACAAATTTAGAGTGCGGTCGCTGAGTGCCAAAACACACAGGGTCTAAAAACCGTCTGTCCTCTATTGCATCACTCACTACAGTTCCAAACTGCCTCTAGAAGCAATACCAGCAATATGGGCCAACTCCATGGTTTTGGAATGGGATGCCCAACAAGGTCACACAGGTGTGATGGTCATGTATCCACATGCTTTTGGCCAGACAGTGTAAGCCTTGTGCTTCAGTACAAATTTAAAGAAGCAAACACCAAACATGTCTGATCTATGACATTTCGCCATAAAGGGAAAGCACAGTGACTTTAGTACGGTTACTGGCAGCGGCGTTTCCTTTAGTCTGAGCATGATGTCATGCAGCAGCCTGCTGGAGGTGAGAGGATGACCAGCTGACATCATCGGCACGCCGGAACGCCACCACCTGCTCGTCAGCCTCCTGTCACCACCTTATAGGTGTGTGTGCATGCGAGCTTGTTTGTGTGTATGTGTGGAGGTGTACAAGCTGGAAACTATGAGCACTGCACATCACCATTCATAACTGAGAAGCCAGGTCGGCTCTGTTACAGCGAAGCCACCGCAGCACCATGTGATCTGGCCGGCTTCACTGCAGGATGCTCGCCTATTTCAGGGTCTGCCCAGCTTGTCTAAAACCTGGGACATATTTCAAAAGCTCCAGGTCTCAAGCAGCTGGTCTCCACAGAGACACACACCCAGATATACAAATATACATGAACACATGCGCAATTGTATTACTATACCTGTGAAGACCAAACATTGCATAAGCACTGATTCAGAGTACCTGAATCTCATTCTAAGCCTAAACCTGTCCCAAAGTCTAACTCTAACCATTGCCCTGACCCTACATCTGATCCTAACATAATCAGTGTGATTAATCCTAGCCTTAACCATAATCAACAACACAAAAAGTTAAACCATGGACACTAATACGGAATTGGACCGTATTGCTGATGCAACTTCTATTTTGAAAATACATGAGGAACGCAGCCCTCATAAACTGTATTTTTCTTATGCTGGTGAGGGCATTCGGCCATCACAAGTATAAAAATAAAAGCACACAGATCCACACGCAAACACAGCCTCGACCACCCCCTAATTCCCAGAATTCCCCTTGGTGTTGACAGCTATTGGCTATCCTTCCTGCTATGATGACAGGAATAACAATCCACAGTCATTCTGAAAGACTGAGAATAGATACTTTTATAAGGCATTTGTTGCCTCCATTCACATGAAACCTATATTTGAAGTGAGCAGTAAGTACCTGTATGCAAAGGTTTGCCCCCACCAGTCAATTTACATGTTTTGTTGAGTTTCAAGCAAAACAAGTAATTTTACCAGCGTGCCCTAACTTTTGCACACGACTGTTGACTGCTTACCATACACTATCATCCACACGCCCTCTACTGTTTAAAACAATAATTCACTTCTGAAGGCAAAATATGATCTGAATTTTCTGTGTCCTGTGTTTTGTAACTTGTTGTCTTCAGCCACTTGAAATCTGGATTTATTGGCATTTTGCTATTATATTCAAATGTAATCAAATAATTTCATAGTTAGTTGTAATGAAATATATTTACATTCGGTCTATATTTTGTATAGTAGGGTTGGTGCCTGTACTTTCTGTCTCATTCTGATGCCAAGAAATAACAAAATTGTAATCAAATCCAAATCATTATAAAATCAGAAGATTTCCATTGCTATTATAATTCTATTTTTATTCACTGGAAGTCATTCATTCTCTGACTGGAAGCCAGGGACTGTTCCTTATTGGCTGAGGTTGGAATAAACAAGCTGCATTCTCATTATCATCACTCTTTCCATGCAGTGCTCTTCCTCTGGACCCTGTCTGGAATGCTATTGCTAATGCTCTCACCACTCCTGCAGCTCTCCCATGTGGAGGAAGCGGTTGCGGTACTCTCGAGGCAGCTCAAACTGCGAGGGCAACGGAAACATGGACTCGTAGAAGTCCCTCAGGACGGCTTTCACTGTGCTGGCATCCTTATGGCTGTGGTCAATGTTGTCATTCAAACATATGAACTTCCTATGGGGAAAAGAGCAATGATAAACACTGCATTCAGTCTTATTAAACGATGACAGGTTTTCAAAATTTCATATGCCACTTGGGATACACTTGGGATGCATGCACAATGCTGAGGCTAAATGACCTCAGAAGCACGGGACATACCTTGGGTTCTTCCTTATGTCATCCAGCTGCCCCACCACATGCGAGACATTGGTTCGTACCATTTTAAAGGCGATTTCCTCCTCTCCCATGATCTCAAACCTAAACAACAGAAGAATGAAGCATTACTCAGAAGCAATCAATGTTTGATATATAAGCATTGAATAACAGATTCATAAGCAATACTTATATATTTATAGAGAGCTAGACTTTATAAAAAGTTTTCTGAAGTAACATTAGGGCCATTAAAGGGGAATTCCATTGATTTTTTTAATCAATAAATGGTTAAAACATAAGCAAAGTCACTTTGTTTATTCAGTGAGAATTGTTCACAGTGGTGGTGATAGGAACGAGATGTCCAAAGACTTTAATGCCTCTAAAAGCTCCCTCACAGAAAGTTATTGCATTAAACAGTCATGAATACACTGCCTGGTTCCTGAGACATGGTTTTGTAAGTTTTGAGAAAGGGTTTTGCCCTTATTTTTTTTTAATCCGTTCAAATAGCAAAGAGGTACATGCAGTACCCAAAGAAAACTCAAAGTGGCCCCAGAAAACTTTACTTTTTCAGATTTACCATTATTTTATCATTTTCAATACTGCATGTAAAAACTCAGAAGGTTCAGTAAGGTCACTGGTCATTTTGGACAGTAAATAAAATGGCTATATCTGTGTTGAAGACATTGTGACCCCTCGTTCCTATTACCACCACCATAAAGAAATCAAAGTTGGTAAGTTTCTCTAAAATGTCGCATTACACATCAAACCACTCTGAGAGACTTTGTTTGCATCTCAACCACTGAATTATACAGCAATGTTGAAAAAACAGTATAATTCTTTGCTTTTTATTTCTATTTTTTTGTTTTATGGTAGATTTTGATGCTCTTTTTTCAGTGAATATAAATACGAATATTTCATTTTAAAAGTCTTGTATTTGAGTAAAAAGTAAAATATTACTTGACCAAACATGCTATGTCTACATTTCTATTTGAGTACAAAAATCTAAAATTACTTACTGTGAGTTATGACAGCTAATATGTTAAATGACTTAGCTGGACGGGGAAACGTGTTTCTTCAGTAGAAATTTTATTTTTGTACTTTAACTCAAGTAGATATACACAAATTTGATGTATGGTTTTCGTAACTAAGCCTATGATCCAAGTTTATGATTTGGGAATGATGCTTCATAAGAGTGTTTAATTCATAAAACAGTTGATAAATATTCAAGTACTGATTTATAATTACATTATTCAATGCATTTGCATGTAATATGAAGCCTCTACATAGGACGGCTTCAAACAAAGTGTTAACCCGTATTTCACCCATGGGACGTGTTGTATTAGACCTACTTGTATTTGTTCTGGTCTTTGAAGGCTTTCTGGATTTTCTCTGCGATCGGTTTACAGTGAATGACCAGACCTTTGGTAACTGGAGGCTGCAGACAAGAAATAAGAGGTCCAATATGTACAGAACACCACACTGCAATTCCATTTCTACACACTGTGATGGGATGTGCTTAAAGGCTGGTCTGCAACAGTCTTTACTAAAATGACGTGTTTGTTGGTTGACATGAAAGATTTGATACATCCAAACACCCAAAGAGCAGCTGTGAATGTTTAAAAGCACACAAGACAAAATGGTTGGTTCATTTGTATAGAGCAGACTTTTGCAATGTCAGTAATGCAAAAACTAACAATGTGATAACAATTCATTATCAATACATTGTGCAGCACTTGTCCATTGTCCATGAACTAACACAAAGCAGAGATTCTACATAACAAATATCTCTATGGTCCTCTGACAAAACCTGTTTATCTAGGATGAACTCGAACCTTTCACATCTACAGACATGAGAAAGCTGATACTAAACAGTTTGAACGGACATTCTCAGTTGAGAGGCAACTGCGGTTCAACGGGTGTCAGCCACAGCTGTGACAGTGCAGGGGAGGGTTCTAATTGGCTCTCTCACCATACTGGGGTCATAGTAAGTCTCCTGGGTGGGGTTCACCATGTGGAGCTGAGTCTGGTTGCTGGGGAGAGTCTTAGAGCAGTTTATCAGCATCTGCTCCAGACCTGTCAGGTCCTGCTCACAGCCAGACACACATACAAACACAGGCATTCAACAACTCATTAACATTCATAACATTCATTTCTTCAAACATTTTTGTTGCTTAACTAAATACATAAACAGACTCCCACTGAAGCCCTTTTTGAGCAGGATTAGTTTTACCAGAGAGGGCCTGGTAATGTAATCTGTGCATGATTCAACAGGTGATTCATACGGGATAAAAGATCTGTGCAATTTCCCCAAATGACCCCAAAGCCTGGATCAAAACATCAACATGCAGATGTTTATGTCAGCATAAGGCAACATACACCACATCTCTGAGCAATAACATGTCGTGTGGCTAGAGAGCAAATATGGTGCCAAAAACACCCAAAACGCAACACTGGACAAGGAGGGAAACTCTACATCTCACTTCAGTGTGGGGTGACGCCACTTAATTATCAACGGTAATTTGAACTGATGGTCCATAACACAGCGTATTGAAAGAATATATACTGAGTTGTTGTGGATTTCATTAATCTTATCATGAACTTGAGGATTAAGGAACTGCGTAAAACTGAACTCAATTTTAGCTGTTAGCCTTGTCTTCAGGTTGCAAAAAAAAGAAAACACCCGCTTTTGTTATAATATTTCTGTGATGTCGATTCGAACAGGAATACTATCATCAGTGACGTTATGAAGGAGGAGACAGGTTACTGGTTGAAATAGGTTGAATAGGAAGCTCGTAACATGGCGTCCGTTTACAGGAAGTCCCTGCCCTTCAATAAAAGAGCCAGTTTGCTTACTGGTTATGCCACGAGTGGGGAAAGCCCTCGTTGTGGAGATCTGTGCACAGTAGCCAGAACTACCTAAAAATGTTTTTTTTTTGTGTGTGTTACCGAGCCAAACGCTACAAACTATTTATGAGGTTTTTGTCAGATTTTACCAGTTCAAATGTGCTTTTGAAACAGTAATTTCACCTTCACTTTTGAGTATCTAATTATTATCTCTAACCATTCAAAAAGATAGGAGGCTGATCCTATACAGATGGAAGTAACTGCCCAGTGTCATTGCCAATATGGCTGCCAAATGAAACAGATTTTCCTGTAATGATTTTGCTATTACTTAGGAAGCTCCGAGTTTGGCGAATTACAGAATGTATTTCACTCTGGAATTATTATTTAGCAGACGTGTAAAAACTATGGATGCTGCAGATTTGTACTAGATTAAAATCAGGGATCTTGCTGGTAACTCTGTCACTCAAATTACAGCACCTCCCCAGATAAAAATAATCCAGCCTTAATACGGCTTAAGAAAGAGAAAATCAAATCATGCATGTGCAACTAACTGTAACAATACAAATATACCTTGTGTTCTCCATGAGACTTGATACATCAGATACATAACAATGACGCCACCAACACTAACTAACACGTCATTCCCCCACTCCAGCAAGGGGAGCTAGTAAGTACCTGCAGACTGAGGGGGAGCTCGTGGATGCGTGTTGCGAGTGTGCGGATCTCTCTGTCGGAAAGAACACCTGAGTGGTCCGTATCGATCTCGTCAAAGACCTGCGAGACGTTGAGCTGCTGCAGAGCGCTCATCAGGAAGTAGAAATAAGAGAAGGCGAACTGCATGTCCTCTGAATGGCGCACACGGTGGGAAGAAGTCTTATCAAATTCCTCAGGAAATCTAAGAATAGATGGAGAGAAAGAAAAGGCAACGTAGAGTCTGTTTAAAAAGTACTATGGTCATAAAGAGCACAAATGTCTCAGGAAACGTACTGAATTAGATGTAATTTCTTTAAAGGAATTTAGTTTGTTCCTTATGTTCATGGTTACTTCAGACAGTCAACCTTACCTATCATACTACCCATCCAAAGAGAGAGAACTAAAAGCCATTTTTTTCTGTAGACGCCTCTCTAAAGCTTTATTCAAGTGTGTGCTGTGATTCTTACGTGTCCTGTAGCTCCTGCATGACGAGCCTGTCGATCATGTGTGGCATGTGAGCGGGCACTTTGCGGGAAGTGAAGCCGAACTGGCCGTTCAGCAGCTTGTTGACATAGCGGAGTGAATCCGCAAAGGTGTCTTTCAGCCTCCGGCCAGTGGCGGCGCCATCTGCTTTATACTCCAATTCTCTCTCCAACCGCTCCATCTCCTGTGAAGCACAGCCAGTAAGTTTGAGTGGAAGATGTTATTTTATTTGTTTTGCTGTAGTTGTTTAAGTTAGGATGTAACTACACACAGATGGTTCTGTATTAGTCCAAATACAGCATTCTTATTTTTCAAAAGCAATAAGGATGATGTAAGCATAGTATAGGCTTTCCTTAGTTAGTGGTCACGTAGAGTCACTTTCAAGGGATTAAAATGGATGCTGCATATAGTATATCAGGCACATTTTAGTAAGTTTTTTCCCCACATTTTCCCTGTGCAGAAAAAAAAAAAACTGATCCAAGACTAGCTGTAAGGGAACATGCCACTTTATTTAATGGCTCCAAGCAACTGTGCGACCTGCTGCGTTGAAAGGAAATTCCACATATTTTTCTGCATAATTAAATCATTAAGATGTAAACAAAGTCACTCAGAGTGGTTTGGTATGAAATGCACCATTCTAGAGAAACCTATCAAGTCAGAATTAGTCCATAGTGGTGATAGGAACCAGATGTCTAAAGAGTTTCATGCCTCTAAAAGCTCCTTAAGGCAGTTATTATGTGAAACAGAGGCAAATATGTTTCTGATCTGAGACATTGTTTACCAATAGTTTTTAGATACAATTTTGACATAATATGTATTTGTTAAAATACTATTTTTCACTATTTTATCATTTTCAGCAATATATAAATAACTCAGAAGTCATGTGTAGGCTTTTTGGTCTTTTTGTAGTGGAAATAAAATGGTCATATTTGTGCTGTAGACATTGTGAACTCTGGCTCCTATCACTACCACTGGAAAAAAAAAAAACATATGCATGCAAGTTTTTCTATGATGCACCATAGAAACCACTTAGATTTTTTTATACTGAACTATGCCAAAATTTTGCTAAATCAGTGGATTTTCCCTTTATACCTTGGTCAGTGATGGTAATCTTACTGAACTCTATCAGGCGCTGCAGGAAATACACCTTACTATGCATTTATTTAAAAAAAAAATGACCATGTCGAGATCGATGAGTACATTGGTTAAATCCTCTGATCACTATGATTAATCAAAACACCTACAGAATTAAACAGCAAAATCTGATATTTGTGAGGACACTTAAATCAGTATCAGTTTTGCAAAGGCCAATATTGCAATAACAATTAACAAATAATATGCTGTTCAACATTCACTCACCTCTAGAAGGTCCTGGAAATATTTGCTCTTTTCCCACGGCAGGAAGCTCCATTCAGGGCCTATGTAGTGCTGAAGCTTGCGGCCCACATGTGGCTCTAACTCCGCCTTCTCATCTTCGGCCTGAGGCTTTTGTTCATGGGCCTGGGCCTCCCAGCCTCTCCCCTTAGACATGCTCCCCACCAGAGTCCCAAGCAGTCTGGACGCGAGAGGCTTTTCTGTGCTCTTGAGTTGTGACTGGTCAGCCAAAGCGAGCTCTTGTGGAGGCTCATTGTCAATCTTCACTGGGATGAGAGAAACTTTCTGTTCATTCTTCTTTTCCATTTGGCTCTGTTTGTCATCTGATTTGGATGCATCTGCATTTCTTTCTACTACTGCGTCCCCTTCTTCTGCTTTCCCTTTATCTACTCTGTTGTCTTTTTGAGCCTCTGATTCTGCCATTTCCTGGAATGGCTTCAGCAATGTGGCTTTAGTCAGGTTGTAGCCTTTAATGGTGATGTCTCCTAGACGTAGCTTCTCATCCAGCCTCTGCAGCTCGCGCCTCACGTCTTCAGGCAAAAGAGATGTGTTTAATGCAGGGACCTCCACAATCACCTCCACCTCTCCAGGGGGCTTTTTTCTCACTTTGGGGGCTTGTTTCTCAACTGGGATGTCTGCAAACTGAGCCTCTGGTTCTGGGGTGGCCACAGTGGGCTTGTACTCCTCGTTCCCTTTCTCCTGCATGGAGTCAGATGTGTTGCGTTTGGGGAGTTCGCGGGTGTCCACAGCTACAGTGAAGCTCATTGAGAACTCGTGGTCGCCAGCACCCTGAAAGGTGAGGTTGTAGTGGATCTGAGTGGCGTTGTAGCCCGGCAGCAGCAGCAGGTGGATGGTCTTCCACTTGTTGGCAACAGACGTGTGACGCACCACGGGGTTATCGGCGACCTGGGCCTCTGATACACGGTTAGCAAATGCGGAGAAGATGAAATAGGGCCTCAGCTCACCCTGAGGCAGCGTGTACTGCGTCTTATTCCTCTGTAGGACGACTCGGTACAGCTGGCCGAAGTTATCTGTTAAATGCACACACAATCAGAAGGAATTAGCTTCTGACTCAATGAAGGCATACAATCAGCACTCACACATACAAAGCAAACCAAACAAACAGAAATGAACTGATACTTATCAAGTGTTCAGTTCTGTTAAATACATTATTTCCATATGCACCCATCCTTTGCTTGTATATTTTGATGAACAGGTTTTTAGTTAGACAGGATACTGACACAATCATATTTTTATAGGCAGGTAATTGCTTAAAAAGAATTGGTATCAAACAGATGTTTAGGTGATGCTGTGTTACTGTGCTAAAATGTCTGCATTTTATTTATTTTACTGTGTTTGTAACCCTACAGAAATATGAAATGCAAATACAGGGGCTTTTTTCATATGCTGACATCCATTTGCATACATACTATTTCTAAAATATATATATATAAAAAAAAATATATATATATATATATATTTAATTTTTTTTTTCCTCACAAAGAAAAGAAAAACATCATTTATGATACTACCACTGGATATCACCGTGTTATTATCTCCAGTAGTCACAGTAGTCAGAGACATGCTGATGTGATTTCAGGTCAAATACAGACAGATTATGCATGAAAAACTCCTGTGAATGTCGATTCTGATAAAGAGTACAGAATTGTACCTGGCATTAGCCATAAAAAAATAGCATTTTTTTAATTTAGCTTTAGGTGATTGTGTATGCTGGGCTGGCACAGATTCAAAGTATATACACTTTTTTTTCTTATGAATACGCAACATTGGTAGTTTGTGAGCTAAAAAGTGTTTGGGGCTCCGAAAGTTGATTCTTCAGAGCTACTAGGCTAACGTAAGTAATGTAAATACGCAAGTAATGGTAAATAATACTTAGTTTAAACCGTGTCGAGTTATTAATTAATCTCAAATATATAGAAGATGGACAAAATTATGTTGCATAGATAAACCAGCAGTAGTAGACATCCTGAAACTGAAACTTGTCTGCACTTTTGTCCATTTTTATTGACATCTTTCCTCGCCCGTCTCTCTCACCTTGTCCACAGTCTCCCACATCAAACCCGCAGGCCAGCACATTGCATGCCTGGTCACAGAACTTGTCAGCCAACCAGGAGTTAGCACAGCCCTGATTGCAGAAGGACACGCCCCCTAGGCCTCCCAATCCACCAGGGAACTGCCAGGGCTGTCCACCTCCGATCACCGAACCTCCAGCGCCACCGCCGCCGAAACGACTGCCTCCTGCCGTACCTGCGGAATCAATCACAGTAGAGGCAGAAGTTCTAGCTAAACTGGGTTTCTAAGCAAATCTGCACATCTCCAACAGCATGTTGTAAGTTTTAGGGATATACAGACGGTGTTCTAAAATAACAGACAGTAATCTTGCTAACCCAGGCAGTCTCCGCCATCCCAGTCACAGGCAGAGTTGTTACAGGCCTTGTCGCAGTAGCCATCTTTGATCCAAGAACCCGGGCAGCCCTCAGCACAGTTAGGAACAGGCCAGGTGAGGTACACCTATGGGAGGAGAATTTGGCCTCACTATTCAGGTCACTATGCTCACAGAGTGGGAAAAATCCTGAAAAGTCTTCTTGAGACAACAGGCACGAGACATCAGATACAGAATGTCCACTAAAAAGAGGCTACAATGGAGTGAATTTGGTAGCACAAAGCAAAGCATATGTCCTCTGACCTTCTGGCCCTTTGAGTGGCTGTAGAAATCATCAGGCCACACGTCTTTGCCAAACATGACATCATCGTTGAGGTAGATGAACTTCTGCGAGAGGCCTGGGATGCGATGGATGTGCGTCTCAATGGCTGGAGAGCTGAATGTGGGCAGGTGGGACTGGTTCTGAAAGATATCCTGGGAGGAAACACAATTAGACATGCAAGATTGGAACAAGAGGACATAATTGTGAACCGTGGGCTATGAATGAGCAGCCTTGGACTGATATTTGATGATATTTTTCAGCTAGTATCATGCAAATCAGCATTCTTTTGCTCTCTTTCACTTAACCTGTGATTTTTTTTATTGCATAATGTTATGTAGCCATTACACACAACAGTGTAAGTGTAAGATTACTGCCATACATGGAAACGTTATCAGAGACAGCTTTTTAAATCTTCATTTTAGTTTAACGTTTAGTATCATGTTTAGTCATTGCACTTTTTACAGATGAAAACAGCAGATGGGATTTTTAAGAAACTGAAAACATCATATCAAGACAGACATGCTTTTGATATTATTCAGAATCTGAACTCAGGAGAAGTAGATCCCTTGAGCAGGAACAGCACCAAAGTTATCATTTTTTTGGCCAACATTGCGGCCAAATGGCTTTGGTGTTTAGCCTATGGTGTGAAGAGTCTTCCTGGGTTTGTGCCCTCTCTTGCAAAAATGGAAATAGTCCTAGATACAGTGACCTTCACAAATTTTGTCACTCCTGATAATCATGCGCAAAATGAGCTGTAAAAATATTATTAATTACTTATTCTTTCTGATCTTTCATTCAAAACTTCAATCATCTAATCTTTATTTAAGGTATAATGATTGAAAGAAAAACTAAATTTTGTCATGAAAAAATATATTTCTTAAATCTGTGCCACAATTATTGGCACCCCTAGAAATCCTTAAGAGTGAAATCTGACTGAAGTATATTCTCTTTCATATTTTATGTTTTTAAGTTCACTTGAGCGATTAGGAACACTTAAATGGCCAGCCATTCACTAGGGAATATACATGAGATGAAACACAGACCAAATGCCCCAAATATCACAGATGGGGAATTGCAGATATTAGTTAGGTCAGAAGATCTCCCAAACTACAAACACCACCTATATAACCACAAGCTGTTTTGGGGGGCTCTGCTGTCAAAGACTAACAAACTCAAGCTCCTACAGTTTGCCAAACGTTATTGGAGCTTTCATTGGAACTGTGGTTTAATGTCAGATGAGACCAAAATAGAAGCTTTTGGCCGCTCTGTTACATGAGACCTGCTCTCCAGTAGACAGTAAAATGGAGCATGTCGAGAAGAAAGGTATCAACACACCAGCTCAGCAATGGTTTAATTTCCAACCAAATGAACATGTAGAACTGATGCATGTTAAAAGTGTTATGCAAAACATAAGAAAGATAAACCATTGCAACAAACCAAATGCAAATTCATTTAATCCCTTACACTCTAAGTACTTGTCCAGATTTCCCTTATTCACTCTCATAACTACATTTACATATTGCTTCATGGTGAGTAATTCATAGTAGTTACTGGATAATAACCTTTTTCTCATATCAATAACTGAATGATAAACCATGAGGTTAACTTGTTAAGGGGACTCACCTGATGGGTAACCACAGTAACGCGGGGGTTGTCCAAGTTAAGCCAGGAGGGGATTTGCCCGTTGGTGACGATGAAGATATGGCGCACCCAGGGAGCGTGTCTCTCCACAGACCGTAATGAATAGCGTAGCTCCTCGTTGTCCTCAAAGCGGCTGGCTGACACATCCTCATCCTGCTTTGACTGCAGACGTACAGCAGAAATAGCATTCACACATCATAGTCAGCACAGTTAGATTAAAGGGTTTCATCATCCTTAATGAATTTAATAAATGAACTCCTGTCCACTCATCTGTCGTTAGTGTGGTGGTATCTCGGTATCTTGGTACTCAGTGTAAAATGCATGTTACCTGTGAGACGGCACTGATGTCCCAGAACAGATACGCCGGGCTGACTGTGAGCTCTTTGCCATCCAGAGTCAGGTTCTTCTTGGCCTGCTGGAGGAGGTCAGTGAAGTCCTGCGCTGTGTTCAGGTGGAGGAGAGCAATGCTGGCCTCAGAGTAAAGCTGCAGCTGAACGACAACAGACAGAGTGCTAAGAGCAGCTACTGCAACCGAATCTTTAATGCAACTTAACAAACTTTGATAAAAGTGGGATGGCTCTTTGTATAATACAGAAACCTTGTTCATACATAATGCACCACATTAAAGGGGAACTCCACCTTTTTTTCCAAAATTCTACATGATTAAGTGGTTGAGACATGAAGAAAGTCATTTAGAGTGGTTTGGTGTGAAATGCTCTGTTCTAGAGAAACTTGCAGAGTCAGAATTGTTCACAATGGTGGCGATAGGAACCAGACATCCAAGTTCCCTCACAAAAAGTTATTACATGAAATGGTTATGAATACACTGTTTGATGTCCGACACATTGTTTCATGATAATTTTGTACTAAAGTTTTGGATTGAAATGTATTTGAATCCATTAATTTTAATCCTGTCATGGCTAAGGGATACATGCAGGTCATTGTGAGGCAAAACAGTCTCTAAAGAAAACTTATTTTTTTCAGATTTTCCATTGTTTTACCATCATCAACATTACATATGTAAACTCAGATGACACGTCTTGGTTCACTGGTGGTTTTGGATAGTAAATAAAATAACTATATTTGTGTTGTAGACATGGCAACCCCTGGTTCCTATCACCACCACTGTAAAGAAATCTGACAATGAACCATTTCACACTAAAACACAGTGAACAAGTCCGTTTACATCTCAAGGACTGAAAAAATTGGCAGAGTTCCCCTTTAAATATAGGAGGATTTGTATTACTCTGAAAAAATGCACCATGCAATGCAGTTACTGTAACAAATTCACATAAACATACTGTGTAACACAAAACCCATTATGTACCACATCAACTCTTTCAGCTACTGCCAGTTTTCCAGACACGGATGATACTTAATCTTGGGCAGTCTCCAATGAAAATCCTTCAAAGTCTTGGCTTAATGTTTATGCAAACAGTCCTACACAACTATTGGGCAAAGTTATCCCTTTTAAAGTTATGTATCAGAATAAATTTTCAGGGAAAATGGTATAAAAGCAATTACACTAAGGTTTAAAGAAAGTATGATCAGTAATACTACATTATGACATGCATGTATCCTCTAATACTATTGATGGGGGGAGAGAGCCAGGGAGAGAGACAGCGAGAGACAAAGACAGAGACAGAGAGAAAGAGAGAAAGAGAGAGAGAGAGAGAGAGAGAGAGACAGAGACAGAGACAGAGACAGAGACAGAGAGAGAGACAGAGAGAGAGACAGAGAGATGGAACACAATAGCTCGTAAACAGTGCCATAAAATATGCAAAGCAGCAGGGGCTACAGCGGCATGACCAGTTGGAGTGGACACGTCAGTGCCCAAACTAAGCCTGTCTGCCCAGCTGCTGAGCTCCCCCTGCCCACTTCTTCAACCACAGGGGCTTTGGGAAAAAAAGGACGACTCAGTAGCTAAAAATAACCAAAAAAACGGGATGCCAAGAATAAACAAAGGTTGTTATAAGATATAGCCTATAAATATGTGACATATATTTGTGACCATTATGTTTGCTCTGCCATGCACTGACCTTTGATGAATATAGTTGAAATGATCAACTAACACACAGCACACACCTCATGTGGGTGACATTCACTAAAACGAGTTGATAAGGAACGACTATGATGACATTTTGAAGTTCAGCAGCATGATCAGCGACTAGATCTAATCAGAGTGGATCCGATAACTGGCAAATTCTTCGTCCAATCAGTGGCCATGGTGCTGCTTTCGCACATGCTAAGGAGCCTGATTAACGGCTTTGGCAAAGCTCATGCATCTCGCGGCGTGTTTCACGCAGGTCCGTCCAGGTCTCCTCACAAATGACATCATCAACCGAACATACCCACACATCTTACAGTCCAGAGCCAATACACACATCATCTGTCCACCTCCAGCCTCCATACACGGCAACACAGATCTACAGTTACTCCTCCTTTCATCCCTCTCTCCTCTCCTGGAATAGTTCAGACAGATTAGCGTACTCCAGTAACTGCCAGCGCCAAGTCAAGGTCCTCCAATGATGAGTGTGTTCGCAGGATCAGGTTCTCCCTCTTAAACACTTTTTATCACCCCTTATAATGCTGTTTACACACACGTACACACAGGCAAGCGCATCCCCGTAGCTGACATTCTTCCATACATGCCTCCTGTAATCCCCACATGGACAGAACAGAGCACAGGAGGCTGCTGGACTATCAATAGCTTTTACTCAGTAGCTCTGTTTCCAGGAACATTTGTATGGTCATCCACACTCAAGTCACATGTTTTACAAACAATAAAGGCCGGTATGGGGGTCAGAAACGCGACTGGATGAGCCAAGTTGACAAGGCAAAGGAAAATGGGACAAAATGTGTACATGTGACATTATAATATTACAACATACATTATAAAAGTAATGTAACCTTCTAAACTCTTTGTTTATTGTTCAGCTATTTGGTAACTACTGTAAATGATCCAGTAATTACAATGAAACTACCATGAACTGCTATGAATGTACGCTATGTAATTATGAGAGGAGTTGTTTAGGAGTTTGCTCTGAATTTAAGGGGTTAAACAGTTTGCAGGTCTAATTTGCTGGGTTCTCATATGACATGATAGAGTGAAAAATGAACTGAGAACAATGAGTGACTGTCAGCTCAGAGGATGTTCAGTCTTACAGGTTTGATCATTTATTTATTGATTGTTACAGACTATTCAATATCTGCCTAGCAAGCTCTTAGCTGGAGGTAACAGTGATGGCATTTATGGAATGAAAAAATGTTCAAATAGTTGAATTTGTTTACATGCAAATGTGACATATATATAATATGCCACATAAATAAACACTCTCTTCCTTCTCTCTGTCTTTCTCTCCTGTCACTCTTTTTCTGTCTTTCTCACTCTGTCACTTTTCTCTTTCTCTCTTGTTGTTCTTTTCTCTCTTTTTCTCTCCTATTGCTTTTTCCTCTTTCTCTCCATTTCTTCTGTCACTCTTCTTCTTCTCTCTCGCTCTCTCTCTTGACACTATTTCTCTATCTCTCTGCTGTTACTCTGTCTCTCTCTGTCTCAGATGATAGGGGATGAAGGGACAGCTTTCATCAACATTGCGGTCAGTCTAACACACACTATAAATATACCCCACCTCTCAACACTTCCCTCCACTCCCCTCTCTTGTGCGCTCTCTCACTCAACCTCTTCATTGCATTTTCAGGGAAAAGAAAAATCCTGAAACTAGAGTCAGACACTGAGAGATGACTCTGCTGAGGTCCACCACACCCAAACACAACACACAACCCTGTCCTCATACACCCCAACACAAACACACATACACACACAATACATACATACACTGCATACACACACAGCCCCCAGAGAAGCACACCACCTTGTGGGACATGAGAAAACAGCATCATAGAATCAATCTGCTTCACCAGTGCAATGTAGAACACAGAGTAACAGTGAACAGAGATAGAGACGTCCTGACAAAGAACTGATAAAAAACAGAAACTGAGCATTCAAAGCAAGAGAGCAAATAAAATGTATAGAGAGCACAGAAACAGCAGGAGAGGGACTGAATAAGAGCATGAACATGAATTACAGAGAGACAGAGATATTCGGAAACATAGAGTTTAGTAAAGATAAAGAAATATGACTTGATGGTTGACAGAAGGGTTTAAAGAGAAGGAAGGAAAGCCAGAGACGAAGGGTCAGCTAAGCCCTTTTTTATGGGAAGACTGGCTTTGCTCCATCGTAAACAGTTGTTATAATATTATACCACACCCCCTCAGCTAGAGTTACAGTCCAGCAGCCAAACTCCAACAGACCAAGTCCTGAAACTAACCTCATCTCAAAGAAAATCAGCCTGAAATATTTGTCACTTTCCCCATTCTACATATCTCAGTGGTCTTCACTGCAAACCTATAGAGTTTGGGCAAAATATTACTTGAGCACAAAAGCTGAGTATAAGTTACCTGTCTGTTATTTATACTTGGGTACAAAAGTCCAAAAACACTTTCTCGTAAATGTACTTAAATGTCAAAAGTAAATGTACTGTCAGTTCTTACATTATTTTAATTAAAAATTACTATTAAAGGCCTGTAGCTGTTCATTTCTGCAGCCACGCAGGTCTCCTAATGGAAACTGTCCAAAATAAAACAACAAGTACAATTCAATGAGAAATACATATCTAAAAACAGCGTTCTTAACTAGGCCACTGTCTTACAAGTTTCATTGCTTCCTAAGACAGTAAACACTGCTTTGAAACAGTGTTATGAATACAAAAAATGTCCATCAGTTTGAGGCTCCTTAAGTCAGTTCAATGTTATTAAATAAAATCTTATGTTATCTTGTGATTACTGGCATAAGCTGTTCATAAATACTCAGGCATTGCTTTATAATTATGTTATGCAACATTTATGCAAGTGTTATAAGTCCCTATGTAGGCAGCCTTCAAATAAAGTTTGTTTTTGGTGCAGTATTAATTATTAATATCATTTAAAATAAAAATAGGCTTGATGTGCTAATAAATAGGCTATGAGATTATAAAAAGCTGTATAACTCAAACTGTAACAGGATAGTTGCTCCTTAAAAAGAACAAGACGAGCACAGCAGTTTTATAATGGCTCTTGTGTGACACCTTGTGGTCTTTTCTACTATCTGTCTCTTATTCTAGCTTTAATTCTTACCTGTTTAATTTTGCCGGTCACCACCGATGGCAGCTTGATCCTCAGTTGCTCAGTCTCTTTAAAAGAGGCAGGAAAGCCACTCAGGTAGGCCAGCGTCTGAATCCGCACCAGACTAGGAGCATCCTTATCCGTCGTCTGTCGACAGAGAAATATGACAGACAAATACAGCCCTCTGAGTTTCAGCATGTCGATAGCAAAGACATATTTTTGCCCAATTTGCACCCCTTATAAGCCACAGAAGTCAGAATGTTCAAGCACTTAATACATTTGGGTGAGGCACTCTAAGACATTTCAAGCATTTTCTGTGGGTTAAAAAAAAATTTCTTGTTTTGGAAAGAAACACACTCTTGGCAAATGAAAGGAAACAGATGGAACTGTAAAGACTACAAGCCTCAAAATGTGCAGTTTTCACTTCTCAGAATAGAAGAACTTACCAGATAGGCTCTGGAGACAGAGTGTTTCGGAATGTCCTTTGGTGCGTCTGAATGAGCTTTATCCGCTGATGAAACAAAAAGATACAAAACGGCAAGGTCACTCTTCTCTACATTCATCTCAAGACTTGCATCATGTCTATCTAAATCCATTTGTAATTCAACATGCCCGCTGCGCAGGCTCAATGATAACACTGATCAAACAAAGCCGTGTGACTCTTTCTTCAGTGTTTATCTTATTTCAGTTCCTCTGCCTGTGAGATACAATCTAACACTCAGCATTCCAGAAATGGTAACAGTACAGCAGAAGGAAACAAACATTTGTATCTTTAATGTAAGTTAATGTAACAAAATTTTATTCATAGTCATTTAGGACCATTTCAGTTGGTCCAATTATAACGACATTTTCACACAAAGCATAGGGCAGCTGGTAGTTTGAAATGATGTCAAGAAATAAAAAAAGGAGATACAAGGTTTTGTTCCAACAACAATGACATGTATGTTTGAACACCCACTGTAAAATGTTTTGTCAGTACAGTGTACTTTGTGGTTTTACTCGAGTTAAATAAATGGTTTGAGTGAAATAGTGAAAAGTAAAATAATACTTCACATGAACAAAAGCAATAATTTACATCAATTCAGACTCGAAAATACTTCAAATCACCTTTGATCCTATTCTACTTTTTATATTGCATGTGATGACCGTTTTGAGTGTGTTGAGTGTCGTAATGGCCTGTCTGGCAAAAACTGTCAAAAGTGGTTGGTGGTTTGGTTTTTGGTTTCTGATCCAATCAAAAGTCTCAGCTTTCACACTGTGACAAAATTACTGTGAAATTCAAACAACAAATAAGCCCTTGCAAAGCAAAATAGTTTATGTGACTTTTTTTGTAAAAAAAACATATAAGCATGGTATGGCATTGTTTAATGCCCTGTATGCAAAATAAAGTGGTCATACAAATGTACAGAAAGCATAGTTTGGCTTTTTAATGTAAAAGATTGTACAAAATAGAATAAAAAACAAAATAGCTATTAATTAAATATATATATATATATATATATATGTGTGTGATTTTACTGTATGGTTCTCAAATATAGACAAAGCTTTCAAGCACAGAGAAAGCGGTGATTAGCTGCAAGTCTCTCTCTCCACTTTGCTTCTCTTTTATTTGAAGCTAACCTTAACCAAACAACTGTAAAAGATACAGTACAATTGGCATAAGATATCATCTCTCACAACATCACCAAGTCAACTCAACAGTGTTTAGAGTCACTCAAGGGATGAAGATGTCACTGCAATTAGATTAGCATGTGTGTTCTTGTATGTGAGTGCGTGAGGGTGTGCATGTGCCAGTGAGCGTCTGCGTGTATGTACATGTCTGTTATCTAGTGATGCACCACTCTGGGTTTTCTGGACTCAACTCTGACTTTTATCACTGGAATCTTAAAATGGAACCAACCACCAAGCACCAATTTTTCAAAATTCACAATTCAGTCCTTGAGATGAAAAACAGAGTCATTCAGAGTGGTTTGATGAGAAATGGCTAATTGCTGAGATTTCTGTACAGTGGTGGTGATAGGAACCAGGGGTTGCCATGTCTACAACACAAATATACTCATTTTATTTGCTATCCAAAACCAGCAGTGAACCTAAATGTGCCTTCTATGTTACATGTAATGTCGATGATGGTAAGAGTCAGAAATTTGAAATAATCTGAAAATTTGAAATAAGTTTTCTCTGGGGACTATTTTGCCTTAGAACACCCGGTATGAATCCCTCCACCATAAAAGTTATTAAAATAAACTGATTAAAACACAGGATTATGTCTCATACATCAGGATGAGTATTCATAACCATTTCATGTCATAACTCTCTGTGAGGGAGCTTTTAGAAGCATTAAACTCTTCAGATGTCTGGTTCCTTTCACCACCACTGTAAACAATTCTGACTTGATAAGTTACTCTAAAATGGAGCATTTCACATCAAACCCTTCTAGGCTCGCTTACATGTTCCCTTACATTACAAATAAGTGAACACAACATATTTCAAGCCATCATTCAAAAAACGGCCAATAATTGAGCTAATAACCAATAAATGCTAAACATTTGCTAACTAGGAAAGAGGAACTAGTTAGCATTAGCTTAGCAAGCATGACACAGTTCTGATGATAGATGTTAATGTTAGATGATATTCAAATCTAAGGGACTGAAGTTACATGGTGTTTGGATCTGTAGCCTGATCAGTTAACGTTAGCTTAGCAAGCAGGCTACAGACCCAAAGAGTGCCACACACCACAGTACAGCTTTGTTTGGTGGTCTGCTATTACTAGTGTATATGTCTGAGAGAGAGTCGAGTGACAGGTGTTGGAGTGACAATAAGCCAAAATCAAACCTGTTCTGTGGTGTTTGGGACTGTAGCGTTTTTGGCTAAGCTAATGATAGCTTAGTTAGCAAGCCAAACAAGCCACACGCCACAGTACAGGGTTGGTTCCAGCTAACTGATGCTAAAATGACGCAGGTTTGGAGGATATCTGAGAGTGCAAGTGACTAGTTTGTGTAGCTCTTAGCTGTTGCTAAAGTCATTTGAGGAAAGTGTCTTCACTCAGAGGCCATCTTTGCTACATCACCATTCAGTTATTTCCAGCCATACAGGACCAGGCCCTTATCTCTTTAAATGAGGAGAGACCAAAATACCAGAAACTAAAAGCCAAATTACCACTGAAACTGCAAAATGTGACAAAAACTTCATAGTTTGTAGCATTTGGCTCAATAAGGCACAAAACAACATGATTTTTTGGGTCGTTCTGGCAGTTCTAGATCTCCACAACGAGGGGTGGCTTTCCCTGCTAGCACCACAATATCATAGACCCTTCTCCATTGGCGGCATAACCAGCTAGCTCACTGGCTCTTTTTATTGAAGGGTGGGACATTCTCCGCAAACAGACGTCATGTTGAGAGTTACGAGCTTTTTCTCACTGATATTTTCACCTGTAACCAGTCTCCTCGTGTATAATGTCGCTGTTAGTTAATTAGATAATTAATTAATTAGTCAGTTGTTGGCTAATAAATTAGGTAGTTATTTAGTCACTGAGCCATTAATGCTTGCTTGGTTTTTCCTGCCTCTGGTTTTCCCCTTGTTCTAGCAGCACCACCTACAGGTGAACTCCCACACCAATCAGTGATCTCTAAAATATAAATGGATGGAAAGTGTTTATTTGGCCATTCAGGAATATAAATTTGACACGTCACAATTTTGAAACACTGGCATCATCTTTAAATACTGCGGTACACCTTATTACTGCTCAATCCTACATTATACTGATGAAGATAGCAGATAGTTATATATTTATATCCTCTGAAGACACGTCCTTCAGTTTTCGTTCAATGCGCTCGTAATCATCAGATTCATTCACTCTGGAGATGGGTCTGTAGCACAACTGATGTAGTCTTAGTCTCAGATGCTTCCCCACACGGCAAAACATGGAGTGTTTTTCTAGCTAAATTCTAGTCATCAGTAGTGAACAGCTGTTGGCACTGAACATGGTCTTGAAAAATTCTACAGCAAGATATATCCATGGGATTTTTCACAACCGCCTCCCCCTATACTCCATACCAAAACAGCAGGCTGTGACGGTTTCATTTGGCATGCCAGTCAAACGGTCTCTTCCTGAAATACCTGCATGTAAATCACCAGTAAAATGTGGCGTGCAAGATTACGACCGACCTTACAAAATGTTCTTCTCTAAATTCCCTATACGTACACAGCACTGCAAACTTTAAAGCCCTTTTTTTTCAAAAGCAAATGATAACCTGTAAGTAAAAGATCACTTAATGATCATTTGTATTTAATTGAGCACTTCCTGTCTAATATCTGGGGTACAACAATAATACTGGACATTTTTAGCAAAGTATAAAAGTCAAAATTTGTTCCTTTTGGTCAGAGTGAATCAAAATGCTGGACCAGGTCATAAGTATGTGTGTATGAGCGACCGTACCTTCACTCTGGGAGTGGAAGAGGAGAACAGAGACACTGGTTGAGGGGTGTAGGGGTTTGGCCACCTGCAGGAGCTGCTTCGTAGAGGACAGTGCTGCTGAGAGAGAGGGCAGCTCCTTCAAAGTGATGTTAGCAGGCAGCGCTGGGTCCAGCACCAGAGCAGGAGCCATGATGCAGTGGGACAGCAGACATTCAGGCCTAGGAGAACACACACAGCATATAATGAGTCAGAAATAAAAAAGGCTTTCTCTCAGCTGATAACGACAAAAGTGAGAACAGGATGAAAAGGAAACTAATCCCAGATCAGCAGTCCTAATCTGCTAAAGGCCTGCATTGGGAATAAAAGCCTTAAAGAAATGAACAATGGCGAAACACGATCGCAACCTCATTAATTCACTTACAAGGACTGACTATGGGAAAACTGACCATTTATACATGTAAAAGCTTCAAAGAATAAGCAAATGATCAAACTTTCATCTCTAAATTCTGAAGACAAAAAGAAATCAACGGTTCGCCACAGACAAAGGTACTTAGATCTTAAGACAATCATGATTAATCAGTAAGACAGTGAATGGCTGAAATTGGGCCATCAGATAACATGCAACACTAGCTTGACCCATTCTCACGTCTGTAGATGGTTGATTTTTATTCCACTACAGCAGTAATCAACAGCACATTATACAAGCATACACCATCCAAATATGAATGATGACCAGCAGTCAAAAAGTCTGACCCACTGCACATTTCATTTCTGCTGCTGCATTTCAAACCCCACACTCAAGAACTGTGTGGTTAAAAAGGAGCTTATGTTTAGACAGGAAGTGTTCACACTCAGACCACAGCCCCATTGACTCAGACGCCATACTCTGCAGAAAGATGGCTGATGAAATCACTGTTGTATCTAAAATTCCTCTTTGCTCCCCCACCTTTCTTTGGGTGCCTCAGTTGTGTCAGTTGCATTCTTCCCCAGCTTCTCCCTAAGCGAAACACAATACATTGTTTAATACACAGTCGATGGCGCACTCTTCGGCCAAAGTACTACAAGAAGTAAATGCCTTTACAATGCAGTGCTGTGCATTGACTATATCATACTGCAAAGACATTCTAGAAAACTGAAGGTACATTAAAACAAATACTGCTTTAGATAATTATGTCTTATAAATGGTTTATCTAATGTCATATTGAGTCAACATGAACTGGGCTAGATGGTATGTTTTATTTCTGGTGGGTGAGGATTAACAACACATTTTTATAGTGCATATCTCACACATTTTATAATCTAAAATATCACCACTGTTGTGACAAAACTCCATTTTTGACATTTTTAAATTTTTTAACACAGTTTAAAAATACCAGCAGCTCTTTATGTTGTGTTAACATGTTTCACGATGAAGTTAAGTTTTTTTCCTCCTTCTGTAAAGTTACCCTTTGGGAGAGGTTTTGTTCCAAGTGTGTTATATACATAGTCAACACTTGAGACAAAACATATCAGCACACTAACACACTAACACACATCATTAACATGTTTATGTGTGTTAGTGTCCTGATATGAAATGCTTAACTGCATAGAAACTTACAGACTTGTATGTCCTTAGAAATATAACACATTTTATTTACTATCTAAAATGACCAGTGAACCTATATGTGATAATGGTAAAATAGCGGTAAATCGGAAAAAATAAGTTCTTGTTGGGCATGTTTTAGAGCAAAACTTCAAACAAAACTTTTGTAAAACTATCGTTAAAATGTCTCAGGCAGTGCACTCATAACCATTTCATGTAATAACTTTTGGTGAAGAAACTGTGAGTGGCTTTAAACACCACAGATGTCAGATTGCTATCACCACTGTTAACACTTCACATGAAACCACTCTGCACTGGGTTGCCCAAAAGCATCTTAGCAAGACGATGATTCTTAAACGGAAGAGCGACCGCAACACTGAACATACTCTCTACTAGTTAACATGATCTTAGCACTATGATGCTTTTGGGAAACCCAGTCCAGATGTTCAATATCTAATGATAATAGTATCAATACAATTATGCAGAAATTGTCCTTTTTAATGCTTGGCAATTAGGGAAAAATATATGACTCCAGTATTTGACAAAATATCATTACTACATGACAAATGCCAAGGAAGACTGGAAAATCTAGAAAACCTAAGTGCTTGCATGTAGAGATGGGCAGTATGATGAAAGTTTATTGTTATCATCATAAATTTTGGTGCCGTGATCAACAATGTGCTTTTCTGAACGTATTGCGGATATTGTCAGTACTTTAAAAACCATGACCTACTACTTGTTTCATCAGAGATGATAATTAGTCCTGTTTAATTGGATTTAGTGCAGAGTTTAAAAAATTTGGCTGTAGTTTCAAAATGCAGGATTACTGGTGCATTTTGTCTGTGTGTCAAAATATTGTGATCTGTATTGTTTAACGCAATTGTTTAGAAGTCTTTAAGTATTGTGATGTTATATTTTGCCATATTGCCTGCCTCTACTTGCATGGTAGGGGATTCAATTTGCATTCCATATTAGTATAACTTTCTGTCCATAATATATATTTGGGAGGTGTACCTGAGTTTCCTCTGGTCCTCCTCTAGCTGTTGCCTCACTGCACGGAGATCCTTCAGTAAATCAGTATCCGTACCATTCACCCAGGTGTACACCACGTCAATGGGCATGGGTAAGCATAGCCTGTACGGCAAAAAGCATTAGGACACTGCAGCACAAATGAATGTTCTTCATTTGAGCTGTACTGTATTAAGTGCATTATTGGAGGAAAAGGCTACACACAATCAGTTGATGAGGATTTCAATTATTCAAGAACTTCCTACTATGATGGTCAGAGTGTTAACGCAGTAGGGTGAAGATTACTCAACTGAAAGACAATTTTTCTCAAGCTGTTAAACATTCACAGAGTTCAAACTCTAAAGCTTTCCTTGAGATTTCCAGAGGCATTATACAGCCCTCTTGTTTGCTGAATGCTAGGAGAAAACAGACCCTTTAGATCAGACACTCACCGTGTCTGGAAGGACTTCCCAGCCACATTGTCTCTGTAGGAGTCAAAAAGAACATGATACTGATCCCGACTCCACTCCACCACCACCTGCCAGGAGAAAACACAATGATCAGCTGAATCCCAAACGGCTCCTTACAGTAGACTAAACGGCTCCTTTGGTGTACTAGCCATTATTTCATCACCTATAGTGCACTTCAAAGGGAGCAAAGAGCCTTTTGAGACAATTCAAACCCCATTGGAGGCTCTAGGAGAGTAAGCACCACTGCTTAAAGACCCAGTGGAGACTTTAAGAGAGTACACACCTATGCAAAGGAGTAAACACCACTGCTTAAAGACCAGTGGAGGCTTTAAAAGAGCCTACACCTATGGAAAGGAGTAAACACCACTGCTTAAAGACCAGTGGAGGCTTTAAAAGAGCCTACACCTATGGAAAGGAGTAAACACCACTGCTTAAAGACCAGTGGAGGCTTTAAAAGAGCCTACACCTATGGAAAGGAGTAAACACCACAGCTTAAAGACCAGTGGAGTCTTTAAGAGAGAGTACACCTATGACAAAAGTATACACCACAGCTTAAAGACCAGTGGAGCTTTAAGAGAGTATGACCACGACCATTCAAAGGCCATAGGCCATAGGGTGCTTTAAGAGAGTAGACAGTATTAATAAGATCAACATGAGCACGCAGTTCCATTCTCAGACCTGAGGAGGCCAGCAATGTACAAAGCAACGAACATTAGCACATGAAACTATGTAAAGCTCAGAAACGGCTTATAGAAAATATACACCAGAGCACAGAGAGCACATTCCCCTACAGCCAGAGCTGTGTTTAACACACTACACACCTACAGCTATGTTCATGATAAAACTGCTCAAATGTTGCATAATCATCCCGCTATCACATTCTAGCCCTTCATGTATAAGGTCCTCCACAGGGTCCTCCACAGGGTCCTGAAACAGCACTGTGATCGGCCGCTGTAAACTGACCTCTCCGAACTGAAAGGCGGACACGATCATGAGCACTATCCCTCCGAAGCACAGATACAGTCCGTAGCGGTGAGACAGACAGGTGTAGGTCTGCCTCTGCAGCACTTTCAGTACTGAGCTGATCATCACCATGGCTTCTCGGCTCGGAGATCCGCATCTCTCCCTGCTGTCCCGCTGAGTGTGAGTCCAGGCTCGGTCCTGGGCGGCAGGGTCATCCTCACACGGAGAGGACAGACCCGGAGAGCAGAGCTGCACTCATGCTGACACTGAACCGACCCAAACACTCCGAGCGAGCTTCCTCACTGCTGCTGACGAAACCACACTGCGCAGGTCACATGCCTCGCCGGAGGAAAGCCGCACTGACTGCCCCTAGCGGTGGATGTCTGACACTGCATCTTTGAAAGTTATTTTCGGTTTTGTTATGACAGAGAATGGCTGCGCCCTATGCTATGCTAGGCTATACTATACTACACTACACTATACATATTACTAATGAATTACTTTAATGAGGGTGTACAATTTCTGACAGTTTATTTAGTGCGGGTTTGGACACACTGTACACCTATACTGTACTATACTATATACAGATCTAAAACTAACTTTTTTTAAAAGTGCTAATTTTTCCAATTTTCCTGAAATAACCGAGTTTGATGTAGTATATTAATACTGCTAAAGTTTCAAAATGTGCCGTTTACTCCCCAGTCCATATATGGAAACTAAGCTGCAAAAACAGCCCATTTGGACTTGCACTGTTTTTGTGATGTCATGAAAAATCAGAAAAGTAAGAAGGAGTGTTTTAACCTGTACTGGTTTTGGGATGTGTGTGTATATATATATATATATATATATATATATATATATATATATATATATATATATATATATATATATACATAATCTAACACTGAAAAAACCTGACTGCTAATCACAGTCTTGCAAATGTCTCTTCCACTTTGATGTCTTTCTTCCATTTTCAGATCTGTTATTGACAGATGAATGAAAAAAATCTTTTGAAATTTAAACCAGTTAAAATGAGAGAACAATAATATATATATATATATATATATATATATATATATATATATATACATACATATATACATATGTTTGGAAATAAATAAATCCTAAAATTTAATTGATCTTTAAAAAGTGATTATACTATTATCACTGTAAAGAAATGCATCAATTGTGAATTTTTATTTTTTAAAATCATTTAAAAAGTGACTGTCCTGTCTCTTTACATTAACTTACATTAAATGTTAAGAGTGTTTTTGCCTTCTCTTGTAAAGTTAGGTGCATGAGATACAAGTTTTTCTTTGGAGAGCGACAACATATAAAAACACAGCCGGAAGACAAAATAAAGGAAAAACCCTCATAAATGAGTGGAGCGTGCAGAAGCTTTCAGACAGATACATGTATACAGACATGTAAAAATGCTGACCTGCTGACAAACAAGATGACCTCGAATTTAGATCAAGATGGGAAATGATATTGAAAGAGGATTCTTTATTGGGGCACAGATGGCAGGAGCTTCAGTCACCTGTGTTTAGATCTGTGAGAAAGACAACAGCAAAAACTGTAAACTGTGGCCAATAGTGCACATTAGGTGACTGTGATGCTTATTATGTGGTAGAAAAACAGAAGAGCAGCTGCTTCTCAGGTGAGGATTTCAACGCAGGTCGTGATCAGACTGAGTCAGCAAGAACAGTCCATTCACAACTACACAGAGAGGGATCTTATAGTAGAGCTGCACCTCATTACACAAACGAATACACATCTGAGAGTTCAGTTCTGTGAAAACCACAGACGCTGATCTACAGAGATATAGAAAAAAGGTATATGATCAGCTGAGTCATTTTTCGCCATATTCTCTACAAGTGGGTGAGCGTGTGCCATACACCAAAAGAACGGGCACAGTTCTGTAAAGTACAGGCCTGAATGCTGGACCCTTACAGCCAACACCTGAAAATCTGTACAAAGTTATTCGGACTGATTACTTCTATCCTGTGATGGAATATTTGTATCCTGCTGGGAGTGGGTTTCTTCCAAGATGACAATTCTCCCATCCACAGAGCTCGAGGGGTCAGTGAATGATTGCATCAGAATGAAAATGATGTAAATTATATGCTATGGTCTTCACAGTCACTAGATCTCATATATATATATATATATATATATATATATATATATATATATATATATATATATATATATATATATATATATCCTTTTTAAATCAGAGCTAAAATGCAAAAATTAAAACCATCAAATGCATTTTACTGTAAAGAATTACATTAGTCACTCACCACTTTGTTATTGTAGTGTTGCCTCTAGGCTTAAGCAGTTCAGATTTGAAATTAAACAGTGGCTGTGAGATAAATGCAGACTGTCAGCTGTGAATTCTGCAACCTGTAAACATCACATCAAACTGGAGACTGTCAGTTATCCAGCGCTCAGTGTTGGATCTTTGACTCCTCTAGCTCCCCCCATTCCTTCTCCTTTACTCCCCTTTTCTAAACCACTCAGCTTCCTCCAAATATTAACAAAGTCTCACTATCCAGCTAAGTTCTAAACCGTGTTATTCCTTACTTACATGTTACTCCTTTTGACCCTTGACTATATAATTTAGTTCACAAGCCTGTCTGCTCTTGAGCAACTTGTTTGCCTGTGATTGCATCCAGTATCTGCTTAATTTGAGACAGATATCTTCTGTGCTGATGATCTGCCAGGCCTGAATTGCAGTTACAATCACTGCCAGCTTATTTTGTCGTCTAGAAGTGAAGTGCATACTCACTGGTGTTCATGAAAGGTGAACATTCCATTTTGTGCCTGAAAAAAACGCATAGCTGTAACGACGTGTTTTGAGTGATTGTGATGTGCAAATTGATGCAGTATTCAATCAGGTTTGTGGTTGGATGTGAGCATTTGATATCAGTACACTAGCACACTTCACAGCTCACTCTGCCGCTCTTATCAGCCACAGTATCACTGAACCAGCTACAGAGGCAGACAAACATGCTACAACCACGACGCTACTTCCTCTATATTTCATTATGTAGTTTTTTAGCAAAGTGTAGCCTTCCTGGTCTTGAAGCTTTTGAGGGGTTTACATCTTGTGGTGAACCCTCTGAGGTCATGCTAGTGTACTGTTTACTTCTTGGTGGTCTCTGCCACATCTACGTCCTGTATAATACTCTTAATCTGTTTATCAGTTGTTCTTCTTGATCAAAAGCTTTCTTTGGTCATTGAATACTGTGGTTTTCTGTGATTTTGTGATTTCTGTGTTTCATTTCTAAGGCTCTCCACTGTGTTCATGCTTCTTACATGTACCAAACAGTTGGTTTTAACACGCAAAGTGATTTTTGACAATGTCTCAAAATGATTTATTTCGATTTTTCCGCAGCATGATGGCCTGTTTTACTGATCCTGATCCCTTTTTCAGTCCTCATGTTGAAAGACAACAGTAACAGACTCCAGCTGCTGGACCTTTTCATAACTCTGTTTTGTATGAAATAATGACGTACATATGGCCCCAGAAACAACTGAGCAGCCATCTACCCAATTACTTTTGGTGCCCTAAAATGAGAGGGTGGTGTATACCTGAAAGGTGTCAGTCTGTACTTTAGCCTCATAATCATGTTTTCTTTCAAATCCAGTGTATCTGGAGTACAGAGACAAAATACAAACACTGACTCCTGTATGCTAGTCCACAATATTCCAGCAGCAACAATCTGGCAATCCCAACAAAGGCACTGTCATCCTTATGAGGGGCTTTACAAGGACTAATTTCTGAAATTAGAAATTGAAATACTAACTACTACTAAGAAAAAAGATCAAACTACTAACTACTACAATTATAAACACTACGACTTCTAACTATTACTTGAAGAGTAACATAAATAGAATTGTAAGTACTAATAACTATTACTAACGTAGAGTATTCTAACTAATATTAACTAAAACAGAAGTTTCTATTAACAACTAAAATAGAACTCTAACTAGTAGACTACTAATATAATACAATTCAAACTACTATTGAGAAACTCTGCCTGAAATAGAATTCTAACTGCTATTGATAATATACATTCTGAGTACTACTAAAAATATAACTATAATAAAAAATAAAAATCTACTACCACCTCTACTACTATCAATAAAATAGAATTCTAACTACCTTTAAGTAAATAGAATTCTAACTCCTACTAAAAATGGAATGCTGGCTACTATTAATAAAATAGAATTTCGACTACTACTAAAATAGAATTTTAACATCTATTCATAAAATAAAAATTTGACTACTACTAAAATAGAATTTTAACTACTACTCAACATGGAATTCAAGCTACTATTATTAAAATAGAATTCTAACTAATACTAAAAATAGAATTCTTCTACTTAAAATAGAATTCTTACTACTATTAATAAAATACTAGCTAATATGAATGAAATAGAATTCTAACCTCTACTTAAAGTAAAATTCTTACTACTATTAAAAAACAGAATTCTAACTACTACTAAAATAGAATTCTAACTACTACTTAAAATAGAATTCTTACTACTATTAAAAATAGAATACTAACTACTATTAAAAATATTATTCTAACTACTATTAATAAAATAGAATTCTAACTTCTACTAAAAATAGAATTCTTACTACTATTAATGAAACAGAATTCTAACTTCTACCAAAAATAGAATTCTAACTACTATTAATAAAATAGAATTCTAACTTCTACTTAAAATAGAATTCTAACTACTATTAATAAAACAGAATTCTAACTTCTACTAAAAATAGAATTCTAACTACTATTAATAAAATAGAATTCTAACGTCTTAAAATAGAATTCTTACTAATATTAATGAAACAGAATTTTAACTTCTACTAAAAATAGAATTCTTACTACTATTACAGAAACAGAATTCTAACTTCTACTAAAATAGAATTCTAACTACTTTTAATGAAACAGAATTCTAACTTCTACTAAAAATAGAATTCTTACTACTATTAATAAAACAGAATTCTAACTTCTACTAAAAATAGAATTCCAACTACTATTAATAAAATAGAATTCTAACTAATACTAAAAATAGAATTCTAACTATTATTAATAAAACAGAATTCTAACTTGTACTAAAAATATAATTCTAACTACTATTAGTAAAATAGAATTCTTACTTCTTAAAATAGAATTCTTACCACTATTAATAAAACAGAATTCTAGCTTCTACTAAAAATAAAATTCCAACTACTATTAATAAAATAGAATTCTAACATCTTAAAATAGAATTCTAACTACTATTAATAAAACAGAATTCTAACAACTACTAAAAATAGAATTCTTACTACTATTAATGAAACAGAATTCTAACTTCTACTAAAAATAGAATTCTTACTACTATTAATAAAACAGAATTCTAACTTCTACTAAAAATAGAATTCCAACTACTATTAATAAAATAGAATTCTAACGTCTTAAAATAGAATTCTTACTAATATTAATGAAACAGAATTTTAACTTCTACTAAAAATAGAATTCTAACTACTATTAATAAAACAGAATTCTAACAACTACTAAAAATAGAATTCTTACTACTATTAATGAAACAGAATTCTAACTTCTACTAAAAATAGAATTCTAAGTACTATTAATAAAACAAAATTCTAACTTCTACTAGTAAAGTACATTTCTAACTACTAGTTACTTGTAAAACAGAACTCTAACTGTGTTGAAGTGTGAGACAGAGTGAAAAAGAAGTGTTTTTGGGAAGGCAAAACCGGGAAAAATCCTCTGACGTTTTCTCACACGAAACGGAAAAGAGGAAAAATGGGAGTGAGGTAAAGACAGAGAGGCTCGGCCACTTGGGTAAGCGCTAACGGTAAAGCGCTGCAGGGAAACACAATGAGGAAGAGGCGCTTGGATTTCAAGCCCATCGTGAACACGTGACACAGAAGAGTATTAAAGATCAGGTTAGTCTGAGGGCTGAACAGTTAGACAGACAGAGGGGTCGTGCAGGGTGATGGCAGCTCGGAGCTCATAAGCGTCTGTTTTTGTGCCGTTCTTCATCTTTACTTCACTTTGCAAGGGGGATGCAGATACCTCTGAAGCACGATGTTCTGGTTTCAAGAAGGACTGTGCTGCTTACCAACTTTTCTGGTAGTTTGGTCATCAAGCACTTTTATAGTCAACTATCTAATTGCACTGTTCCGTCGAGATGTGGACGTGGTCTTCCCGTACATAAGGTGAGTGACTCGACTCTTCATCACTCGACTCCTTTGTTATTTCACCCAGGAAGCCAGGAAGTTTGGGTTTTCATACATGTCAAACTTGAATGAGCACTAAAGAGCGATGAAGTGCGGTGCAAGTGCTTAGTTTGCCGTAAAAGTGGACCGTTCTGATTTTAACTGCTGTGTAATTCAGTGCTGTGCACTGACTGTTTGTAATGTGGAGGAAGGGGAACAGTTTTTTTGTGAAAGCTTGTTTAGTTTCGTTTTAGCATGAAGAGTCGATACCTTGTATGAAGCCAGCGCTGCGCTGTGCAGGGAGGGGTCCAATCACCAGGACTTAGAAATCTCCTAAAATATCTCAAATTTCTTTTATTTGCTAAGTGAATGTGCAAATCTGTCTGAAATAGTCCGATAGAAGCTTGAAAACCCGTCCTTTAGTGCGAGGAGGACAGTCATCAAGTTAGACACGGGAAGAAGTTTTCAGAGCACTCAACCCTGCTGAAAAAACCATAGAAACTACCAAGCGTTTCTGTTGGTTCCTAGTGGTTTTTGTAATGTGTTGACATTTCTTAATGGGTTGATATTACAGTGTAAAGGATCCAACTGATTCCAGACGCATCTAAAGGTGTCCTACAGGAAACTATGGTGGCCTCTAATGATAACAATTAAGCCCTTAAATGGCAAAGCCCCAAAGTTTTATTACACACTTCTATAAACTAAGAATAGCTCAGCTAGTTTGCACTGAAGTCCATATAGTTACTGAATAATAAGACTTATTATGTAATAAGCCTGGGATTTTGAGGGGTTAAGCCAGTTCATATTAGGAATTAAAATCTTCAGGTTCTAAATGGTTTTCCTCGTCTTTTTTCAACAGAGACAAACAGGACTACATTTTTAGTAGTTTAGTTCCATGATGTGCATTAAAAGCTGTGCTGTTAGACTGCAGTAGTATTTAATAATTACACTGTTGTAAGTGTTTGAAAGTGTTTCCGAGCGGTTGTGTTGTTTTTCAGTGACACTGGGGCGAGCCCTCCAGAGAGCTGCATTTTTGGCCTGATGTCGACAATCACAGCCTTTGCAGGTGGGAGTGAGTTATGCTTTCATTCCGTACATAGTCCTTTACCCTCCTCAGTCCCGAGACGAAACACTTTAAAAACAAACAATGTTTAGTTATAAAACATTTACTGGGAAACATGATATTCAGTGCGCATTATACTGGACATTTGGACATGAAATGTCAGAGTTTTTGAAAAATGAATATTATATTATTATACATATTATTTTCACCTAGTTATATAACAAGGCAAAGCAAGCACTGAACGTTTCCTGTGTTTACTGGATATACAGCTGCATGAAAAGGTTTCTGAACTCCTGGAACTACCTGGACTTCTGCATGAATGTCCCACAAAATATTAAATAATTTTCATAATAATTTTATATCATGATAATAAACAAAGTGCTTTTTAACACACATCATGTACACTGATTTACATTACTATATTCAGAATCTACAAATGGTTGAAACGGTCAAGGTCATTGCTTGAAAAAAGTCAGAAAGCATTACATAATCCATATTACATTTTACATAGATTTATATGTGATATTAAATACATTACATTCATTTAATGTGCGACCCCAGCATTGTAGACAGGAATAACACTTCGTGGTTTCAGAAATAACATATCTGAAATACAGGAAATGTTTTGGTTTTTTGTTCGTTTTCTGTTGACCTGATGAAAATAAATATGTTCATTTTTCAAAATCTTGCAGATTTAATGTGCTTAATTCCAATGTTCAGTATAGCAGACTGTAAAACCCATTAAAATCACTAAAAAACAATATTACTCCCAAATTCATAGAACATTATCCACTGTCACTCCTAAATAAACATGAGATTCTACTTTTAACAAGACAAACAAACATCTTGAATGAATGCGTTTTGTAATGCATGAGTCTGTTATACTAAGCAAAACATAGCTTAGTGTCCAGATTACTGGATTTTAAAATTTATCTCAAGATTAGTGTATGCAGAAATAAATATCTACTGTTTCCTTTTTACCTTTCACAAGAGGGACCTTTTAGAACGATGTACCTACAAAAACACTTCTTAAATAAATACAAGATACAGTGTTTCATTTGTCCTTGGAGACAGTGAGCGTCTGTCTCACCAGCTGCTCTATTTGTTTTTGTTTATGACAAGATAAAAAAGAAAACATTCTGTTAAATAATCAACCAGTACAAAGACTAGAGTCTTTAGAAACATATTAAAGTGGCTGTTTTGACACACCTGCTTCTATAAAGCTGGAACACCTGGAGAAATGAGGAGGATAAAGCGCTCTTAGTACTGTACACATCAACCAAGACACGCACAGCTGAATGACTCACTTGCTTTTTTCCAAGTAATTTCTGATTATATCTGTTGGTTCATTCATCATGAAGTCTTGATGTGATATAAAGGACAGCTGCTGTGCTGTGCTGATGTGGAACAATAAACATTGGAAAAAAAAACAGAGATACATGTATTTTTTGGACAGCGACCATATGCAAAAAATGTTGAGAGCTGTGGTCTGACCACTGTTAAAGAAACTGGGGTTTTAATCTATACTGAAATTATCTTTTCCATTTTGTGATCCATTGAAGTGGATTAACTGACCTGTACTTTATTTTTTACAGAACACAATTAATTTTTACCTAATTTACTTTACTTATTAGACTTAAGTTACAAAGTCTTTGCATGGCCATAGTAGTGAGAAACTACTTCTGGCAACTTAAGGAAACCCCTTTCAGTCACCTGATCTCACAAGGGTGCTGGGAAATTGCATGCAACCATTTATCTTATTTATTTTCCTTATGCGATTTCTGTATTCTCATGGTTAAGTGTATGAGGGACTGTCTTAAGTAACTATGGAATTTCTGCTTTAGTGGTCTACAGTCATACTTCTCTTTCTTTAGAAAATGAAACAAATTCTCCTCTTCATGACCCAGCTGGAATCCAGACTGTCACAAAACAAGCCTGGACACAAAGTCCTAAGAGACCAAACCTCAAATGCTGGCTAAAGAATCGAAACTTAAACCACTAGGTGACTTTCTGTAAAGCGCACAGACTAAATTCTAATCCAATTTCAGTGTTTCACAACTCTAGTACTGTAAACTGATTGGTCACTTTATCTGAAAACACATACCTTGAAGATCCACCTTGCTGCGCTACAGTAAATCCAATTAAACAAGATTAAGTATGCTTTTTTGTAATGAAACGTGCAGTAGGTCAGCGTGTGAGTACTGAGGATATCCACAATAAGCTCACAAAAGCATATTGTTTATCATGATAGCAAAATTTATGATTATAGTGATAAGATATACTGCTGTGCAAACAGTGGTTCACCAATCCAATAATTATATAATAATGATCAACAGCTGTCCAGTGGTCAGAAACTGATAAATGGGATAATGGAATGACTAATAGTTGAACATCTCATAAGGTGGCCAGTAAGTAGAAATAAGTAGGTAGTTAATTAAGTGTATAGTGAGTGTACGTAAATGTGGTGTATAGTTAAAGCAACAAACTATGACCGGTACAAGCCATATGCCAACTAAAGACATATGTAACAGTGATTGTTCCTCGATTAATGCATATTAGGCACAACATGACACATGTAATCAGAAAAAAATATACCATTAAGTAATAATAATAAATAATATGTAATAATATGTAATAAGCACACTCATTGTCTACTATATCAGCTCCACTTGCATATAGTTCTACAATTACAGACTGTAGTCCATCTGTTTCTCTGCACACTTAGTTAGCTTCCTTTTACCCTGTTCTTCAGTGACGCCCACAGGACCACCACAGAGCAGGTATTATTTGGGTAGGGGATCATTCTTAGCACCGCAGTGACGCTGACGTGGTGGTGCTGTGTTATGTGGTATGAGTGAATCAGATAAGTGGAGCTGACAAAATGAGCGTAGATACAAGGAAGTTTTTCAGTCATTTTTTTTGGGCCTCATTCACCAACCATTCTTGGGATGAAACTTCTTCTTAAAACCCATTTATGCAGTTTTCACAAAGATTCTAAGATTCACCAGTGTTTTCTTATTTGAGATTTGTTCTTAGGTAAGAACAGAATCTATGCACACTCAAGAGCACAAAGGTGTGAACAATTCTGTGGTTTAGGAACACATCATGAATCTAATGTAGACTTTTTCTTAGGACCTTTCTTAAGAACAAATTTAAGAAAAATCTTAGGAAGATATTGGTGAATGAGGCCTATTGCTTTTCAACTCTGACTTTAAACCATTTCGGTAGAACGATCATATAGTAGAGATGGCACAACCCAGCTTTTTCATTTTTGGTAACATTACTGAAACCGTAATTATTGGCTGAGACCAATAGATCTAGTTTTTCTTTAAAAACTACTAAGCTTTACACTGAGCTATTTTCAATTGAAGCATTACCTTTAAGATTAAGTACACTATCATTATCAAACTACTCAAATACTTGAATACTTTTTCAGGACAGATTGATTAAAGGACTGACTCAGATTCATTCTCTTTATCCCTCCTATATCCAATCCAGCATGTTATGCTGATGTTGGCCCGATTTCTGGTATCGGATCTGTGCCATCTCTAGTATATATCGTATTTTACAATGGCTCTGAAAGTGGCTGAGATGGCAATCAGATTTTAGAAATGAAACTATCCAATTTATAAACATATTTAACATATTATGTACTTTATTTTTTCTAGGGTTTGCCACCATGTTTGCCAGATATAAATATTTGCAGAGACTGAATGAGATAACAGGTGGTGTGAGTCCTGCTCTGAACAAAGCTGCTCTCTTCTTTGCCATCACTTCTTGTGTGGGCATGTGTTTTGTAGCTACATTCCAGGTGTGTCCACTAACATTAACATCTCAGTTGCCCAGGTTGCCAAAAGCAAGTAAAGTTAACAATCATCTTAAAGCTGCATTATGTAAGTTTTGGGGGTTTGGAGACTTCTCTGGTGGAAATGTGTAATTGTAACACCAGTGCTTCAGACCCCTTCCCCGAGTGGATGAATCTGATGATTGTGAGTGCATTGAAAGAGTACTGAAAAAGAATGCAGTCAAAACTTGGTGAAGGACATGTCCTCTGAAGACGTGAGAGAATTATTTACTATTGTCTATCTTCATCAGTGTAATATTGATTTTACATTTGAGACCTAAACGCTTGAGGTTAATACGTAAAGACCTAAAAACTCCCACAAAACCCGACCTGACGCCTCTTACTTTTAAATTATTATTTCAGGCTTTGCAGTACTTGCAGCAGCACAAACACACTGTATCTTAGCATGTTTTTTTTTCTCCTGACTTAGTAATGCTACTTCTTTCAGTTTTAAGAAAAAAAATTACAAATATTACATCTGTAAACTATAAAGATTCTTTTAAATTATGCATTAGCCATTTCTGATGATTGTTAACCTACCAAGCTTTTGAAACTCTTGGGCTGCACTCTGTTACCTGCACTAGTGATAGTACTACCCATATGAAATCAAGTATCTACTCAGAAATACATAATAAATGTGCATGTTTATTCTAATGTGCTGTTTTAGGAAACGGCGATAAGAATCGTCCATGACATCGGTGCCTTCATTTTCTTCCTCTCCGGAGTGGTTTACATCATTCTTCAGACCATAATCTCACATAAGGCTCATCCATATGGTACCTCAAAGCGTGTGTGTTATATTCGCACCATCTTTGCCGTTGTGGCCTTCCTGGCAGCATTTCCAAGCATCCTTTAAATTTTGACTCCATCAGGATTTAAAAATAAACAACTGCTTTAATTGACTTTAATGATGAAAACAGTAGTATTAGCAGGAGTTTATGTTTATGTTTTACCTTCTTTAAATGTCTGCATTTTATTTTAGCATCTACCTTGTGCATTTTTCCTTAACTTTCTTCAAGCTATCATTTGTGCTTTTTTTGTGAAAGAAACCAGGTTGCACTGGAACCCAGAAGACAAGGTGCAGTATGCTTACTTACCTTACAGTGGACTGAGGAATGGAGATAATGTAGCTCTAGTCTTTTGCCAGTTTATTCTTATTAATATGAAAGACTGATGCAGAAAACATGAAAGCTCATCTGTGTGATTTAACTTTGTAAGAACTAACACAATGTTCTCCAACCCTGGTCCTGGAGAGCTACCTTCCTGCAGAGCCTAGTTCCAACCACAGTTTGCCACACCTGCTCCAGCTATTCAGCCTCTTCCCAAGTCTCTGATTGGCTGGATCAGATGTATTAGAGTTAAGTAAGGGCAGAGCAGCTTATTGGATATAGGTCGGAACTAAACTCCACAGGAAGGCAGCTCTCCAGCACTAGGGTTGGAGACCACTGAACTAACACATTTAGCATGGCCAAAATTATGTGGACACCTGACCATCACATCTATATGAGCTTATTGGACATCCATTCCAAAACCATAGGCATTAATATGGAGCTGCCTCCTCCCCCTTTGCAGCATAAAAGCTTCTTCAGTGAAGGCTTACAACAGATTTTGGATTGTATCTTTGGGAATTTGTGCCTATTCAGTCAAAAGAGCATTTGTGAGGTCAGACACTCATGTTAGACAAGAAGACCTGGATCAGAGTTCATCCCAAAGGTCTTGAATGGGGTTGAAGGTTCTGTGCAGGCCCAGACCCTGAAAAACAGCCCCAGACCATTGTCCCTCCTCCACTAAACTTATCTATTGACACTAGGCATTCTGGTAGGTAGTGCTCTTCTGACGTCCGCCAAACCCATATTTGTCCATCAGACTGCCAGATAATGAAGCATGATTCAACACTGCAGAAAACATGTTTCCACTAATCCAGAGTCCAGTGGCAGTATGCTTCACACCACTCCAGCCAATGCTTGGCATTGTTCTTAGGGTTGGATGCAGCTACTCTGCCATGGAAACCCATTTCATGAAGCTCCTGATACACAGTTCTCGTTCTGATGTTGCTTCCAGAGGCAGTTTGAGACTCTGTAGTTAGCGATGCAACAGAGAATAGGTGTTTTTTATGTGCTAGACGCTTTGGCACTAAGCGGCCCGCTCTGTGAGTTTGCGTGGTCTACTGCTTCATGGCTGTTGTTGCATGGCTGTTGATTCCATTTCACAATAGTAGCACTAACAGTTGACTAGGGCAGATGCAGAAATTTCCTAAACTGACTTGTGACAAAGGCGGCATCCTAAGACAGTGCCACATATAATTTCACTGAGCTCTTCAGTACGATGCATTCTACTGTCAGTGTTTGTCAATGGAGATTGCATGGCTGTGTGCTTGATTTTATAATCCTGTTAGCAATGGGCGTGGCTGAAACTCCTGAAATCTATTATTAGGAGGGTTGTCCACATACTTTTAGACATATAGTGTAGGATTCCTGTCCTCTATTTCCATAATTACATTAATTAAGAAATTAAATGGAAAAAAAAAAGATCTTTGATGTTTGTCTCTTTGGTCTCTAGGAATACACACCCCATCTGGCAAGTGCTGTGAGCGAGTGGATAGTCTCCTTCACTTTTGTCTTCTTCTTTTTCACATATATACAAGAGTTCAAGGTTAGTTTGTTCACATCAACTATGCCTGTACACTTTGATACACAGCTGAGAGCAATTGCTACAACAGTAACAGAAAGAATGTGAATGATTTGTTGCCTAGTTATTATTTTTCTTTAACCTTAAAATGACATTAGAAGATGAAATAGAACCTGTGACCATACTGTGATGATAGCATGTGACTGACTCTTCTTCTTTTTGTTTTGTCCTATAGCAGTTCACCCTGAAAGTGAATACTGAATTACTGGAGTTTAAATGACGGCACCATTACACTGCGACTGTGACAGTTTGTGTGTGATTATTCAAGTCAGTGTTTTGTTTTTTTTTTAACAAATTTGTATTTTTTTATAGACTGTAACCATTTTAAATGTGTCTAAGCCAAACATGTTTTGTAATCAATCTCAGTTGTATATATATTTTTTTACTTTTATATATGTATGTAATCACAAAGGCATGATTGCAGAATTTAGCATATTCCAAACAAGGACCTACGGTATTTTTAACAGTATTGCACTTTAGTCCATGTAATTTTAAAGTTGTCCAACTATTAACAGTGATCCAGCAATAAAATAGTCATATGATTACCCAGTATGCATGACTCATGTATTGTGAAATGAAAGCACATGACGTTGTCATTACTGCTTACAGTCTAGTGGTTGCCTTGTGGTTAGTCATTTACCGATACCCTGGGAGTTTACAAACCCCATTTAAGGAAAAGTTGGGACACTTTGTAAAATGCAGTAACAACAAGAATATGTTATTTGTTAATTGTCTTGAACCTTTATTTAACGAACAAAAGTACAAATTAATGACATTCAATGCTTTGGCTGACCAACTTGATTGTATTTTGTAAATGCAAATTTTGAAATTGATCCCTGCAACACACTCCAAAAAGTTGGGACAGAGGCAAAATAAGAGTAAAGAAAGTTTATAGAATATTCAAGTTACACCATTTTGAAACATTCTATATAAGCAACTGAATTGCTAACAGTTAAGGGTATTATGGCTGGGTATTAAAGGAACATCCACCAAAGGCTCAGTCCTTGCAAGCAAAGATGGGACGTGGCTCACTACTTTGTGCCAAACGTCTTGAGACAATGGTCAAACAGTTCAAAAAGAACACTTTTTAACGCAACGTTGCAAAGAATTTAGGTCTTTCACCATATACTGTACATAATGTTGTGAAAAGATTCAGGGAATGTGGAGAAATCTCAGTCCATGTAGGGCAAGGCCATAAACCACTGTTGAATGTGCATGACCTCTGAGCCCTCAGACGAAATTGTCAATTAATGCAGTCCATTGCTGCATAAAGAAATGCAACAAGGAGACAACAAGGAGAAAGCCATACATTAATTCTCTGCAGAAACACCGCTGAGTTTTCTGGGTCCGAGCTCATCTCATATGGTTCGAAAGACAGTGGAAATGTGTGCTGCAGTCAGATGAGTACACGTTTCAGCTTGTTTTTCAGAAAAAAGGACGCTGAGTTCTCCATGCCAAAGACGAAAGGGACCGTCCAGACCTTTATCAGCAAAAAATGCAGAAGGCAACATGTGGCATGGCATGGGTGACTTGCCTATGTGTGAAGATACCAATGACGCAGAGATGTATACTGGGATTTTAAAGAGATATATGCTGCCATCAAAATGATGTCTTTGCCCAGGAAGTCCATGGTTATTTCAGCAACACAATGTCAGGCCTCATTCTGCATGTACTACAACAGCGTGGCTTTGTAGACACAGAGTGTGTGTGTTTGACTGGCATTCCTGTCCTAACTTTTTTTGAGTGAGTTTACAAACTACAAGTAAGTTGGTCAGGGAAAACACTGGAAATCTTTTCTTTGTACTTCTGTCAGTTAAATAAAAGTTCAAGTGAATTAACAAATCACAGGTTCTTGTTTTTATTGCATTTTACAAAATGTCCCAACTTTTTTGGAAATGGGGTTTGTAGATTAATATCATTCTAGAATCAGAAGATTTACTAGTGCTGTAAACATTGCAAAGTGACCAACACACAGTACTGTGCAGAAGTCAATTTACTTAATTTTCAGTCAAAATGGACATTAAATACAAGTTCTTCATTTTTCAGCATCTGGGAAAAGGCAAAGAACATGTTTTTAACAGAATATTACACAGAAGCTTCAACAAGTAAATAAAATATCAAACTTTTAAGTATTTATTGTGCCCACTGAAGAGCTGGGCGATACGGCAAAAATCTAATATCATGATATTTCAAGATGTTTTCACGACACATGATATTTCACAACATTTATTTGTATTTAACATTTCACATACTGTGCCCTAACAAGGACATGCAGTTGGAAAGTGTTTTTCAAGTATGGATGACCGCTGCAATATGCTCAGAAAAGCAAAATGTGACATATTGTGACATTATCACAATAATGTTAAATAGTGCCATACCGCCCAGCCCTAGTGCTACAGCTTTCATTATTTTCAGAAGAGTTACTTTCAGTTTTTTTTTCCAAATCTGCAGAGTTCATTCTTAGAAGTTGGTCGCATTTTCAGCTTCTCACTATAGAATTAATCGCAATTCAAATTTACTCCAACAGTCCACAAAACATTACTCCACATGGTTCCAGGGCCAATTTCCTAATATTTAACTTCTTCAATTTACTATTTTTAATATTTTCTTTTCTTAGTAAGAGCTTCTTGACAGCTACACATCCTTTCAGTGTTGTGTTGTCTTCTGTGAAAGATGGACAGATACACCTCTGAAGCAAGACTGGAGCTTGATTTTCTCAAAGATGAAAGCTCTAAGTACTGTTTATCTGATGGTGACAGTTTTGGTGGTCGTCCAGCTCTTGCATGGTTGTTAGAAGTCCCATTTTTCTATATCTTTAAATCATATAGAACATAGTGTCAGTGACTCCTGAACTTTTTGTTGGGAGGACAGAGCTGTAACTGGTTGGTTTTAAGATCGAAGGATGAAAGAGTTAAAGTGGCAGTGGGTTAACACACAAAAAAAAGAGTCCAAGTTTCAGCTTCATACTGATAGATTTGATATACTTAAGTATATATTAAGCTTTTCTTTTTTCATTTTCTGTTAAATATATGTTTTGTGCTTTTGTTCTTACACTGAAAAAATAACTTCTACTTAATGGCTGTTCTGACAGGAAATAAACAAAAGGTTGGTCTCTGATGTTACCCAGCACTGTATCTGAAAACCAGCAAAAGCAGCCTATCAACATCAACAAAAAGTGATCATACTGACTTTGTATTTAACAAGAATACGTCAGATTTAAACTTCTGAATATTACCATACGTTTCTGCTGGTCACCCGGATCAATCAGCTAAACCCCAAATCATTAATCTACATTTTCTTTCACATAAGATGAAATATACAACTATAAGTAAAATATCTACATTAATGAGAAAAGCATGTGAACCATTATAGGCAGTTAGTCCAATTGTCATTCCAAAGGGTGTTAACTCCTCTAATGCTGACCATTTTGTAACTCCTTCTTCTGCAGATCTGCCTCAGCCACATCTAAGGCACATATAAGCCACTCATATGCTATTAGTGGCACTTACTAGTCCAACTGACATTTCCTTGTCCATCTACAGCACAGCATGTACTGCACTGTGTAGAGCTGAACAGGGTTAATCACAGTGTAAAGTTCATAACTTGCTGCAGCCCCAGAACTAATCAGTCGCTGAAAGATGATTCGCTGCCTGAACTGTCATCATCTTGTTCTTCCATTACCTTCTTGTCACCGTCTGGAACTGGGGCATCTGGTGAACTGAGTATGAAATAAAACAACTGAGAATAAAAGTCACATATCTGCATATGTATAGAGGCTCACGTGCATAAGAGCAACAAGCAACAGTTGGTGCTGAAACTACTCACTCTAAAAGACTGGGGTCCAAACCCTCAAGGATCATCTTGTTTTTTATTGCCATGACTGGAACACCCTACAAGATGAAGAGGAAATAACAGCAGAAGTCTGGTTAATCTGTTAGACAGTTATTGACCTCATTACTAGGACTACACAACTGTAACACTTGGGCCTGACATTTCTGAACCATGGTAAAAAATCACCTTGATGCGTATTCAATAAAGAGCACAAATGTTTTTCAGAATTTTACAATTCATGTAGAATCACTTTAGAATTAATCCAGAATTCAGTTAATGTGTGAGGTCATATGTGTGCGTATATCGGGTATGTACAATAGCTTCTAATGGGGCTCAGCCAATCAGATTTTGGAATCGTAGCTGAAGAATCTCTTTTATAAATCAGTAGTAATCAGCTATTGCTGGTATTGGACTAGGGCTGCACAGCATGAATATAAAATATAATGTCTGAAAACATAATTGGATATTTAGGATAACAGACTGTATCCGACTGGATGTGCTGCAAAAACAGACTTTTTTTTGCAGGGTCATTAAAGATGAATATGATTAACCTCACCTTTTAGCAAATGGAAAAAATACAAAATACAAAAACAACATTCACTTCTGTGAAAAATAAAAATAACCAAATACTAATAGCCAACAACTGCAAACACATATTTTAAGGAAATAGAGGAGCTGCTTGTTGAGCACAGGGAAAAAAGAGCCTTCTTAATGATTAATATGTATGGATCTACACGTCAAGGCACTCGCTTTACAATTTAAAGTCAGATAGTCCTCTAACTCTCAGTGTGTGAGTGTGTGTGTGTGTGTGTGTGTGTTTTGTGTCCATATAGGTCCAATAATTGTATATTTAATTCCTTATAAAACTTGGTGATACAGGTTTATTGTGACAGTAGCCACTACTGCTTCATGCATTTTATACACAACACTAAGAGTGAAAACATTATATTATATTAGTTATATTTCAAATATTTTTACAGGTTGTAGTTATATTGTGGCGTAGTTTAGGCCTGTGTTCTGTTTTAGCTTAGTTTTACTTTTTGTAGCTTTTATTTAGCTGATATCACAATAATGATAAAATACAATTTATCCTGAGGCCCTAAATTCATGGCAGAGAAAGAACAGTACCGTACCACTTGCACCATTTTAAGATATCTGGTATATCGTGGGTCTTTGGCTACAGTCATCACATTTTCTGCCACTGCCTCTCCTTTGTGCTCCTGAGGGTTCTCCTGCCCTTGTCTAGGATCCTGCAAAGAGGAAAACTGGCAGTCAATATATGAATACAAACAATAAACTATTTAATCATTGGAATCTTTAATAAAAGTGAATGAATTAATTTGTGCTCAATTTATAGTGAAGGGCTTGTTGGAATGTAAAAAAACACTTCAAAGCACCTTTGAGAAGCACCTTTCTACAAAAGTAGAAACTACTTTTGTTCTATGGTATCAGCAAAGTTCCCTTAATTTCTGAATTCAGTTCACGATTACCTAGTGGCTGACTGAGTAAACTGAGTAAACTGTAGAAAAGCTATGCATAACCCACAGTTAAGTCAACACTTTAACAAAGTTGACAGAAGCTGACAAAGTTGGACCAGACTGTTACAGCTTGTAAGATTTAACAATTTTATTAACAACTAATGTCTTTGAAGAAACCACGCCGCATTAACATCTTAAATGTCTCTCCAAAAAAGACAACGCGGCTATGTTCAGACTGCAGGCAAATCAGATTTGTTTCTCAAATCAGATCTTCTGAGATGACTGTCTAAATTGCTATGTGCAAGTCATCAAATCAGATTTTTTTGTGACGTGGAATTCAAACACAGATGCAGGAGAGATGGAGGTGCATCATCTTGCCATCCAAACTCTTCAAAATTCTCTTGCATATACATAATTATTTGCCAATAATATTCAGTCACTCTGGATTTGAGATGGTTGTCGTTTGTCACATTGCAAATGATGCAAAAGACACTTTGAAATCCGATTTGAGCAGCCAGAGGATCCAGACTAGGGGTGGGAATCTCTAGGCACCTCACGATTCAATTCGATTACGATTCAGAGAGCTGCGATGCGATTATAAAACGATTATCGATGCATCTCGATGCATCTTTTATTTTTTTATACAGGATTTCTATTTTCTCACTGTGTGAGGACTTGGTAGTTTTAAAGCTAAGTATTTGTAATGATCCATAATGAATTTACTTCTAATATCTTTTATTAATAAATCAAATGGAAGTGATGTGGCAAGTGAACTAGAAGGCTCTCATTCACTGCCTTTGGAGCACATGAGACGCTGCTGCCACTCATCTGTGATAAAATGCGCAGTTACGGTGAAATAAGATCCAGTGGCAGTGGATGACCCCGCAGCACGTTACAGCCGCCCTACCCGTTTTTAGTGACTTTATAACTTTGGTTTTGGTCTCGTTGTAGAGAGAGGGGTGGAGGGGATCGCAGTGTCAGTAAAATGTCTTTGAGACGGGACGTGTGCAGCATAGCGTGAAAGCCCTGTTCCACAACGACTGAGAATTCCCGAATTTTCTCGTTCCACCTTAAATGGTGCCGCATTTACCTTCGGCGCCTCAGTCAGAATTTAAGGTGGAATTGGAAAATTTGAACAAGAAGCTGGAGAATGAGAAGCGACTTCAGCCTCGTAAAACAGCCGAATGTTGAGAGACATTTTACAAGAAACTGCTCTAGTTTTGAGGAAAAGTTTTCTGGCGGAGATGGGAGGAAAGCGGCTGTAGCTGAGCTAAAGCTTAAAGCAGAGCAAAGTAAATCTGCGCTCTCGTTTATATTGTTTAGCCTATACTAGGACATTAACACATATTGAGACATACTGGACATTAAATGTTTGATTTTTGTTGAAAGGACAAAATGGCTCTTCTTATCATTTGGGTTGTGACTCCTGACCTAACCTGGCTTTTAATGCAGAGGGAGCCGGTCGGATTTCTCGCTCATCCATGTGTGTTTTTGTTGTGTGCTGCCACAGACTGTCCGGGTGCTGCACTTACCTACTTCCAAGCTCCACCTTTTGCGCTCCGTCAACATTACATTATAAATTAAATATTTAGAAATTGATTCAGAATCGTTCACGTCCGCATCGCGATGCGTCTAAGAATCGATTAAATCACATTTCAAACCACCTGCATATGGTGGTTCTTCTTCTGAAACACTGACCCCTCTGTCATTCAAAAAGATTCATATTTCCATTTCCTTAAATATAGGGGTTTGGTGGGGCTTTGCTTGAAAGTCTACCTCAGAAGAAGGAGAAGGACCAGTTGGAGCGGCAGTACCATTGGATCCCACTGCTGGCCCGTTAGTCTGAGTGGAAGGCCTCTGACTCACTCCATCCACCGTCACATCCTCCAGGCCTGGGATTGAGGACAGCTTCAAAGTGATAAACAAACAAATAAAACATCAAGTGGTAATCAAAGGCAGACAGTTTACAAACAAGTAATTCATGCCTGAGTGTATGTATGTTAGCAAACATTGCTAACTGCCCCTATACTTTAATCCACAACAGGAACTGTATGTGTTTCTTGTCACTGTGTCGGATACCATAAAAGCATTTCACAAAGCAGGATTTCCGAGTTGAGGATTGTCCAATCGGAATGTCTCTCAGCTCTCTTCCTACTGAGAAATCCTGCTTGTAAAGTCACCTCCCTAAGACTACAAAAAGATTTTAACGATGTAAATGCTGATTTACCTTTGCTTCCAATATGCTGAGAGTTGTCTCAATCTGCTGGATCCGTAATGATACTGTTGCAAGTTTCTACAATAAAAGATACAACACACTCACAGCAGCTATTATGATGACCTTGCTTTCTATTAGTCTCTCATATTTCAATAATCTTAGTTTCTATTTTAAAGAGCAGTGTACTTGTTCTTCACTCCTGGTCTAGATGTGCCACAGTACTGCACAAATGAATTTTCCCTCTTGTTAGCCCACCTGCTTCAACTCCCTGGCAAATGTTTTTCAGCAGTCTTTTCAGGCACATAGTGAGTTAAAGGAGAATTCCACCATTTTTTTTTTCATTTCAGAACAATTCAATCCTTGAGATGTAAACAGAGTCATTCAGAGTGGTTTGATGTGAAGTGCTTCACTGTAGAGAAACTTACAGACTCTGATCTCTTTACAGCAGTGGTTACAGGAACCAGGGGTCGCAACCTCTTCAACACAAATATAGCCATTTTATTTAATATTCAAAACCACCAGTGAACCTACACGTCTTCTGAGTTTTTATATGTGATTTTGATGATGGAAGTAGTCATAAATCTGGAAAAAAAAGTTTTTCGCCCGTTATGAATGTATTACTATACATTTTAAGCCAAAACTTGATCATAAAATTATCACAAAACAATGTGTCAGACAGCAAGCATCTTGAAAGGAAGCTTTCAGAAGCATTTAACTACTCCTATCGCCACCACTGTGAACAATTCTGGCTCTGTAAGTTTCTCTAGAACAAAACATTTCACACTAAAGCACTCTGAACGACTGTCTACAACTGAACTGTTTAATTATGTAAAATGTAAAAGTCGGTGGAGCTTCCCTTTAAGAATACTACATATGATACAGGTTATATCTGTGACAGTATTCTTAATTACAAATGTTTTCCTAAAATAACAATGAATAAATACATATGTTAATTAAACAAACCAATATATTGTGGTTAAGCTTTGTGCAGAATGTAAAGCCCATTAGAAAGTAACAGTAACGTCAACGTCACCTCCTCACAAACAGTGGAAAACCGGTTGAGGAACCGAACCGTGTGGACAATGAACTGGTTTAGGAAAGCGACGACTCTTCTTTGCTGGATGGCAGGAACCTAATAGAGAACATGAACATTTCAGCACTGAGCTAGAACTCATATCCCCGTCTCCTCTTCTGTACATCACATTCACAGTGTAAACGAGCTCTCAGGACCGACCGCAGCAGCAGCAGCCGGTCTAAATGAATAAATAAACTCGCCTTCGTCAGATCCACCCCCGAGCCCACAATCGGTAACCCGTCCTCATCCATGTTAATCACAATTCAGATGTTTTTGACGAGTAATAAAACGTTTATGTGTGACGTTTAAACCCTATTCCGCGAGCATCAACACAACCTCTCTTCACGTGACTTCAGTATGACCTGTGACACTTCCGTCTGCACAAAACCGAACGCCATAGTAAAAGTCCTCCACTGACTCGCTTGTTGAAGTATTGACGTTAACGGGGAATTACACCGAATTTTTACAATTTCTAAAATTGAGAGACACTATTTTTTCTTTTTTTATCATTTTGAGATACGAGTTTGTCGTAAAACAGTATTCAAATACATACGTGGCGGAATGGTATGTGCAGGCTGTTGTAAAGCAAATTAGTGCCCAGTTTTTTCAGATTTACCACAATTTCACCGTTAAGAACCTTACATATTAAAGCTTAGTAGACGTGTAGATTCACTAGTCTTTTTGTATTGCAAAAAGAAAAAAAAAAAATGCTATATTTGCATTACAGACATCACAACCCCTGGAATCTGTTGACACCATTGCGAAGCGGCCAAGTCGGTAAGCTTCTCTAAAACGCACCGTGTCACTTCAAACCACTTTGAATGACTTGCATCTCATCAGCTGAACAAAGCTGACCATGTGAAAAATTACCCTCTAAAGAAGACACAGATTAAGAATGTATGTTATAACGGTGTCTGCGGCACCCCCTACTTGTCAAAAGAGAGACAGCAGTTTCATTTTTATATTTATTCTGAAATCAATCCAGTCCATCTGTCAACCATCTGCCAGGCTTCTGAGGCCCCTGAGTTTGAGCTGGGGAATCTTACTAATCAAATATGGAGCCTTCTTTGCATACCAGTCAGGTGAAGCAGTAGAACCTGCTGAACCTGGTTATTACAACGTGGAGAGCAAGCCACCAGAAGAGCTGAGTAGTTTCAGCTAGGGCCCAGTGGCTCCTCCAGATCAGTCCCTTTACTCCACCTATGTTGCCAGAGTGCAAGTGATCTGGTGTTAGTCATGTACTGTGCTAAGCACCACTTCTGCCAGTCAGTATGAACTAAACTGCATGCTGGTCACAAACATAACAGCGTCAGCTACTCAAAATCTCATGCAGAATTACCGAGAAAGCAGGGCACTTGCATTACTGGCCGCATTAAATTACATTCTACATCTTTGTTAGCATAAGATCTCGACCTGCCTGTAGTTGTATCCACTGTGCTTTGCACAACCTCAGATGGTCATCAAAAACACAAATTGAGAGACCACAGCTGAAAAATTATTTTTAATATGCAACTATTTGGTAAAAAAGACAACCTTGACTATACAATATCTACTACCAGACTCAGTTACTTCCAAAACATGAATTTAAAACCAAAAAAAGTCAAGAACAAGTCACTGATTCAATCAAAATAGTAAGAGCAAAGAGCTCCAATATCTGTTTAAAAGCATAAAAAAAGAAAATCTGAAAATCTGTACTATGAATGAAAAACAGATGCATTTAGCAAGACCAAATGGGCCGAGTGAAAGTGTGTCCACGCCTGAGAAACAGTAATGGTTTTGGACATGTTCTTCAGTCATCCAGAGTGAAGTCGAAGGGCTGGAAGTCAGAGCGGACTTGTTTCGTCAGAGCCTCTTCCTCCTCTCTGCTGTTTTTGCAGTCTCTCCAGTCCGATCGCGTTGGGATGTTCAACACCGCCTCGCTTGCCAGCACTTCCCTGAAGGTGCACAGATACAAGCACACATGCACGCAATCTTTACTCAAAAAGGTTTGCAAGATTAATCTGTGTTCACAAACTTCAATTTTAACGTTATTGTATACCTGCCAAACTGTAATGGGAAGTTCTTCTTGATGCGATAAAACAGCTTTTCTCCCGTATCCAGCTCCACATAGAAATAAGGAGTTCCTGGCGGAGCAATCTTGAATAGAGGAACAGAAAGACTTGATTTAAAATCATGAAAATCAATAATGAATTCCCACAAATTATTAATGCTACACACATTTTCTCACATTTCAGTCATAAAAGTGACCGTGTTAGAGTCGGTTTGTCTCAGTCTCAGGGTAAGATGGACTGGGAAATTGCTCTCAAGACCGTTTGTTAAGTGCAAATGCGTCCATCTGATGTAACTGGACACTGAACTTTTATCATTACTGAATATCAACCTTCAAACAGAATAAAACAGTCCTTTGTCTAGATGTTTAAATAAAATCGATTTGCTACCAATTGAGGATCTTATTGATCTTTTTCATGATAACTGAGTTTTATTTGTTCATTGGTTCCATAATTCAAACTTCCCTTGAGGGCAGAACAGAATGTTATTAGTACTATGGTTTCATTTAATAAAGATGCATGTTGTTTGTTTTATAGTCACACGACTGTAGGTGGTGACTTCTCAGTGTGTTTTAGAGAAGAAAGACAATAATATAATGATACTGATTAATAATATTATTGGGCCATATAGCATTTAATGTCATTTTACAAAATGCATTATAAAATAAAATCTTTATTTCCTGTATAATGAATGATAATGAATGTACAATGAACTACAAACTAAATTCAGTCCCGTCCCCCTTTTTATTTTTATATACTGGTTTTGACTGCTGCAAAGTCTTGGTCTTGACTTGGACTTGATGTGTCCAAGTCTCGGTCTTGATTCAGACTCGTCTTGTGTACAACACTAAGAAGTGGTTTACAACTCTAATACAGATAATGAGGTTCTTATTCTTATTCTGTGGATAAACAGCTCAGGAAAGCTATGGCAATTGGTTACACAGCACTGTCTATGTTTAACCCTGTCACAATCATTACAATTTTAGCTTATGATTACTTGCCATATAAATAATTGTGATTAATAATTTCATTGTCTTTTTTTGTTCACTGTGTGCAGCTATTAAAGTCTAAAATGGACAGATTGGCTGATCAACTTGCTTCCTTGCCAACAAAACTCCCAACTGCTTACAGAGTTCAAGCTCAAATAATCAAACTTTACTCAGTGCTGCCCTCTAAAAGTGTTATATGACCAGTCAAGAAGTTAGAATGTGCCTGATAACATTTATTTAAGCCACAAGTGTTTTCCACAGTTGTTAGGCAATTTAATAATTGTGAAGTTTCTACCTACTACCAGAAACTGTTAGTACCTGTTTGAGGTCTGTGTGCTCTGGTATCTCCATCAGCTCCATTTGCTGCTCCTGCCCCTGCACCATGAAGGCCTCCTTAATGTCCTCTGTACTGCACCTCTCCATGGGCACGGGGACCACCTACCATCCAGAAGGTTAAACAGGGCTTTCACAGGTGGCAACTGCAGTTATATTTAACAAATATTAAGACTACAGATAAATACAGGACACAGTCTGATCAGATCAAACATGGCATCAGCTGTGATGAGTGATGGTCATCATAGGGAACAGGTCCCTCAGACTGGTTGTTCTTCAGGACAGACAGTGTCTGTCTGCTCAGACTTAAACTGATGACTGATTAATGTATGTGAGTCTGAAAATGAGGAAGAACTGGAGACTTTCAGATCTCCACCCTGGTGCATGTGGTTTGCCAGGCTCAAAAACCTTAATGTATGTGGCGCTGCTGGACTGACCTTGGGTCTCAACGGGTCCGCCCGTTTGGGCAGCAACCACAGGTGATGGAGCCAAACAGGCTCCTTTTTATGATGCTGTGCCATAGACAGACAGCTTGCCTTATCATTTTTCATTGCTAAGTGGACAGTAGAGCCACTGCACTTCATGCTTTAGAAAAAAAGGCATTATAGTGAATTCTAGTGAACTACAGTATAAGAATATCTTTATAATGAATTGTGGTGAATATAGTATCGAAGCAAGGGGAAAGGAGTCCAGTCACCTGTAACTGAAGGTGCTGGCTGCGGTAGTTCCTCTCGAACAGAACGCAGCGTCGGCCGCGGCTCTTATGGAATTTCCTGATAGCACTTTTGTAATTCTCCAGCTCTTCCACCACATCAGATGGCAGATCCACCACAGACTGGTAGTGTCCAATGGGCAACAGCAACACATGGTCTGGGGTGAGGCAGCCTTTAGCCATGGCCATGTAACACTGTGGAAGCAAGACAATCCTGCTTATTCTAGACATACAGACAAACAGAAGCACACAGGTCCTTAGTTAAGCTGTGTGTTGTACTTGATGTTAAAGACACTGTTGTAGAAATCTGTGCCCACCTTCGCAAAAGCTGGAGGTATGGCCAGGCAATGTGACAATATTTATCATTATTGCGACAGAGTGTCACAATATGCTTTTCTAAGCATATTATAGATGTCGTCAGTATTTAAAAAACACTTTCCGACTGCATGTTTGAGTACTGATTGCAACATAGTATGTGAAATATTGAATACAAATCATTCTGTTTCAACTTTTCAGATGTTATAAATAAATAAAAAAAATAATAAATGTTGTGACAAATCATATATCATAAAAACATTGTGAAGTATGGCAATATTATATTTTTGGAGTGTATATTTGTGTATAACTGGAACTCACATGTGTCCCTATACTGATGACCAGGTGCTTCTCCACCTCAGGGCTGGCTAAACAGAACCAACAGGGTCCAGTAGGCTGAGCTGAGTGCAAGAGGAGAGTGTTATAATGTGCAGAGTGAAATTATGCCTGTAACTTTAAACCAAAGAAAAACAGGTTATAATCAGGTTAAGAGAAAGTACTGGAAATGCAATAGTGAGTTCCATATGTTGATTAATCCCAGACAGTTTTTGCTTCAGTTTAAAAAAAAAGGTTAATAAAAAAAAAATCAGCCATTGGCTAATTTGGCTGTAAAGAATTAGAAATTAGACAAAAATAAATAAATAAACAAAATCAATCAAATAATCAATCAATCAAATAAATAAATAAATAAATGGTGCAACTCTGATTATGATAGGCCTTAATTTTATTAAGATCAAACCTACAACATCTGATTCTATACGTCAGCTTGTCTCACAATAACAGTAATAAAGTCAAGTCCATGACTTGATGGACCAACATACGACCCTAGACCAGGAATTTCCCTGCTTTGCAAATTGCCTGCTCAAACACACCTGACACCCTAACTGATCAGGTAATTGGTTTATGATAGCAGAAAAAAAAATGTATGTGCAGGGCAGGAGTTTTTCCAGGACTTTAATTACTGAATTCTGTCTTGTGTTAATGGACTAAGTACATAGGGGCACAATGACTGACAGCAGACAGGTTTGACTCACGGGGTTTGCGAGGTTGTTTAGGCTGGCTGGATCCGTCACCCTCCGACTGCCGCTTCCGACCCTGATTCTGCTGGTGCCGGTGATGCTGCTGCTTCTTCTGACCCAGATCAAAGAAGAACTGAGACACAGGCTCCTCCTGCTCAACAGAGGTTCAACATTAGTACCTTTAATCCACAAGAACAGGTCAAAGCCAAGCAACATCTCATGTGGAACAAAATTACATGGACAAAGGACTACATTCATCTTGTAATTTATTTTTTTCCCTTGAAGTCCACTTCTAATGTCCAATTTCCAATCACACTTTAGTCCTTAGAATTAAACAGGCTGTTTTTGTTACTGTGCATTCACTGCAAAAATATATACATCTTGGCCAATTAAATTACCTTAAATTTGTTTGACATCTCATATTTCTCATTTTGAAACTGTTTTAAGCTCATTATAAAGTTACTCAACTAATTTCTAGACACATTTTACTTGTTTTTAAGGGATTTTATTGAGTCAAATTATCTCAAGATATTGTGATATCTTTCTTAAAGATGCTTGAATCAAGCAAGATTATCTGCTAATTTGGTGAAATACTTTGACTTACTAAAATCAGTTAAATAAAATGTCTAAAAATGACCTTAAAATAAGCTTACAATAGTCTCAAAATGAGAAATATTAGACATTTTGACTTAAAATTTTTAATTTTTAACTTAAAATTTCACTTGCTAAGATACTTTTTTTTTGCAGTGTTAAAAATTGTTTATGTAAATAACTTCTGTTCTGATTGGCTGTTCTGTATCGTGCCTCAGTTCAGGCTGAAACACTCCTTATAACTTCAGTGTGAATGGGCGGGGCTAAACAAGTGGAGATATGTAAATGATTTGATTCTTCTCAAAACAGGCTGTTAGTTACAATATATAGAGTGTATGGACTGGGAAGTGATTTTATAAATTTTAACAATGTTTACATACTACAGCAATATCTTATTCTTAAAAAGTATAGAAAATGTAGCTTTTCATGAGAAATACCAGGTAAAAAGGCTACACCATGTACCTGGTCAATCAAATCAATAATTAAAAACAAAGCATGCACGCACCTCACCAACTGCAGAGGGAGGAGGTTTATCCTTCTTTCCCTCTTTCAGTGGTTTTCTGTAAGGGTTCTCTGTGACATCCTGAGGCTGTTTGACCAGCTCCACAGCATCCATACTTTTCATCGGGACAATGTTAAATGCATACAAATACTAAGAGAGAACACCAGCAGAACACACAGCATTTCAGTCTTTAAGTTTCCTGACTCAGTCTTGAAACTAGAAAATTTACTAAGTGCAGAGGGGATGGGCAAATGTAAGCAGCCTACCTTTTTCTTAGCAGGGTTGTTAACTGTTGCCAGTGCGATAAATCTACTGACATGCTGTGCATTCTCTTGAAGAACCACATGGTTTCTTTACAATGAAAAAGACACAAAACGCCTTGTCAGAAGCAGAAAACTATCTGATCAATAACATCTAGCATGGTCACTTCTATCATTTAATTTTGCAGAAAACTCTTGTATGCAGAAGACCTGTATGGCAGTCTTTCATAGTGAACCCCTTCCAATGCAGCAAAGTGGTAGCGAGGCTTCAGCTTTTCTGCAAGATTTGCAATGGAAGAAACTCCACAGAACTTTGTGTCAATTTCCTTAAAAAACAAAACAAAATAAAACAAACAAGTTAAATGGGCTAAAAATACTGACCACGTAAAATACCCTGAGAAAAAAAAAAAGGGTTTAAACTAGAAAGTACTTACCGGGTTGTTCCCGTACTGCCACACTCCTCGAGGCCACTGAGAGGTCAGGAGGATGTCAACTCCTTTGAACTTCGAGCTGGACACCAGAGGAGTGAGCAGGGCTGTGAGATCTTTTGCAGTGAAGCAGTGTGCAGGTGCTGGCTCCTGCTGAGCTTCTCTGCCACTGACATATGCAATCTGGAGGCCTGAAGCTCCTGTGAAAATACCCCTTCGGCCTGAAATCCAAAAAGTCCTGTATGTGAGCCCGCAAATTGGCAATACATTGCGACGGTCACTGGGTTTTTGTTTTCCCCCCACCATTAAAACACAACAGCTGTCCTTTAAATTTCATCAAGGTTGTACCATTAGAAGTGGTCCAAAAGTCACTTCGAATAAAAGCTCTTTAGATCAACCTACATTAAAAGCTAATAATGTTTTTGCCTTCTCCTGCAAAGTTACTATTTTGGAGATAAAGATTTTTCTTTGGACAGTCACAATAAGGTTGTTGTTATTATCAGAAATAAAAATGCAGAAGATAATTCAGAAGCTTCCTACCTAAACAGATGATGTTTTCAGCCAGTTCACATCCATCAGAGCTGGGGAAATACTTCACGGTTTCCTGGCTGATGGCCCCCAGAACGTATGTGTGGATGGGAGCTGAAGTGTGAGTAATGAACAACAATGCAAAATATTCTCTACCAGTATAAAAACCTACAGCTTCTTTGTAACAATGTTAACTAGTTTTTAAAGACAATGAGGGAAATACCTTTCTTAGCACCAGATTTGTATGCTTCCCACTCAGCTTCAGCCTCAGGAGACGTACCAAAGAATTCGCCAACGCATAATAATAACTGCAAGTTCAGAAATTATATGGTGTGTGTCTGCTCCCAAAGATTATGGAAAAGACAATAACAGAAAGAGACTTACATCGAACTGCCCGCTCTTTTTCTGGACTGCGTTCACCCGGTTAAACAATGCAGTGATTCTTCCTTCAACGTCCCCACAAGCAAGCCTAAAGGAAGACAAACCAGGACTATTATAGGAAAAACCACATGCAATTATAAATGTAACTTTTAAACAACAACCAAAAAAAGTCTAATAACTCGAGAAAACGTATTCACTCCCAGTGTGCAGCTAGTATTTTCTAGTTGAGATTAGGAAAGACTTTATAAGGAAGAAAATGTTGACAGACTCTGGAATAGTGTTCCAGAAAATATTAGGAAGGCCAGCTTGATTTGTTATTTGTAGGGATACATGGTGGTATGTCTATTTGATTTACTTACTGCATTGTTTACCTAATAAAAATAAAATATACATTTTTCTGTAATGCTAATCCCAATTTCGTCCCAACCATTTCATTCTACACTTTATCAATGTTCATGTACTGGCCTCAGTATAAATATCAATGGGTACACAAAAAATATCGGCCATCGTCCTCAGCCCAAAATTCCCATATCAGTGCATCCTTACTCTTGTGTTATTTTATTCAGGCAATTTTATCTTTACAGTGTTTTGCTTACTTTGTAACTAAACTGAAAAGTACTATATAAGCAAAGACTATGGTCAATCCTGTATGACAAGTTGCAAGTCTGGGTTTCACTAAACTGAAACAGAGAGATTATGATACAATTCTTTTTAAATGTGTACAATTATTTTTTAAACACTTAATAAATAAAATAGCTTTATCTAAAAATGTGCTGTATTAACCAAACATACACTTTAAAGTGATACATAAAATAACACAAAAATAAAAGCCACATTCAAAGATACAAGTCTAAAAGAAAACTAAATTGAATCACTTTGAGGAATGTAAAATATTAAATTGAATGAACAAAAAGATTTTTAAAGGGGAACACCACCAACCTTTCAAAAAATCCTACATAATTAAATAATTGATGTAAAGCCCTTAGAGTAGTTTGGTGGTGAAATGCTCCGTTCTAGTGAAACTTACTGGGTCAGAATTATTCAAAGACATCTAAAGACTTTAATGCCGCTGAAATCTCATTCACAGAAAATTATTACATTAAATGGTTAGATATAAGCTGCCTTATGTCTGGCAAATTGTTTTATAATAGATCTGTGATAAAGTTTTGACTTTAAATGTATTTGATTCCATTTTCTTTTATCCACTCATGATGGAACGGAATATGCAGGTGGACATGCATGTAAGGCAAAATAGTCCCCAAAGAGAACAATTTTTTCCGGATTTATGACTGTTTTACCATCATAAACATTAGATATAAAAACTCAGAAGACACGTGTAGGTTCACTGGTGGTTTTGGACAGTAAATAAAATGGCTATATTTGTGCTGTAGACATCGTGACTCCTGGTTCTTATCACCATCAGTGTAAAGAGAGCAGCGTAAATTGCTTTACAACGAAACATTTAACATCAAACCACTCTTAATAACTCTGTTTACATCTCAATATCTGAATTACACTGAAATTTGGTGGCGTTCCCCTTTAACCTTTCAGCACACAGTAAGAAACAAAGGGCGACGAGCAGCGCGTGAGACACACTGCCTTTGACTTTAAACACATTAAACAGACTCTTACACTCTCAGAGGCTTCTCCCCCATCATCCACACACACACTCACACACACGCGGCCTGGCTGTGCGGTAAAGCTGCGGACTGAAGCTTTTCTTCTTCTTCTTCTTGCTGGGTTTGAAAAGCGTCTGTGTCCGCTGACAAAATAAACCCCAACAACAACACAGGAGCAGGACGGTCCTGAGTCAGAGTGTATCAGCGGGGCCGCTCACTGAGAAGGACTTTACTAAGGTAAAGTATGTTATATGGAAATAAAGCCAGTATAAATGATTAAAAGAAGCGTAAAACTGTCCAGAGAAGTGAACGATTCGCTGAATGTACTACTAGAAAACATGTTTCTACCCGAAAGAAATATACGAGCGCAACCACACGGGGTATCGGCCGAGTCAATCTTGCGCTCTTACTTTGCAAACTGCGCTGACTCGAATGGAAACTCACAGTTCATCATCTTAAACGGCACATTACAGAATCTTGTGTAGATCTTGTATGTACGTAAAAGTCTATTGTAAAAATTAAAACAAAAAGCTATATTTACTCGTTTATTATTGGGCTTGTAATTGTGTGATCCATGCATGTCCTCCGTCAAATATATGTGAAATAAAAAAATGTAAAAAATTAACTGTGAAAATCTCTTATACGTTACTGAACAAGTACATAAATTAAACGTATTATTTTATTTTCCCACTGTGCACAGCAGCTTCAAAGATGAAAAAACACTGTATGCGCAAAAAGGGACGGCAAGCAGCTTACCCAGTGTGAGAGTGTGACGTGTGAGCTGCGACAGACCAAAACAGGAAATAATTAAAATCACACGATAAACAAGGTTTGAAGATCCGCCGGAGACGGGGTTGTTTTTATAAACACAGGGTATGTTCTGTGGATATGAGGCTACCGGCACGGCTCTCTCAGACCGTGTGGGCGGACAGAGCTCGTCCTCTGGAGCTTATTAAAGGAGAGGATGCGAACCGGCCTCAGCCTGACCTCGGGGAGCTGCGCTCTCAGTCCGACTCGGTTCCTCCTCAAATCCACGATCCCTCTCATCTGCCATAGTCGCGGGAACACGCATGCACGCTGCATCGAAACAACGGAAAGCGAAAAGGGTAAAAAAAGTCCAGAATTAATAATCTAAACGGCGTCAAAGCGCAGATTCCCATCCTTCCTGAACCTTTTCGCTTCCCGTAGCTGCAGTGTTGTGCGGTGCTGTTTGTGTTTCTGCACAGTGACTGCGCTCCTGACGACTCAATCCGAGGAAGGGGACGTGGATTTTAAGGATAACTGCAACAAATGCAACACCAGCCCACATGGAGCCACGCGACACGTTCTCATACCTGCTGGGCTTATTTATCCCTCCTACGGCTTAGTATGAGTGGAGTTTGGGAGCAGAGTCGGCCCTGAACCGCCGCCGGGCCAGAACATTTCCATATATAGGCTTTGGAAGTGGTCAAGCCTCAGGAGCCTCTGCGGAGCTTCTGCTGCAGAGCTTCAGTGGAAATGTAAACCTCAGCTCGGCCACCAAGAAGAGCGCTTTGCTTTCCTTTCACAAACAGAAACAACGTGAACATGCGTACACGGCCTTTTCAGACAGAGGACTCGTACAGGAGGAGGTTGTGTTGTAAAGTCAGAGTAGGTCAAAGTATTGTGATCTGAATGTGGAGACCATCCTTGTCGTAACTGGCTGTTCAGTATCTAAACTCCATTTTCATCACTTTGTGCTAATGCATGACTTGTCAGCGGAGTTGATGTAAATCTGAGCTGGGCCACCAAGTGCCCTCTTCTTTGCTTTCCTTTCGCATGCCAGAAACAACGTGACCATGTCAGCACCAGAGCAGATTATCGAGATCATTATGGAGGACAGGACGTATAACGTGAGTAAGAGCAAGCTGATTGAAAAGAGCGATTACTTCCGTGCCCTGTACAGCTCTGGGATGAGGGAGGCCGGGGAAGACTCCGTGCAGCTGCAGGGGCTGAGCGTGCCAGGCCTGGAGCTGGTCCTGGAGTTCATCAACACATCCAAAGTTCAGGTTGCCAATGAAACGCTGGAGGACCTGATCGAAACGGCCTCTTTCCTGCAAGTGACACCCATCTTGAAACTTCTCCTGTCCGAAATCCGTCTAGACAACTGCATTGAACTCTTCAAGCTCTCGGAGGTCTATGGAACGCATGACCTGCGAACAGCCTGCCTCAAGTTCATGTGCTGTCACTACCATCCCATGCTGCGCAGGCCAGAGTTTCAGGTCCTGCCTGCTTCTTTGAAGGAGCAGGTCAAAGAAATGCGCATGAGGGGCACCGCCACTCTGGTAGCCATTGGAGACTTCAAGGGCACCTGCTTGGACCTCGCTGACCAGGACGAACCATGGTCCATGCTGAGGTACGGGGAAGTAGAGCAGCGCTGGAAGCCGCTCGCCAACAATCTGCCCCCAGACATGGTCAGTGTGAGAGGGTATGGCTCTGCGGTGCTGGATAACTACCTTTTCATCGTCGGCGGGTACCGAATGACAAGCCAAGAAATCTCTGCAGCACATTGCTTCAATCCCTGCAAAAATGAATGGAATCATATAGCGCCTTTGAACCAGAAGAGGTATCTGTATACGCATAGATCAAGTATGGTATCCTTTAAACAGGTGTTTCCCTTTCTGACCACTTGAGTGCTGTGTTTGTGCTCAGGGCCAACTTTAAGCTGGTGGCAGTGAGTGGGAAGCTGTATGCAGTGGGCGGTCATTGTTTAGGTACAGTGGAGTGCTACAGTCCTGAGCAGGATTGGTGGACGTGTGTTTCCTCCATGCCAAACCCTCTGGCTGAGTTCTCTGCCTGCGAGTGCCAGGGCATGATCTACGTCATGGGTGGCTACACAGCCAGAGGTGCGTATGCAACCTTTTTAGAGAGAGGATATGTACACACAGGAGGTTGTGTTGTAATGTAAGAGTCACAGTAGATCACAAGTATCTTGAAGGTGGGAGGATACTCGAGGGTGACCCTTTATTTTTTTTCCATAAGCTGGCTAATGCAGAAAGAAACCAGATTGAGAAAGAGGAGCTCCAGTGCTTGTGTGCAGTGCATGCTGGGTATTGTAGTGAGAAAACAATGATGGACAAAAACACAAGAAGGATACAAAGTCATGAATTCTGTTAAGGCTGAGGGATGCGTTGCTGCGCTACAGAATTAAGTTAAGTGACCCTTATTAGTCCCACAGTGAGGAAATTCACCTCTGCATTTAGCCTATTTGTGCAGTGAAACACCCACATACACATTATAGAATTCACACACACTAGGGGGCAGTGAGCACACTTGCCCAGAACAGTGGGCAGCCCTATCCGCAGCGCCCTTCAGTCCATACTGTCAGCTCAGGGGATCAAACTGGCTTCCAGTCACAAGGCTGGTTCCAAAATGACATAATGCAACAAATAACATAATCAATGCTAGTTTCGAGTCAGGAAACCCTTTAAGTGATGGCAGTATTGTTACAGGACCCAGTGAGAGGAATGACAGACGGTATAAAGGATCAATCAGTTGATTAATCACATATTTGTTGATGGATTCATTGATTTATAGAAATAATCTTTAAGTTGCAGCTCAAACTCTGGGCACAGAGACAGAACTGACCCTTCCTCTCCTTTTTCTCTGGCAGACAGGAACACTGACGTTCTGCGCTACTGCCCCACCTCGGACACGTGGTCAGTGTTCCGTACCTGCTCGGCCCACGTGCGCAAGCAGCAGATGCTGTCGGTGGAGGAGACCATCTACTTGGTAGGTGGCTATACGCACGAGCTGGAGTGTGTGGCTGGGGGCCAGCGGCGGGCCAGTCAGACGGAGGACATGCTGACGGTGCAGTCATACAACGTGCGGACAGGAGAGTGGCTGCAGTTGAAGGAGAACACGTCCAAGTCGGGCCTGAACCTCACTTGCACTCTCCACAATGATGGTATCTACATCATGAGTCGTGACATGAGCCTGCCCACAAGCCTGGAGCACCGCGTCTTCCTCAAGTACAACATCTTCTCTGACGCCTGGGAGGCCTTCCGTCGCTTCCCCGGGCTGGGCCAGAACATGCTGCTGTGCTCGCTCTACCTGCCTAATGTCCTGTGAGCCAGAAAGCACCATGCGCAAGCCATCTGAAGTAGCCTCCTGAGGGATGCCATGTATGCCCTGGCCAGTACATGCGGTACAAGGCCAGTACATGCGGCGGTGGTAAAGTTGCGGCTGAAGTGGCTGAGATGAATGGAGTCAGAAGCAATCGCGTTCAGGGTCAGTGAGAGGGTTACTGCAGAGATGCACGCTACAAGAGAAGGACTGATTAAAGGTTGCTCAAAATCGAGGTCAATGAATGTTGTTTACACTAATAACAAACGAACAATCCACTGTACCTCACTTAGGGTCAAGATAACAGCTTGTTGTTGAGGCACACTTGAATTTAAGCACAGGGCTTATGCTGAAATATACATAAAACACTTTATATGGGAGCAAGTGCACTGTTGCAACAGATTTTTCCAACTTGCACGAAAACTACTAATGCCAATGCATGTACTTACTGTCTGTATTCCCTATACAGAATATATAAATGCATTACTGACAATGATTGGCAGCAAAAGGCTTTGGTTTTACATGGCCCTGGTTGTGATGGAACACTAAGAGTGTGATCAGAAAGCATTAATAGTCTTAACTACTGCTAAAGCTTCATGAGTACCTTACCATTTAAGGCCTTGAATTTTCAGGCCTAGTACAAATACAAAAGCACTTGACCAAAACACCTGTGATCTTATTTTGAATGGATGATGATGTGGAGGGCTTCTAGCAAAAGGACCAATTAAAACGGTGCAAATGTTCTGAAGAGATGTCCATTTCTGAGAGTTAAGGTGATGGCCCTCCTGAATGCAGTACTTTATGTTGACGTTTGATTCATTTCAGGTTTCTTTTTTAATTTTGCTTTGTTTTGAGCAGGTTCCAGTCTGAATGTGTGACAGTACTGAATATTGCCACAGATGCCTTGAAAACAGTAATGATTTTAAGTTCAATAAAATATTCAGGGGAAGGGAATATATTGTCTATTTATTTGACTGTTTTTCTGTTTGAATTTGTTCGTAATTAAATAGAGTGACGCTATCAACACCATTTAAGATACTGTTCTTGACGAATAGTCTTTCTATCAGTAATTACAGGCATTCGATTGTGTAAGTTATTTGCAGAAATTGCTTCACTCTAAAAACATTTTATTGTATTACTGGATGAGGGTAAGAATACTTGTTCAGGTGAGTTCTTATGGTTCATCAGTCGGGAAACTGAAATAGGAGTTTTGGTGACATTTGGATTTGGCGATTGTGATTTTGATGAGTGTTTTGTGGGCGCATGTCAGGTCACACACTACAAAATGCGTCATCAAGCTGCCTTTTGGTTCATCTTAAAGGAAACCTTGACTGTAAAGTCTTGTATGCCTTATAAGTGTACATGTTAAACACTATTAAATATATATAAACCAAATGGAAATGTTTTGTTTGTTTTTACATGAGAAGTAGGCAAAATCCCTTTACTAGTAGGTTGCACAGTGATATCATATAGTTGCAGTAATTTCATATGGAAAATAAGATAATCAAAAAGTTCTCTTGGACAGTGCCACTCTCTAACTAAAGTTTAAAGATTTAATAACATATTTGAGTTAAATTATATACTAAAGGTGGCGTTCCTCACTCAGTGGACAAGAGTTAGAGCAACCATTTCATGCCACAACAAAATGGCAGCCTAAAAGTGGAAGGATTTTGTCTATTTTCAGTAATAAATAAAGTATGTTCCTTTGTTTATACGTTTTTAACAGTGCAGGACATGTACACTACGCAGAGGCAAATATCATCACAGTCTGAGTTTTCTGCACACTGTAACATTGCACAGGTTAAGCTCAATAGCAAATGGCTCCCTAATCCCTATATAGTTCACTACATATGGCAAAAATATTCTACACCCAAATTATGCACTAAATGTTAGGTTGGGAGTTGTCAAGCTTATAGCTGAATATAAGTAGCTTTTTTTTCCAAAATATAATACATTATTTGACTTTCTTAATACGGCAATATCTCAGTCACATTTTGCTTTAAAAAGAGCAGTTTATATCAAAGCTTTCTCAAAGGTATGTCTCTATATATCTCTATGTTTGAGACAAATTAGTTTGGGTTCTGTGCAAATTAGTTTTGGGTTCTGAACCTTGTACCTTAACAAAGGGTAAACCAGTCAGCTTGCTAATCCATCCAAACAGAGAGCGCTTTATCTTAGATGAATGATTTATTTAGAAAAAATCAAATTTACAGTTTCCTCTTAACCCAAAAGCTGACAGTAGGCTAAGGCATGTTTGATGTCTGAAATCTGGTTCTTTATTTTTGCACTGGAGCTATGAGGCTAATGAAGCTAACATGTAATGGAAGTCTATGTGACGTAAACATTTTTTAGATTTTTCTGGCTTTGTGGCTCCAGTGCAAAACTAAGCAAACTTCAGACAACAAACAGGTGTATGTTTGGGTAAAAGTATGTACATTTGATTTTTCAGTCAACCATTGCTTTATAGGTAGACAGATTTGGGAATATTGTTACATGGGAGCTTAGCTTTTGGTTCAGCTAATTGTCCTAATTGGGTGTATTTAGCCATTTCTTGCTTTGACTGTGCCACTAAGTAGTCTCTGGTCTCTCCCTCTTGCTTGTTATCAGAGCTAGGTTCACTGACTGCCAGCCTGTCCTCACCTAGAAAGTCAATGTGGACAGAAAAGACTGGCTGACCATAAGATGTGTAATCTGAGACACTGCAGCGGCCTCTGACGTCCACATCATCAGCTGTATAGTAGACAGGGCAGAGGGACCTGATGAAGTCATGGTCCCTGTAGGTTACTGTGGTCCACTCTTCGGGGCTCGAGTCAGTAGTAAAGGAGCAGTCACACCTCAGCCAGTCTGCAGTGAGACAGCTGTGACTTTCAGATGGAGCCAGGAGGGGGTGCTCTGTAGGTTTAGCAGCAGATGCAGCTGTTCGTGACTGATGGGCTGTTTGTGGCCTGGACTGAGTCTGTGAGTTGGAGGGCAGGTGGACTCTGTTTCTCAGAGGGTTACTGCAGTCCCAGTGGCGGCTCTCCACCCATAATAGGATTGGATGAAGGAGCATGGGGACATGTCTGTAGCCCATGACTCGATGGTTGAGCTCAGGGATGCTCAGCGCCAGACACTCCAGATTGCATGATGACAGTGGCCTGTCTCCTGTGTTTGTCACTCGCACCACTGCAGTGTGTGTGTCATAACAAAGATCTTTCACTGAAATGTGAAAACGAAGCAATAAAAAGAGTCACCAACTATTGCTACACATGTATACAGCTATGTGGTAAGAAAATAAAACAAATACGCACAATTTTCTCCTTACCCTATGGCTAACGTAGCTAAGCAGACCGGACCGTTTCTTGCAATTACAGGTAATAGCAATTACTTAGGGCCCTGGAGTCAAGACGATTATGATATGTTTGTTTTTATATCATTTGTGTCAATCGTGATTTTGATACAAAACTATCCAGACATCAGCGATAGCTTTGCCTCAAATAAACCAAGAAAGCAGAAATGATGCACGTCACTTAATCACTAGGTGTGTAATGAGTCACAGCATTCAGGATTCAGCTCGATGTGGTACATATATTTGTCCATTTTCAGTCTATTGGAGCATTCAGTATTATAAAAGTATAAATAAATATAACAGCTGTGCTTTATATTGTCCGGATCTAAATCTTTAGCCACAAGCTAACACATTAACCACAAGCTAAGCTTTCATTTCATTGTTTTAGTTTTATATTTTATTTCTATAGTTTCTATATAATTGATTATTTATTGAGTTTACTGTAGTATAAACTTTTTTCTGTTTAAAATAAGTGAAATATTGATTCTTTTCAATTCTCGTATACAGAAGAATACATCTGGATGGATTAAGGACCCCCAGCAGGATGTCGCTTTGGGCCTGCAAGTGTTCAGAAATGGCCCTACTAACAAGAAATGGACATTAGCCTTGTGGCTTCAGTGCAGAACTAAAGAAGCAAATTTTGGATACTAACATATCTGCAAAACTCTTTCTTTAAACAAAAAGGAAATTGGATTGGTGCACATATCAATGGACCTAAGAAATTACTCTATTAAATAGTTACAGTACCTACTATACCTTCCTTAGATCCAGTGTCTTAAAAATACGTTATTTCCATTAAGCATGCATGCTTAACATATGGAGACTGACCTGACGCTGTGTGAGGATGATCTGACACAGTGTAGTAGACGAGCGTCAGTAAATATCTCTCAGTGAAAAGTGGAAACTCAGACATGTTTTACAGCAGTACAGCTTGATTTGAACACATACAATATGCCCTGGGTCTGTTTGTTGTTGTAACCATGGCAACAAAATTTGAAAAAATTTCTAAAAGTCAGGTTTTCTATTATGACATGAACATTGTTCTAACAGAACTTTCTGTTCTACAGGATAAGTGTGAAGTGTGAAGTGTGATGGAGTGGACTAGTTGAAGTCCTAAGCTACCATTTTGAATGTGGACAGTATACATTAAAATACACTTTGGGGCATTTAAAATGTTCAAAACCACACAAATATTTGTGTAATCAGATTCAGATTTATTGGCCAAGTATGTTTACACACACAAGGAGTGTGGTTCCAGGTGTGTTAAATGCAATATACAGACAGAGTACAAATAATTTACAGACAATACACAATATAGAAGCAATATATATGCGTTGTTGCATCTGCATCATGTATGAGAATGAAAATGAGTCTGAAGCAGGGTGTACTAACTATCTGGAGGAAGACAAAAAAATCTAAGCTCATTTTCTGAACTTGGTAAAATGTATACAAATATATCCCACTTAGGTATGCTTTTTACACACTTTGCATGAGCTTATCTGATTTTGGAAGCCAGGTCTTTTGAGAGCTTTAAGTTAACTATGCCTACATCACCCCCCCCCCACACACACACACATTTGTCTAAGAAATATGGTTACAAGAAATAGAAGAAAAGATTTTCAGTTGTGGGAATGTTTTATTCATGAACAGAGTCCAACACAAACTGACCTTGTGTGTTGGGGGATTATATTCCCTAAGCGATTCCCATCACATGTCTGTTTGTGGCTGCCTCACTGAACAGTTTGATCTAGGCAACAGGATGGAATGCTTACACTGAAAAGTCGCTGTCATTGTTGCTATGTTCACATATGCTAGGCTATCTGCTAAGCTGCTAATATGTCATAGTATGTTACATCCTCCTTTGCACAACTCCACATACTCAGTACCGTGTACTGCCTGTGTCCTGTTTTGTATTTATTGTAAGTCTTTCATATTTATTTATTGTACTTGTCCCACTTGTTTCCTGTGTTGCACCATGATCCTGGAGGATTGTTGTTTCGTTTCACTGTGTCCTCGTATATAGCTGAAATAACAATAAAACCTGACTTGACTTGACTTGAAAACAGGAAACATTATCTCACTGGTGATATGGATGATACAACAGGCAACCGTGCATGTACATATAATATATTATTTTTTATAGTAGTATATACACATATAGCATATTTTTATATAGTATATATACATATACTATATTGTTTTTTGTCCCACTGGAACAAATTCTAGCAGATTTGTACTCTCTGTGGACCCATTATGGCCAGTTTGTGGGTTATAACATTGTTAGTTGTTAGTTTCTTCTTGACTGCTGCTTCTTTTACTCAGATAATGAACTTCACATCTTCCACCGCTGTGATTGTTTTGCAGTTACTGTTCTGCAGGGTTGAGAAAGAAAGAAACTGATACAATTCATTTATAGCATAAATCATAAAAAAATATTATATAGAAGTCTTTTTTTTTTCTAAAGTCTTCGCTTTTCCTCTCACAATGTAATCTGGCCACTTAGTGGCGCTATAACTTCATTATAAAAGTCATTCAATATGAAATGAGTAAAGGTCAAGATATGCTGCATGTCCAAAAGTATCCAGACAGACAAAATTAGTAAATTCAGCTACTCATTGCTCACACAGTGGTTCAGTTGCATGTAACATCTTCTGCTAATAGAATGGGATGCTCTGGATGCTCTCCAGAATTGGGCTGTGGAGCAGTGTATGGAGTAATGCATTCTCTGGAGTGATGGAGCTCCATCCAGTACCTTTGAGATGAGTTGGAGTGGCGTTTGTGATCCGGAACTAATCATCATTCATCAGTGCCTGACCTCACTAATGCTCATGTGGCTAAAGGTAATCAAATCCTCACAGCAATGTTCCAACATCTAGAGTAAAGCCCTCTCAGAAGACCAGAGGCTGTTACTGCAACAAAGGGAGAACTCCTTATCAACAGCCTTGATTTCAGAGGAAAAACTGGATGAACAGGTGTGTACAAACTTTTGTACATGTTATGTATTTAACATAATTAATTTCATGCCATGAATTTTCTTTCTTGGATTTGGTGAATTGAATTCCAAGCACTTAGTAAGAGCTGTGTGAACATAGGATTCTTGGGTGCTGTAGAAGTTGCTGTTTCAGCAGAAAAAAGAAAGCATTGTAATTGCTCAGATGCTACCATTTCTTTAAAACTTAGTTGATGATATTTTGCCTTGCAGCAGGGTAAACCTATTCTCAAAGCAATTGCAGAGTCTTTTAAGGCCAAAAGGTACAATGTTCTTGACTGGTCAAGTCAGTTACTCAACCTGAAGCTGAAATGAGTATGAATTTTGTTTACAGAAGACAAGCCTGTAGACCAAAAGCCACTGAAACTAGCAGGAACTAAATATGGCTGTCAAGCAGGCCTGGCAGAGGATATGCAACTAAATGCCAAACACGCTTTGTTTAAATACATTTGGTCCTCTGTAACGATGAGGACTATGTAAAAATGTCCATGCCTGCTACATCGTTTACCTGGTCCTAGAAAGGTCAGATCCAACACATCTGGTTCTAATATTCAGATGCCCCAGAAAGCCTTCATTACCTGGATCAGGTGTGTTAGATTAAATTTGGAGCTAAATGCTGCAGGGAGGTAGATCTCCATGACCAGAATTGGGCACTAATGCTCTAAATAAACCTGACAGTTCATACTTCAACTTCATAGCCATTGGTGCATTTCAGCTCTATTGTGTTGAAGACAAAACAAACACATTACTGTCCAAATACTAACAGACTGCACTGTAAGGGAACAGATGGATCTGTGTTTAGCATGGCAGAGTTAGCCACATTCAGCTGGCTCTACAGGGTGCCCAGGTGGAAGGAATAGTTTATGCTCATCTCTCTGCTTCAGTTTTTTGCTCATATTATCTATATATTCATAATATCACATAAACATAATATGAAGGCATGGCTTAATGCATGTGACTCTCTACAATTCATAATATAATTGTATGATGTATATTCACTTGTAACAATGTTACATATAAAAAGGTTTGAAAAGAATAACAAGTGATGCATAATACACTTTGTCAAAAAATGCATTTTTATTTTTTCTAATTAAGGAGGTATTAATCAAAATACAGCATGGACATGTCTAAATTCCGCTCTTGCCAATATATATCATGAAAGTGGTGTTTAACGCATTTTGGACCATATACAGAGATGGGTTAGTGGTCTTTCTTTACTCATCATCACACTCAGCTTCCTAAAGGCCTTTCACAGACCCAGCTGATTTACCTAAGTTACATTAATGATGCTGCTGTTGTGTGTGTTTGTTTTTGTACATTTCTTTGTAGTTAGGGTTAGAAAATTCTTATTACATATAGATGCTTTCGTATTTTTACATATAATATATGTAGACATTTTATATACAGTTTGAAAATGCCAGCTGCCATTTACGCTGAGTTGAAAGTTAATGATGACTGGACCAACAGATATGATCTAAAATTACATAGAATATACTTTTGTTACATTAACTTACATTGAATGTCAGACAGTTTTTTCCTTCTGTAAAATTACTTTTTTGGAGAAAGAAAGTTTTGTTCTACCAGCAATGATATAAAACATTGTAGTGTTCTGCTACTGGCTTGGACTGTTGTGGGAATGTGAGGGGTGTGCACTGATAAAAATTAAAGTGAGATCAACTTAAAATAATAAAGTAACTGATTACACAGTTTTCCTTAAGTTCACTCAACTCAAACTCCTTAGCTGAGCCAAAGGTTTTAGTTTTGCATCTCAGTTAGGTAAACAATATAGCATTAGTTTTTTAACACAAGTTCCCTAGCTAGGACTCTTTTTATCACACCATCCTATCAGACATTTTCTCCTCTTGGGTACTGATTTATGGATGGCTATGGCATTGCTGGGATTCAAACTTGTCCTGTCCTTAGTCCATTTTAGCACTCAGGAACACCTGAAGTCACTCAGATTTCAGTGTTCATAAATCTTTAATACTCTGTAGAAACTATTCGTTGTTTTAACTTTGAAGCGTAGCATGATCACGTGCAGTGCAACTGCCTAACAATCCATCACAACATCAGGAGGTTGTGAGTTTGAAGCCCAGCAAAGCCACATTTGTCTATATCAGAAAGCCCAGGAAGAGAAAATGCTTGATGGGATTGTGTGAAAAAAAAACAAACAAATTCTATGTTTTTACCTAATTGAGATGCAGAACTAGAAAGGAGAATTGGGAGAACTTTGGCTAAACTAAGAAGTCTGATTGGGTGAACTGTAGTGAAGTTGAGTCAGCTCAAGAAAAGCAAGGTAATCAGTTATCTTATGACTTTAAGTTGAGCTGACTGTCACTTTTTACAGTGTGGCCATGCAGAGTGGCCATGCGCGCAGGCTCTCAGTAGGTGCGCTGCGCTCACTATAGGAGAGACATATATAATAAATAAGATGTGCACATGTGTTATTTGTGACATGGGCTGGACTGTGGGGTAGTTAGTGTGAGTCTGTGTGGCTACCATAAACAGACAATGTATGGCTAGAGGTGACCTGCCTGCTATACCGGCTGTGTCAGCTAGCGCTGAGTGGTGTTTCTTGCTTGCCGCCAAGCTGTTTATTAGTAGATCATTTGCCTTTAAAGCGCAATGTTTCCTGCAGCTTATTCTACACATATCAATATTACACATAGATACTTAAAGGTATATAATATGCATGGGACATTACATGTAGGTAGTTACATATATATAATACATATGAGACATATGCAGTGCCAGTACTTACATATTCTGTAGGCCGAGAACGTGTGTGTCCTGACACTGTATAAAAACAAACCCATGTGTGCGTGTGTGTGTGTGTGTGTGTAGGTCGTAGATAGATAGAGGATGTCAGTGGAAGGGCATGCATTTCTCATGAGCGCTTAGTATTCAGTGCAAATGACTGAGACCTATAGAGAGGAGTCACTTTGAGAGGGCGGGTGAGAGATAAAGGGGAAGTAGCAGGTTAGAGTAAGAGAGAGAGTGAGGACGTGAGAGGGTGAGAAAGGGGGGGGGGCGGGGAGTGGAGGGAAACAGATCGAGAGAGTGGGGGGAGTGGAGGGAAACAGAATGAGAGGTGGGGGGAGTGTGTATGTGAGACTGTGTGTGTGTGAGAGAGAGAGAGGGAGAGGGAGAGAGAGAGAGAGGCAGAGGGAGGGAGCAGAACGCACAGCTTGCCTCTCCGCAGCGCTACAAGGACAGTGAGCGTTCGTGAGAGAAGAGCACTGAGTTGATGCTCAGCCTCAGATGAGCCTACCTGAACGGCATACAATATGACCTCCACGCTGACCACGGCACATGACTGACCACATGCTCCAGCACCACGGAGAGCGGATCCACTTCATGACGAGCATCCTTCTACAAACTGAGACTGTGTATTTTGGGACCACAGAAGTTTCAAGATATTGTTATTTTTCTTATAGAAAATCCCCAATCCAGGATTATATTGTTCATTTTGGCTCTCTCTTTGAGAAGAAAAGCACATATTCTTTACTGGAACCCTTGTGCTGTGAGATACATGTCTGAATGAGAGTGTGTGCAAGCCTCGTTGAGCCCCAACGTCACAGTGTAGTTGCTTCTTGCCGCTCTGCTTACTGCTAAAGACTTCAGCTATAGTCCTGTTAAGTGGAAGACTGCTGTGATCAAGAGTGGACCATGAGTGAATCCAAGAAGAGCGAGGTGGGCCTGAGGGACAAAGCCATCCTGCACCAGCAGAGGCGGCTGAAGCAGGCCACGCAGTTCACACACAAGGACTCGGCTGACCTGCTGCCCCTTGATGGCCTCAAGAGGCTTGGCACCTCCAAAGACTTGGTGAGTGCCTCCAGAGTCCATTATTTCAAAGCGTGTGGCGAGAATAAATGGATGGAAAGAGGTAAATAGGAGAAGTGGGAATTGATAGAGTCTCAGGGTGTGGTGAGATCATTAGATTAGTAGTATAAAAGGTAGTAGTAAATTTATATTGTCTTTTCCTAGGGCAGTGTGGTTGCAGCATAGTTAAGAAGACATGGCATTACAATAAATATACATAATACAGCATTGTTGAGCAGCCACAAATTCAAACTACCTTCTTTCAGTTTAACATTGACAGCAGGCATGAGATGAAAACTGAAAGCCTGAAAGCTTTGAGAATACTGAATGACAGCATTATCTAAATAGCTGTATATTAGTAGTTTACAGTTAAGCATTGTCGGTATTAGGATTTATTAATCGTGAATTGGGTAAAATGAGGAGTTCATAGCGGTCCTGGATCTACCACTTTACTACTGTACATTACAGTCACACACATGCACATCCTTGTTGGGATGCCTCTCCACACTCTGGGTTTCATCTTCTCTTCAACATGCATCTCTCTCTCTTTCTCTCTCTCTCTCTCTCTCTCTCTCTCTCTCTCTCTCTCTCTCTCTCTCATTACTAGGCATTATTGTCACAATGGTCCAATAATTGCCCTGCTGTCATCTTTTGCTACTGTTTTGATGAGTTGGCCAACATCCAGAAACGCATTCCAAGAAGCCTCTAGAATCAGTGTGTGTGTGTTGGCAGTGTGAGCTGTCAGGGCTTGGGGTGTGTGTGAGATTATAGTGTATATTTATATCGGCCCTCTGTACTCAGAAGGGAAGAGCTGAAGCTGGTCTGCGGTGATTACAACACAGTCTGAATAAATGCACATTCATGCCATGCACACATCCCCTCCCTCATGTCTTTAGGTAGATGCTAACTATTGCAGAGAGCCAGTAGTTTATTCACCTCTCCTTATGCTAATCCTGTTATTTGTATCACTAGTAGCTGAGTAGACAGTGGAGTTAACTGTGTTGCCTCTTTCTGCAGGCCCCCTAGTGGCTGTTCTGTTGGTGGAAATCGAATCTGATACTGTTAATTAATCTGATCAAATAAAACCTTTTGTTTCCCTTTAACTATTATTACCAGGTACGATTAACAAGGGCATTATTTGCTCTCTGTGTGTGAAATGCTGAGCATTGAGCTGCTAGCGAGCAATAAACAATAGACCTCTGAAGTCATGCATCATTCTGTAGTCAGTGCCGTGCCTATATTATCATTCCCTGGTTTAAGCTGGATTTCTCTAAGACAGTAAACATAGGATTTTTGAAAATCACACCAATTGCACTCTATGGTACACAGAAAGGTTCCAAATCTGATAAGTTTTGTCCTACATACATTTTTCCACTGAATGTCACTGGACCCCATGAATTATGAAGTTGTCAAAATATGTATGTTGCTACATCCATGCTAATAGCAAGCTACCGCTCCTGCACACTAAAATGATGTCGCATGAAATTAAGTCTACTACTAAGCATTATTATGTTGGGGTGACAGCAAAGAAGACACAGGAAACATTGCGCTAGATGGTGCAGCCGAGATATCAGGCAGGTCACCTCTAACCATACGTTGTCCATTTATGTAAGTCACACAGACTCACTCTCAGAACTACCCCACAGTCCAGCTCAGAATGTCACAAATAACATGTGTGTGTGCATCTTTGTGCAAACAACAACTTATTGACAATAAACATCTCTCCTATCATAAGCATGCCAGAGAGCCTTCGAGACCTTCGAGAGCCTCCTGAGAGCCTCTTCGCATGGCCAGTGGGGGGACAATATAATATAATAGGAATATAATAACAGCAGCTGCTCCTAAAGTTCTCTACTACTGCCAAAGCAACTTAAATATCAAACTTGACAAAACTTACTGGTTTGTTTTTTTGTGTACGTCTTATGATGCCAATCTAGTGCACAGCAATTTTAGCTCGCAAGTAGCAATATTCATATTTTGGCTCCTTAAAGACCTCAGAATTCAGATGATTTAGTGAAATTCAGTGTAAAAAAATGTATGTAGGATGAAACGTATCAAGGCATGACAGTATCTATTTTTGCCATAGAAAAATCCAGCTTAGGCCCAGAGTTTCTAATATGGGCAAGAAGCCAACTACAGAATGACGACTTCAGTTGTCTGTTCACACCTTTCTACGTAGATAAAACAGATAGAGCTGCAGCTTTCTTAATATAAAAAATAGTGGTCAAAAGTTAAAGCAGTCAAATTGTTAAAAGTAATAGCGACAAGAGCAGTTTTGTTAAGGAATAAATAAAAAAACAACGAATTTACTCCAACAAAGCAACATCCTTTGACTCTGACCAAGAAATGTGGAGGTAGAAGAAGCTGCGATGGTTATTTAGCAACACAGGAACAGCCTTGAAGACAAAGTGCCAGCCATTGTTATCCCCCACCATCTCTCACTGTCTTTCTCTCTCTCTCTGTCAGAACCAATTACTCCCAGACTCAAACATCACACACACGCAGCAGGCACAGCAGCACGCACACGCACCCTAACATACAAGTCAAGGAGGAACAGACACACAGCACGTTACAGGCACGGGTTCTCATCAGTTTCTGTCATCTAAATCTCTGACAAATGACTCTGTGTGTGAGCTGAAGTGTGAGGGCCACTGTGTTGTGTGTATGTAGGCTCCCATGCAGGAGGAGTACACAGATACAGTGGCTTCAAATGCGTTCAGGGCTTCCAATGCATTCTGCTTTACTGCTTCCATTAACGCAGCACGTCACGTGAAGCAGTTCCAGTTATGTAAGGGGCAGATTTGTTTTTTTTGCTCTCCTCTCCAGCCCTGAGGCACTCTGCTCTTGCTTTCTATCTCTCCATCTCTCTCTCTCTCTCTCTCTCTCTCATGCATGCTAGCCTGGTGCTCAGAGACCTGGGCATGAAGAGAGCTAATTCAACCTACCACTCAAGCACAAGATGGTGAGGAGAGGAGATCATCAAACTACTTAGTGTGTTCTAGCACAGTTCAACATGGCTCCCAGTGTAGGTGCCAAACTAGTAATAGAGAGCATCTTTCAGAAAGATCTCAGAAAGATGCTGGCAGGCTTTCCGAGCATGTGAGAGTCCTAGCAAGGGTATTAAGAAGTATGAACCTTTCGTTTCCTGGACTTTTTTTCATGTAGGTTTCAAGCAACTAAAGTTGCATGGAAGTTTCACCATGTAAAGACAGCCAAAACTTGGTCCTCACATAGAAAGCACAGCAGAAATGATTCTACTGTTATTTCAGCACTGTATGGCAGCTCACAGAAACCCCCTGCAGAATTGCAAAGCACAGACATGTGCCACTGGTAGGGTCAGACTCACAGCTCATCCAACTGACTATGGTCCACCAGATGAGGTCAGTTTATTGCCTGAAAATGCACTTCTTTTACTTTTATTCTTAGTTCAAAGAAGTTTCTTCGGCTATATAAGTATGGATAGTGCTTTTAACACTGCTTTTTATTTTGGTCATCTAAGTGAAATTCAAGTGGACAAAGGCCACATATAAAGGCTCAGCAAAGTCCTGAGGGAATGAGCAAATGTGTTCTGGGTTTAAGCACAGTGTGGTTGCATTGATCTTGGCCTGCCGTTGGCAGAACCTGTGAAGTGCATTAGCCCCCAGCGCTAGGGCTAATTAGAGCTGGCTGATGAGCTGCTGGGAGCCTGTTTTTTGTCTCTTTTTCTCCCTCTCCCTCCCTATCCCTTAGTCCCCCACTGCTACGTACACCACCAGGAGAGAGAAAGGGCTAAAAATACTACCTGAGTGTGGAAAACAAACAGTGAAGCAGGCTGAGAGATGGACAGATGGAGACAATTCCCTCCATAAGTATTGGGACAGTGAAGTCAAAATGACAAATAACTAAGCACATAATACAGAGATGTGAATGTATCAAGCCTGTGGAAACTTTTAATGTCATTGTGGCAATGCCATCTTTAACCGTCATTGTAGATAAATGAGCTTGCTCCGGCGCCTGATGCATTACTGTAGATTTTATCAGCTTCCAGATGGCATTGATTTATCTATAGCTGGTCATTCGTCTACTTTCAACCAAAGTTCCTCTCCATCACAAGTCTGGACATTGCTGACAATATACACCAATAATTTATTTTTCTTCAGAAGAAGAAATTTAATTTCTTCTCAGATTTTTCCAAATTACTGGCTCTTCTTCTATAGAGATACAGTACCTATAACAATAATTCATCTCCATGTTTTATTATCACAGAATATTGAATCACAGTGGAATTAATTTGGGTTTGATTAACAGGACAGACTGGTGTAAAAGTGAAAACGGATCTATGCAAAGTGCTTTAAATACATTACAAATGAAAACACAAGGTATCTCATTGCAAGTTTGGGAGCAATCACATCCTTGAGTCTGTGTGGTTAGGTATCAGCTTTTGGTACATTTGGACATTGGCATTTTTCTCTATGCCTCTTTGCAAAACTGCTCAAGCTCCGTCAGGTTGCGTGGGATCACAAGTGAACAGCTTTTTTCAAGTCCAGCCACAAATTCTCTATTGGATTGAGACCTTGACTCTGACTCAGTCACTCCTGGACATTAACATTATTGGTTTTAAGCTATTCCTGACAACTTGCAGGCTTGGGCTTATTGTCAAGCTGGGAGACAAATCTCCTCCCAAGGCTAAAGTTTCTTGCAGACTACATTAGGTTTTCCTCCAGGATTTCCCTATAATTTGCTGCATATATTCTACCCTCGACCCTCACAAGCCTTTAAGGGCCTCCTGCACACAAGCATTTCCCACAGTGTGGTGCTGCCACCACCATGCTTCACAGTGGGGGTGATGTGTTTATGATGATATGACGTGTGTTTGTGGTGATCAGATCAAAGAACCTTCTTCCAGCTGACTTTAGATGCCTTCTAGCAAACTGTGGCAGAGAGGTCATGTGAGTTTTATTTAACAATGGCTTTCTTTTTGCTGCTGTCCCATAAATCTGCGACTGGTGAAACATTCGGGCAAC